ATTCAACACTGCCTTTTGATACGTCAAATTCTTATCCTGGGAGTTGGTCTGTGAAGCACTAGTTACTGACCCCTGTTTGGGTCCTCGGGGGATAAATAATACGATAAGTAACCCCCTAATTAGTAATTTTGGGCATTCTAATCGTTGTCATTACAGGGAATATGAACGCTATAGCGACTACCTCTTATTGTTATATTTTTGGGCCCATTGCTGTTATATATGCACAACTAACATGTACATTACCTATAGTATACGCTATTATATAGGTACGCAGCTCTCAATTCTGTCTTCTTATTCATTCACAACTTCATCCTGATCTCCTTCGCCATTACCAGATCAACTAGTCCCGAAAGAGTCCACATTCCGTCCCGTGGCATAGGTACCATATACCTTAAGTAGATTACCGTTCAAAAGTTGTATGGTCCGGATATCCGTGACGAAATGATCTAATGGCGTATCTCACGGCGAAAGATGCCTATCACACGTCATGCCATATTTTATGCTCTGTTGCAGCTTCGAAATATCGCCAGTCACCCCAGGTTATTAGTATAAGACTTCTAAACCCCCATGCATTGCCTGCCGATAACCTGCCATCCAATATATGCTTATGTTGCGTGAATCTAACCTTGCAGGCACCTCGATCTAACTAACCTTTCGATCCCATTGGGACGGCTGGTCATTCCTCTCATGGTTAAAAAGGACCAGGGGTCGTGTAAGGGAAACCAGCCATTATCGGATCACAGATCCAACTTAGTACGCCACGCCTAAGAATGCTACGGTACATAAAGGAACCACCAACTACACGAGCTCGAAAACTACAAGTGCAATACCTACCGCCTCTTTCTCTGTCAGTAGTGTTCGCTAGTTACCTTTACTCCTACTCGGAGTCGAGATCGGCATGATACTCCGTAAAATAAGAAGAGCCGAAAGACTAGCACTTCGCATGTTCTATTTGTATGATAGACCAATCACACGAGCTGTCATACCTTGTAAAGTTATAAGACGTACTTCCGATGGCAAACCGCCTTCCCTTCTGGTTATCGACTAACACTATATGTAAGGATCCTTTTTTCACGTAGATATTTACCCGTATATATTTTTATATTACCGGGTAGGCCTAGACTGGCATATTTGGCTACAGACCTTGTATACTGAGTCCAAAGATCTACGCTTTTGTCGCCAGAATCTTTAGATCCTTATAGTAGAAAGACACCCTGCGACTCGTCCAGTTCTTGGTATTAGGACACCATCTTCGATATGAGAAACCCTTTATGCGAAGTCTGGGAAGCACAATACCGCCCGCATGCAAGTCAGGTTTGTAAATTTCACTTGCCAGGGTTGCTTGGCACGCTGAAAACCGCTCTTGGCATTTGGCGGCACGACCCTTGGTCATTTGTGCAAACATCGGAGCCTTGAGTCCCCTGCCCATCTTGTCAGGGTATGGGCGCAAATGCGACTCAATCTGTTATCGAAGACAGTAGCGAAAGTCGGAACTTCAGTTCGTCCAGGGAAATCCGACCCCATGATACCATCGGCAAGTCTTCTGGTATTGGAGTATTGGATTTGGAGAGCCACTGCTATTTCTGTCGTAGCCCTTCCTAACTTTTGAGCTTCCTCTTCTAGTTTACTTGATTACTAGTATGGCTAGGGCCCGGGACTGAACTGAGACCGCAAGTAGTCCGTGCGAATTTGGCATATCGAAATCATCCCGCCTCTCCGCTGCCCTCCACTGCTCCGCGGATCTGTTATCCTGATTATGCCAAGCATTAAATGCTATTTGCAACATCAAAGCTGTTTGCCTAGCATTGAAGGCTTCTCGCCAGGGCCCCCCTGGATTGAATTGAGCCTACGAAGCCCAAGACCACGGAACTCCTATCATCCCCTAGGCGACTGGGTTTCCTATTTTTGGTATCAGTATAATGCTTAAGAAACCCCTTGCGATTGCGACTATTAAGACCCGAGGCTGCACAGATTACGTGTTCCAAGAACGACAACCCGATCATTCTAAGGCAACAACTCAGTGCTCAAGCTCAATATACACTTGGATAGGAGGTAGTCATATCATCTAAGCAGATAGTATGATGATCTCTATCCGTATGCCCCCATTCTATATTTTGCTATGTTATTTCAATCTTGCGTATTATACAGTATATCCCAGTTCTCTAATAAATACCTCTGTCTCATAAGACCTTTTTGAGGTGACACGAATAAATGGATTAGAAATCGAAAAATGATGTTATCTTACCGTTTTATCATGAGACGGGAAGTCTAAGCGCGAATCAAGTCAACTCCGGTCCGGTGGCTTTTTTAGCACATATCGTCATTTACCTCTTTATCAGTAAACTCGCTTAGTTAGAAGTTTAGGCATTATTATGCATGTACTAGGTATGTATGTGGTCTACTATTTCGAGGCGATATGCACGGACCAGGTCGCATAGGTATTTTCTGTACTTAACCTGGAAGCAGCGGACAGGCGGACAGACGTCAGATAGTAAAGTTCTATTCATTCATGCTAAGACTAATAAAACTGCCATAAGTCAACTCGACATCACATAACGTCAATAAAATAAAGTTAATATTCAAGTTTCATCAACATCATCTATTTATTTTAGTACTTAGACTTATTAGTAAATCACCGATTTCTTTCAACTTTGGTTTAAGTCAGCTTACTTAATTTGAATTCATTGGAGCCTTACCCCCTCAACTATCACCTTTCCTCTTCCATCCTTAGGCTCATCTTTAGCTCTACCTAGTATAGCCAGCTATATCTCTTAGTTATTCTCCGTATGTGCGTCGTTCCTACTGTCATAGGCGTCATGTCTGGATTCTTTTCTCTTCTCCCCGACCTTCTTCCGATGATACTACCTTCGGAGGTGCAAATCACGAAGGCCTCTGACCTTGAGGCTCAAAGGGGCGGGAAGGATGCGCCTATGATTCGTCAGGGAGCCGTGATCGGAAAGAGTGATAGAATGTGTGCTACTGGTAAGCTACCTCCTACTTACCTCTTATCTAGTCCCCCCAACTATTTCCCCCTTGTGCATATGTCGTGCGTCCGAGCATTAGAGAGGATGTCACCATTGGTAACAGTCAGCCCTTACTTAATTTCAACCTTGGCTTGTCCCGAATCTATTCCAGATCTATAGTAACATCGCCGATAGTCTTAATAGCCAAGCCCCGATGCTCATCAGCAGTACACCACCATGGCGAACAAGGTTAGTCTTGGCTCGATTCAAATGCGTCAAATTACCGTACTTCCTCTAATACCAAGATAGAGACCATCATCTACGCTGCCTCGGGCAAGGGCATGGTATGTATTCGAAGAACATCTTAACGTCTGGAATATTAGCTCCCTCTCCTACTCTAGTGGTCTTCGACTACCTTACCTACCTACTCACTGTAACATTTGAATCATTGAAGCTGACTTGTTCGTAGTATGTACTTGAGCCTTGATTGTTTTCATTTCTTTGTTACCCTACCTATAGCTTTCTATCTCCAATAATATGGAACTGAGAGCCCACCGGAAAGCTAACAGGTAATAGTTTGGTGACAAGTGCCGGCGCTGATGAAGAACCAAAGAGACATGAACTTTCGCCCGGAGACTTTGCTTTTATACCACCTTGGACCGAGCACCAGGAAATCAATGATACTGATGAGAATGTCGTCTGGATCCTCATCCGGAGTGGTCCGGAACCCGTTGTGGTCTACTTGACAGGTTGGGGAGGTGATGAGGCGAAGGCTGATTCGATTGATTGAAACTACTGTTGACCAGGCTCGCGTACAGTCAATCCAACAAGTCTATACGTGAGGGGACCGAAATGCCGGGAACCTGGTTGCATTTGAACTATTTAACTCTATTTATTAACTCGATAATTGGCGGCAATCTCCAGGGTGGTCATCTATTCTTTACAATAACGGCGTATTAAGCTGCAAAGTTGATCCTGAGTCTCCTCCGAGTCAAACACTTGAGCATGGTCTAAACCAGGAAACCAGAGTACCTCGATTCCATCGCGTGTGAGAAGACTACACCTGGAACGGTCTTGTTCCGTAGACCACCCGTCGAGCCAAGTAGCGATCCCCCTATCTGCAGGGTTAGGGGCGACCCAACCATCGCCATCTGCACTCAAGTATTTGGCAACCGTTGAAGTGTCGACAATCAAATCTTGCTCTGCGAGACACACCGCTACCTTTCGGCGCGGTTTCACAATGGACCGACCTTTCTGATCATCCACACCACCATTCCCTGCAAGTGACCCTCTTACCACACCCAATAGCTCTTCTTTCCAAACAATGTTATCCTTCCAAAAGAAATGCCGCCCAAGACAGTGCGCCACCCCGGGGTCCATGCTCGCAAAGTACCATAGCTGCCACTCATTGGCCCCTCTAGGCCTGCGTCTAGTAAAGTTGTATGCTACGTCTGGTAGATGCAACAGGATGGTCACGGGGTCGATGAGTACTACTGATGCGATCCGGTCGGTTAGGTTCTCCGAACGCAGCATGTGGGTTGCCAAGACGGTTCCATACGAATGGGATGCCAACACGAACCTGTCCCACCCGTGCGCATCAAGAATCGTAGCAATCTGCTTAAGGAACTCGATCCTGCCCAACGGCGCCTCCGTGATCCGGAAGGAAATGGGCAGAACCTCGACGGCGATAATACCTATGTGTCCCTCCACGTCTCGCTCTTCAGATTTTGAGTTGAGTCGATCGAGGAATGGTACATATGGGTAGAGGCCAATTCCGATACCATGCAAGAATACTACGGGAAGCTTGTTGGTAGCGGTATGAGGACGGTACCAGTACGTGAGTTCCTCTGACTCGGAATGTTTTTGGGCAAAGAGGTCTTGTAAGCGCGGAGGGATGACGGAGTGGGTTTTAGACGGCGATAGAGCATGATAATGAAACCCCTTACGCACTAGTCGACAATGCGACACAAAGTCAACCAGCCCCACGATCAAATACCACGCAAAAGTTCTATATCGGGTTTCCACTTCGTCCAGAGTCAATCGTAGACTCTCAGCCTTCCCTCTTCCCGGTTCTAGCTTACGTCCCAAAAGCGCCTCGATAGTTTCTATGTATTCATGTATTTCTTTCTCTTCTTCGTCTGACTCGTGCCCTGGTTTCTTATCAAAGAAGGCCCAAAGAATAAACTCGCGTACGTTGTCTCTCCGTATCTCGGACTCGTCCGCGCCAAGAAACCACATCTGGATATAACGCCGGACGTCTGGCACGTTTGTAAGGCAGCGTTGGAATAGAGCACTACGCTCCTCACGTGAGAGCTGCGGTGGATGCTGTGCTTCCTCTTGCGACCTCCGGTTGTGCGGAATGTATATCAGGATGGCGTACAGCACGTCAACGATGCAGTAGAGGAGTAGCACTATGCCGAGGGGATAAGATAGCACCGTTGTGAGAGACCAGCTATGAGCGGCCGCTAAGAGGGCCAGGCATGTTATGCATAGCGGTGTTGTATACTGCACGATGAATATACATATACGTATGAAGATGTATTCTGGTATCGACATGCCAATCATGGATGGTGGCGGTTACGGCTTTAGGCAAGCCGCGAGCCAGATATGATGATAAGTACCTGGGTTGCGTTGGTCGGTCGGTCCAGTACCTCTTGTCTCCTACCTCTTTGCTCCTAGTATATTTCGGTAAATAAAAGAGAACGAAATGAGAGCCTTATTAGTTCACATATAGGCGCTACTTTAGTAGATTCTCAACAAAATCGCGACTTGTGTAAAAAGGACCGCCGAAGTTTCAACTCTAACGAATGTTTGCATCTGTTTTTGTTTCTTTTTTTAAAAAAAAATTAATCGGAATTGAAATAAACAGGTAGCTAGAGAAACCACTCGATAACTTCTCAAGATACAGTAGAAGGCCTCAAGGTCAGTTCTCGGGGTTGCTTGCTTAGCAAGAATTCCCTTGCGAAACTTTGGCGGCCCTGCCGGTGGTCCTTTTTTTTTATTTTTTTATTTTTTTCTTTTTGCTGGGGAAAATCAGACATAGGTAACTCGAGTGACGTTGCCGACCCACTTTATTTCGTACGTGTATCTAATCAGATACCCATGTTACACAAGTGGCTTGAAATTGTTGTGTTGAAAAAGAGGCTGGTGGCTAAATCTGCTTGTGCAATAAGGGTACCTAGGTACATCATGAAGTATTTTACATAGGGGATGGAAAAGGGTGGCGGGCCCTATACTGGTTTTAATAAGCTGGAGGCCAGCAGAGATCAAACAACTTGGATTTTAATAATACAACTGACACTCATGTAAACGACCAGCGCCAAACATAATTTCAGAAATGGAAAAATGAATGGGACCATAACTAAAAGAATTCTCTACGCTCAAAGAATCTCCTATCTTAAGTAGGTGGGTAGTGAGATGAACCAAGTCTGGCTTCTTGAGATTGGAGCCTAGAGCAATTTGCAAAAATTCCAGCAATTTGATTTTTCTAGATTGATATTTTTTGAAAGCTTTCATAAGCATACGAAAATCATGTACTTTCTTTATCAACAGGTTGTATCTATATCTGAGTTAACACCCCGTTAGGTTGTGTTATTCGTATACTTCTTTCCGTCGCTCAACTATAGCGTGGACCAATTCTACCAAGATAGACTGAATCAATGAGGAGACCATCTATATTAACGACGTAACTGTAAAAATTACCATATTGTACTCTTTTATAAGTTTATTCGTTTCAACCAAGCTTACCCGCGTTCTTGCTTATCGCTTTGTCGTTGACTAAGACTAATGACATTGAACCAACAAGTGTATACCACGCACACACACGACATAAACAGAAACCCCAGTTATATTTCCCACGAAATGGAAATGGAAATAAACAAATGTACCTAGGCAGTTACTCTACGTAAGAAGCCTTTTGTAGGCCCGTTAACAAAATAACGGCAATATTCATGTAGGACCTAGTTCGGAGCCTACACCAACGCCCAAGCAACACCACCAAATCTGTTTACCTTTAATGGTCGTGTATAGTATCTAAGTAAGTAGGTAATCACTCCACGAAGGAACCTCTGCAATGGGTAAGATGTCCAGACTATGTCCATAGAAGGAAACAGAATTGGAGTGTCATCTCACGCATGGACTCTCCCTCTTTTGCTTATCACTTGCAAAAGCCCCTACCTGCTCACTGTATTACCATGCTCATAGTTTGCAGTAAAGTACAAGAGTAATCCTCCAAACCCCTGACGAGCTCTGATGACCTTCCACAGCGTTTTCATCACAACCAGCCAAACTCGAACTGACATAAGAGATAGAAAGCAGACTAGTCCCAGTCCCTTAACCCATGGAACTTTCGGAATAGAATGGATTTTCTCCGTCAAGTAGTACTTCCACACCTATTTATATAAGAGTTGACCAGTTCACGTACTTAAGGGCACTTTCCCATGGTAATCTAAGTGGTGATTTGTCTAGGTAGCCATGATCTAAGATTGATTTGCTACCTACGTCATCTTAATACACTGATTTGTTTTTGCAATCAATTCTACTCATGCCTTCCATATACAACTTAGCATTGATCCTAGCTTCCTTGTAGAATTTTCCGGACATGTCCTGATCCTACTTGCTAGGCCAATGGATGGAAATTACTTAAGGGTCCGCTTATATTCCAGGTTATCTAAAGCAAATTCGGTACTGATTAGGATCGTATACTTCGTACCCAATCGTGACCTCCGAATTGAATAAATTCTAAATCAGTTCCTTGATGACTGATCCTTTTATGCCGTGTCACCCAAGTTACTGAGAGTGATTTCCCTTGGAATGAAAATTTACATAAATACTTGTGGCCCCTTCCTCTATTTTCAACTTGAAGTAATACACAGACAGAGCAGACTGGGAGTCATCAGTCATCAGTCATCAATACCGGGACAATCAAAAGCCTAATAACCTGATCACCTGGCAACTTCCATTCTCCATACTCATCAATCCCAATCATCCTTTTTTTTTCATTTCCCTTTTCACATCTTAATCCCCCAACTTAACTGTTACATACCTCCTCCTATTTACACCTCTTCTCTCTGCACTCTCTGCACTCTCTTGGAGGGATTTCTTTTACGATAACCCTACTCTGTGGTTTTAATTAATTATCCTACAGTTATTAGGGTCCAACCTCCTCTAATCCTTCCAATTGTTAGAGAGACTCCATACCCTTCTCACCTTCTTGTCTCCGTCTTTTTATCTTCATCGCCCAACGTACCCTGAGGACACCATCAGTTTATGTTGTCTTTCGTTTATATTCAATTACTTCGCCTTGAATTTTGTTGTTTGACTGTTTTAAAGTTTCAGATTCACCAGTCTACCTTGGAACATGGATTCCACTATCACAACTACGTCCGCAAGTGATTCCCAGGCGGTGATGTCGCTTCCTACCGAGCCGGATACCCGTCAAGACAAAATGGGTTTGCGGAGAGGATTGAAGACGATGCCTCCCGAAATGATATATGAAATAGCGAAATACATGAGCCAGGCCACCAAGGCTCGCGTCGCGCAGACTTGTCGTCGGCTTCGTACTCTCATGGATCAGGCTTTACTCGATCAGGATGGCAAGGAGGATCGTCACGCACTCTGGTGGGCCTCAGTAAATAACGAATATGGACTTCTAGAGCGAATCCTCAAGACCAAAAGTGTGCGTGCCTATGATCTTGCCAATTACCGATTTCTAGAGGTTCACACCTTTGAATTCACCTTCAATACTTCGAGACAGGTGAAGGGTCTTTGCCGGAGCCGTAAAGGCGCCGATCACAGCCTCCATCTTACGCCTCTAACGGTAGCAATCCAATTTGGAAACGATCGCGCCATCACTGTCCTACTCGAACAGGGCGCTGATGTCAACCTTGCGGTTCCCTCACCTTCGATGGGACCTGCAAAGCTATGGTATCCGCTCCATTGGGCGGTGCGCGTATTGCAGAGTGGCAGACAGTTCCACGATGTCGTGGGCCTTCTCATAAAACACGGCTCCAGTATTAATCAAGCTCCCTTGCTCCAAGGACCGTTCTACCAGCACGAAGATGAAATTCCTATTTTTGAATTCCTCAGTTTCGTGCCTTCGTTCAGAAAGAAATCCTCCCGTAAACACCCTGACGCCGAATACGAAAGACAGCTGGAGAGTCGTTGCCGTAAGTTTGAATCACTACTTCAGCTCGGAGCAGACCCCAACGTTCGCGCGCCGGTCACCGGTCAAACACCGATCTTTAAAACAGCAAAGGCGCTGAGTGAATACGACCCAAAGTCTCCTTTCGTAGGTCAGCACCCATTACGTCATGAAATCGATCGAGTATATGAGGAAGTTGTCGTCAAGCACGCTATACAGATCTTCAGAAGCTTGGCTCGACGTGGTGGAAAGGTGAATACTGTCTGTGAGGGCACAACTGCTCTACATCTCCTATGCAAGCGCAGTGAGGAGCACCAGACCTTGATCAAATGCATGCTACGACTTGGGGCATCAATCAATGCTATTGACTCACTTGGCCAGACGCCTATCTATGCATATGTGATGTATCCTCGCCACCACAAGCTTCTTGCGAAATTCATCCAGGCGGGTGCAAAAGTCAACCACCGAGATAAGATGGGCCGTACGCCGCTTCACGTAGTATGCGCCGGCTACCTTGTTTGCCACTCGAAGCTACAAGATACTATAACCACGCTCCTTGCACATGGAGCCGACCCCAACATGCAAGATGCTCAGGGCAATACTCCTTTGGAACTTCTTGAAGCTCGGAGAAACCCCACTTGGAAGGACACTCGGACCATTCTCCATAGGGCTGTGCTCAAAGCCTCAGGAGTTACCCTTGAAGAAACCGACGACGTGATCTATAGCCAGGAAGAACTGGAAGCCTGGAACCGACCCTTCGAGGATGAGACTACCTAGGATGAGTCGATGGACTAGTGAACTTAATTCTAGTTCGAATCAAGCATTGAAGCTTTGATCTTTTTACGTTGAGTGTTTACTTTAGATTTCATTACGGCACTTTGAGAATCTCGCATGGCAGGCAATAACGACGAACCAAAAAAAAAAAAAAAAAGCAATGAAGCAGAATGAGAAGAGGTCAGGCACAAATGGACGACAGGAAGGATGAAGGTTGGATGACACAAGGGCACTTGATATCCAAGTCATACATGCACTGCATATCGGTGGGAACTGCGTTGTTAACAGCAGTACGATCAGGAAACGAATGGTTTTTCTCTTTACTTCTCTTCGTGTTCCCCCTTTGGCGCGTAGTATTTGGCGAAGTTTGAAGATTGAAAATGTGGTGGTTGGCAAGATATGGCCGTAATGTTGAAAGCACAAGCCTATTAATTACATGTCTCATGGCATGACTCGATCTCTACCAGACCGACTTTTGCAATGCTTTTTTGCATCGGAACTCATGTGCTCCTGATAACTAATAGCCCATATGGCACTATGACTTGTTTGCTCTCTCTGTTGCAGTTGTGTTCGATGAAACAAAATTCAATTTTTTGGTACTCTTTAATTGACTATGACTACGGTTCTGACCGAAAATGATTGATTGGTTTTATGATAATACATGGTAGGGTGGCTGTCTGTTTTGACTGCTGCTAAGATTTCGTAAGAAAGTCCTAAGGCATTATCTTGCATATCGCTAACTGAGAAACACTTTCGTGTTTGCTAATGTCTACATCACCAGGGTTACCACCTAAATCCACCAGCTGCTACAATACTACCCAGGTACCTAGGTACACAAGCTCTGAAAAACGGTAAGTTTGATAATATCATTTGACTCGTTGGATATTGGCCTGGAAGGCTAATGTTAGGTGCAAAGCAGTACTGGAAGAATTTGCGCAACCATGGCAAGCGAAACCAATTCAGTCCCAGTGGTAGGATGGAAGAAAGGACTGTCGCCCGAAGAATTCGATCAATCTATCAAACAGGCCTCACGATGCGTCCGAAAGGGTGTTGACGATGCACTCTCCCCCGACGAAACCGAAGAACTACAGCGTGCGGCTGCTTCTTATCACTGGCAATCGTGCTGGAAATTCATGCTACATATCTTTCAATGTAGCCCATGGGACTTAACAACTTGGGGTCTGCGATTTGACAATAAGTCGATGTCCGCCTCCATACGAGAACTCCAGCTAATTCTCCCACACCCGATTTGGGAGGGGAATATCGACATCTTACGCTATGTCCTTCAGAAGGCTGTGATCTTCAGACTTAGAGCGGATGTAGAGCCTTTGGGGCCCTTGGCACCAGGTATTGCGGACGTCTTAATTGCAAATGAGAAGGAGGCTACACCTGACCTGGCGCTGCAAATGTGGGCAGGAACCAATCCTTCAACCAACAGCAACATCGCCGCCCTACTCAAGCTACTTTCGACACGCCAGGGAAAGTTCGGACAATCAACCTGGCCTCGCTCACCCTTTCTCATTACGTTCATGGATGTATACTACATCCGTGACTGCCTGGACCTTCTCAAGGGCGATTACCGAGCGCCGTTCACAGTCCAACAATACTACGACTTTTTCGTTAGGCAGGAGACGCGATCCCCGAATCTAGCTACCATCGACAATAAAACCATATAGAAATGGGACCGCGCTATGCTTGCCATCAGAAAACGCGATGTGCGCCTGAAAGAACCGGATACCTGCGTTGGAGAAGAGAGGAAACGCCACAAGATTCTGGCATACTGGAAGAGCTCGAGCTGCCATGCAGGACTGGGGAAACTGATTTCGGAAAACACCGTCCCGCATCTCTTCTACCCGTGATTTCGAGCTGTGCCAACTTCGCTGTTTTCTGCAATGGCTAGGAGTACTGATGCTTTGAGCATTGGCGTCTTTAGTAAAGCAGGTAATTCAAATATCAGCTTAGGGTAACTGCGAATGCCATAAGCAATGCCGTAGGTTCTAGGTAGATACGCTACTCCCATTAATTTGACTTAATCCTACACTTCCCCTAAATTTATAACACCCGTCCTCGACTTACACGTTTGAACTATAGGTACCTACCTACCTAACCTAACCTAACTTAACTTAACCTTGTTGTAGTTCAAACCCTTACGCCCTTCGGGAGGGCCTTTGGACTTACAGTCTATAAAGTTTCGATATTCTGTTAGAGTACCTTTATCGAATCCGTCGGCTCTGGCATCGGATTCCTTGCAAGGCAAGTTATCCATAATAAGCCCCACTATCTCATCGCATGGTACTCCGGCGACTGTTGTTCGCAGGTGTCGTATATCGTCCTCTACCTGTCTTCAAGAGGTTACCCCCCATAACCATATTTCAGAGTGTTTTACACAGAAACATATTTGAAAGAACTATACTATATGATTGAGCGCGGTACGAAGTGACGACGGACCTATTCCAAATCATATGACAAGGGGCTCCAGAGTCTATGAATTAAAGTGGGTATATATGATGGTGAGGCTTAGAAAGCCGATCCATTATTACCGCTATATAAACCAGTAACTCTCTAAGTACAATATATCTAGCTCCTAAGTCCGATTAGTTGTAGGTATTTGATTTCATGTTCTACGCCTCGTTCTAATGATATTAGTGGAGTGTATAAGCCGCTCCCTAGCTTATAACCCCTGGCGGGGATTATCCTGTCCGGATCTAAGCGGATGACATGCGTAAGAAATAATTACAAAAACATCCCGGCTTTCTTCAAATCTCGCGAGATTATATGAAATTCACGTTCATGTTTTGTAAAGAAAGGGAATTGAGGAACATTTTTGGCGCATCGGACTTTCTCCACGTTGGAAATTTCCACGTGTAAGCCCCGTAGCAGTCATGTTGATGCCAAATTTTTGTTCCTTCACGAACGCTAACGTGGCCGCACCATAAGAAGAGGGAACAAACTATATAATGCACAATGCTTGCCGATGTTAAAATGTCTATCTTCTAAACTTACAGACTGTTCCCGAGTCCTCAGAATATAATCCGCAAGATATCTAGCATCTCATTATTAAAACTCGTATACAATGGACGGCTCAATATCCTTCGACAAGTTTTACAACGTAAGCCCCATGAGAATATCTCTAACAAGAGAACTAGAAGCTAAAGATTCAGCAGATTATCAACAATTCCAAGGTGTCAAGCGCAAAAACATATCACGGAATCGATCCAAGCACAGAAGAGGACCTTTGGGAGGTTCCGATAGCTACGGAAGATGACCTTAACAAGGCCGTGGCAGCAGCGAACGACGCGTTCAAAAAATGGTCATCTTTGCAACAGCAGGAAAGGTCTAGATTTATGAAGGACCTCGCGGATCATCTAGAGAAGCACAAGGACGCGTTAACCGAATTGCTCAGCAAGGAGAGTGGTAAATCGGTTAGACTTCCCTTACCTATTATTGCCTCTGCCACTCTATTAGACGTGCTAACTCCATGATAGATGCCATTCGCAGAGTCAGAAGTTGAAATGGGAATCAATACTATGAGACGTCACTGTGGGTTTCCCTACCAGCTCCATCCTCAGAGTTTGAGATCTAACCACCTATCAACAGCGGATTGGTCAGTTCCCGACCAAGTTCAAAAAGACACCGAAGACGTAAAAATAGTTGTCCAGCACGTTCCAATCGGTGTGGTTGCAGGAATAACGCCGTGGAACTACCCTTTCCAACTAGCCATTCTCAAGACGGCTCCAGCACTAGCTACTGGTTGCACAGTCATACTGAAGCCCTCGTGAGTATCTCGGAAACCGACGCTGCCTACCACTTACTTTGATATCATATCTAACCTCTCAAAGTCCATTCACGCCTTACACGGCCCTGAAGATAGGCGAGATCGCAGCCGAAGTCCTTCCTCCTGGCGTGGTACAGGTGCTTGGCGGAGACGACAGTCTCGGCCCCTGGATGACAAAACACCCCGGCATCCATAAGATCTCATTCACCGGCTCCACAGCGACCGGGAAGAAGATCATGGCTGCGGCATCTGAGACATTGAAAAGAGTTAACTTGGAACTGTAGGGCACCCCAATCCTTGATATCAACCAGTCAGTAGGTTAGGTACGCAACACTAACGGATTGTCATCAACTAGGGGTGGCAACGACGCAGCGATAGTGACCGAGGACTTCGACGTCCAGGAGGCGGCGCAACTAGTCGCCACCGCGACGTTCGCGCACTCCGGCCAGATCTGCATGGCGACGAAGCGCATCTTCGTGCACGAGGCCGTCTACAACGAGTTCATGACGCACCTCGTAGCCTCGGTGACGAGCTACAAGCCGGGCGAGGGCTTTTGCAGCCCGATCCAGAACAAGGTCCAATTTGAAAAAGTCAAGGCCATGTACGACGACTGCGAACAGCAAGGGCTCGACTTCGCCGTGGGCGGCGGTAGCAAGGCGTGCGTGGACGACCACAGGCCCGGGTACTTCATCGCGCCGGCGATCGTGACGAACTCGCCGGAGAGCTCGCGCATCGTTCGGGAGGAGCCTTTCGGGCCTATAGTCCCCGTTCTGACTTGGAAGGACGACAGCGAGGTGGTGGAGCGCGTGAACGACACTCCTACGGGTCTAGGCGCCACGGTGTACTGCCGCGACAAGAAGCGCGCGTGGCGAATCTCGGAGGGTCTGCAGACGGGAAGCGTCTGGGTCAACGGCGGACTGAAGCTGGATCCGGTCGCGCTGTTCGGGGCGCACAAGCAGAGCGGGATTGGCGGCGAGCTGGGACCGCTGGCGTTGAAGTACTATACGAATACAAGGACGATCACGTACTGGAAGGATAGACTGGAAGGACCGGAGGCGAAAGGCAATAAGGGTTTATTTGCTTGAGTGAATGGGATCCGTTTGGGTTGTGGAGTGTATTTGTTGTGCCCGAAATTTACGAAGGGTTATTATAAGGGGTTGTCCGAGTTTATAAGGGATATTATATCAAAGATGAAGATTTTTAGAACAAGTAATGCTTAAACTCGTTCGGGATATTGTATCAAGCCAGCCCGTCCGACAGATATTAAGGAAGAAACGGTAGCTCATAGCATCCGGACAGTGTTGCCGACAGGTTCGCCCACGACCCAACACAGCATTTGAATAAACTGCTCCCACCTGCTCCTTTCACCCCCTGAAAAGTCAATAACAGGCGTCAATTGTACTTTGAGTATCCTGCAATCATCGATAAACCCTTGGACAATGCGAACGCTGCTCTTTGTGCCAGAAAGAAATGTAACAGGAATAATGCTGTGATTCTGGTATTTCTCGTCCATAAGACGACAGCCTATTGTCCATAAAATTGTCTGTATCTCGCTGGTGCACAGCGTTGTTTCTTTCAAGGGTATATGATTTGCGAGGTAACAACCTATATGTGGTTTTGCGGGGTTGCATTGGTCAAAGAAGGTTTCGACATTCCAAGGAAGATGGCGAGTTAATCGGAACAGGAGGTTTGTATCTCTGGGGCTATTGTAGAAATTAGCTGAGAGAAAGTAGCGAAGGGAATTTATATTCTCACACTACTAATTTCCAATCTGTGTTTTGAATTATGCCTGGGGCGTTACCGTCGCGATTAATGGATAAATGGGACCGGAACGCATTCCATAAATCTCTAGCCTGCGCAGCATCGTCCACTTCGTTATCTATAGGCAATACTGATGGACATCCATCGGGGTTATCCCAGGGTCGGACCTCTTCCAATAGTTGTCGCATCTGCCCGGAAGGGAAAGTCCTGATGAACTGCTCGTCATTATCACTAGGCTTACCGCTATAGAAATCCAAGCTGCTGACTTGGACGCGTTCTGATGTGCACTCGAAATAACTTCCATTTTGGTAAGTCAATTGGAAGACTTCTTCAATGAGGCGGAAGCTATCAGGAACGTGTTTTGGCGGCATTGTGTGGATGATAGGAGGACGTTAGGTACGGTTGTTTATAGGTAAGGAATCGCGGATGCCATGTCATGGACGGCTTACGGAATACACAGATTTAATCGCGTCGTGTACCCAGGTACATTCCATACCTGGTCCGGGACCCTGCAGATGGTTTGAAAATCAACCTAGTGAGTATCAGGGGCCAGTATGCAGTCTATTATAGACATCTACTAACGCCTGGCCTTCTAATCACCGTCGAGGGAGCTGGTTACCCCTGGTATAAACAATAAACCCTTGTTATATCTACATATTCCTAACGTTGAGCTTAATATACAGTATAATTGTAGGAAACGTGACCCCCGGCCATCAATATTGACTAGACTTATCAACCTTAGAGACTTGTAATAGATCCTTACTGAAGTATCACCGAGCTTGCCTAAGAAGTTCGATTTCATCGGTCACGACGATAGCATTTGGCGGAAGCGTGCGCTTACTAGGCCATTTCGTGCTTGGGCCATTAAGCTTTATGCGATCATAATCGCGAGACGAAATGCTCTGTTCACCGTTCCGTTGCTGGAATATATATTGGTAAAGTGGACGGTAAGTGGGGATGGATGTAGCTAGAAATTCCACTGCTAATTCCGTAGCAGTGAGTAAGCCAGATGGTATATTATCCCCTAACAGGAGTCAGTTGAAATGGGTTAACTCGAGTGTGATAATCGCGGGACACCTTACAAGTCGCGTCTGACGTTTGCCCGAGCTTGGTGATGTATTTCAACTGAACAATGCTCACGATACAAGTTCTATGGAAAACATTCAGTATATCTATTTCGACACGAAGTGAGTAGGGGACCCAATATTTACCCAGCACCCGCAGCGAACATAAGTAATAACATCCACTTCTTTTGGCGGGAGACCTAAAGCCGTAGCACCAATGGAATCGGCATGGTGAGGATCGTAAGTTCTGTCACAAAGTTGATCACGTAGGCCACGAGCGCCGATTTCCCATAGTCAAAACAGGTCCCGGAGATGCTCGGATCCCAGGACGTAGCAATAGGAATGCACTGTAGATCTGATGTGATCAAGACCTGAAGGGCGAGTGCCGTTGCTACTGTGGCAGCTACCCATGTAAGACGGTCGAACCAAGCTACCCGAGAACCAAAGAGTTGGCGATATAATAGTAGGACACTCCACTTGAGGAGTGCTAGGGCACATGCGTATAAGTTTTCGTTGGTAAGATTGAACTATAGTTACTAGGGTTAACACAAATCTGATAGGTAGTGCCTTGTTGAAATGAACTTTTACATGAGAGATGACACATCAACTCTATCGAAAAGGCTGGAACAAGACTTACAATCTGTAAGAGTCGAACATCGGTGGCAAATATGATATGACGACCTGCACCATAACGTGTGGTAAGGCCAAAGCAAACAATGAATACAATGTAGAGAAACTGACACGGGTTAGCCAACGTAGAGGCGGGAGAGAATATAGATCGAGTAGGACTACTCATGCGAGGAGAACAAGCCAATCGTTTGGGTGTAGCTGTAATGAACCATGCAGAAGTCTTCGAGAGATGATGCGAAGGGCCACGAAGAGGGTAGATGCCACAGAGAGTATTGCACAAGCCACGATTATATCGGGGACTAGTGTATCACTTGCATGCTCTTGCATCCAAGCTATTTCTTCCTTGGTAGGAATCTTTGGGCCCGGCATTTGGATATCTTCAGAAAATCCCGTGAAAGCTTTGTGATGAATAAGTGATGTGATGTAAGGTTAATAGGTAATAAATATACAATTCTAACAGTACCTAACAGGTGTCCCCTTATACTACGAATGGCAAAAGGATGTGCATAGATTCAGGCTACGGGTCGTTGGCAAGCCACATACGAAGCGCGGGGGAAAGAAATGATCAAAAGGCGAACTGGGGACCGGGAGACTGTCAGCCCTATGAGGAGCTATGAAGAAGTTATAAGCTACAAGGCTATACTGAAGAAAAGGTCATTGCTAAAAGGGGCTAACAACGGAACTATTGGAATTACCTGTATGTATTATGCATGGTCATGACCAACAGACCAGGATAATAACAGGTAGGTAGATTATACTATACCTCTCTATCCATGCTTGTGCATATGCACCCTATGAGGGTGAACCTAAAAAGTTTCTATTGATAGAATGACCTAACTGATTAAGAGTATTGGCTAGGAGCGCTTATGGCTAACCGCATAGTTCAATACCAAAGTTTCCAAGGCTTGCGTAAGGAATAAGTTTCCTACCTAGGTAGGTAGGTAGCTACCTGCCCAGAGGTATCTGTGGTGTTGCTTTTTTCGAATACCCTAACCAACGAAGAACACTGTAAAGAGTCTCACTTGAGACTCGTTGGAACAAAGGAGTTGTTTTGCATATAGCTTTGGCTTCAAAGTTACTGTATTTAGAGTTCCTTGAGGAACAACGAAGTTGTTTTCCTACCTCATCCTCTGCGACGTGACAAACACATACTATAATATAGTAGTCAATGCGTAATTCTATAGATTGCTGCCTATAACAAAGCCCCGACCTTCTTTAGCGCGGCGGGCTCATACGGACCATGTTACAGGAGATGAAATAGATAATACTCGATCTTATTATTAGACTCCCAACACGCAGAAATAGCATAGGAATATGAATTCTGTTGCAAATACAAGTCAAACCCTAAAATATAGAAGCTGTAACTACCTAGGTATCTAGTACTTCTGCTGGTCCTTTGAAGGCGGGATACTAAGACTTCCCATCCCAGGGACTTGACCTAACCAGTTTGGTCTGAATATTGCAATATGACTTCATCCCTTCAATACCCCATTCTACTCCGAGGCCGCTGTTTTTATGGCCACCAAACGGGTAGCTAGCACCAAGTTCGGCATGGCTATTGATCCAGACTGTTCCAGCCTGTAACTTACTAGCCATCCGTTCTGCCTGGGCGATGTCTTGTGTCCATACAGAAGCCCCAAGGCCATATCGGGTATTATTCGCTCGCTTAATCACGTCCTCCTCATCAGTCCATTTGATGATGGGAATTACAGGACCTGGAATATCAACATTGTCAGAAATTGTAATACTTAATGGGGTTGTCCTGTTAACTTACCAAACTGCTCTTCGGCGACGATCTTTGAGTCCTCGGGCGGGTTGTCGATGACAGTTGGAGCGACGAAGTAGCCAGTATATTTCCCGGCTCCCGGCGTTGGCTTAGTACTTCCGGCTATAAGTTTAAGACCGGTCCTTTCAACTTCAGAGAGCAGCTCTCGCACGCGTTCGAATTGCTGTACATTAGTAAGAGGAGGGATAAAGGCGCCATCCGCGAACCCATCACCTAGTTTCAAGTGCGGCAATACAGCGAGCAATGTTGCCACGACCGTGTCATACACGGATTCATGAACATAAAGGCGCTTAATTCCACAACATATTTGCCCAGCGTTATCGAACGCAATACCTGTGATGGTAGGAATTGCAGCCGGGTCCACGTCTGCACATACGATGGCTGGGTCATTGCCTCCGAGTTCGAGAGTAACCCTCTTGAGAGTCTTGCTACAACTCTCCATGACCTTTTTTCCGGTTTCAATCGACCCAGTAAATGCAATTTTGTCAATATCGGGATGTTCCGTCATCCATGGTCCCAGCCTATCGTCACCACTAAGGGCTTGAAGCACACCGGGAGGAAAGAATTGTAGCCCTAGCTCCGCTAATTTAAGGTTGGAATAAGGAGTAAATGGTGATGGCTTCAAAATCATGACATTGCCTGTCAGCAATGCAGGTGCAATCTTGCCGCATGCTAGAGGGTGCACGGGGTAATTCCAGGGGATAATCGCCGCAACGACGCCAAGAGGCGTGTAGCGCGTCGAGATCCGACGGGTGCTGTTGTCTTCAATCACCGTTTCTAGAAGCGAGAGCTGGCAAAATTCACGAATCCACTCAACTCCAGTTCTCATCTCTAGTTGAGCTCGAGGGAACTATCGATTTGGTTATTAATTACCATTTACACCATCCGTCATGGGATAACGCAATATCATACCGGTTTGCCTTGCTCTCTGGTGATCAACGCGGCAAAGTCGTCTATTTGAGCCTCAAGAGCGGACGCGAACCCTTCCACGGCCTTCTTGCGGTCTTCCCAAGACACTTGAGCCCAGGATTCTGCCGCCTTTTTGGCAGCCTGGACGGCCTTATCAACATCCTCAATCGTACTGAGGGGGACATCAGGATTGTTTTTCAGGGTTGAGGGATTCACCGAACGACGCGTAGTTTCAGTGCTGGTGAGTTTCCCGTCAATGACGTTGAAAAAATTATCGAAGCTAATAGGCTGAAAGGATGGCATTGTTGCGTCCGACAACGATTGTGGCGTGGAGCAATCTTAACAGTAGGCTAAGTGAGGCCAAACGGATATTGAAACTCAGCTAGAGCATAAGATAGGGGTTCAAATAATCTAGAGATGTCAACCCGCAAGATAAATGAAGATGTAAGCGGAAGGTCCTTGGTGGGAAAATTGGACTCGAAAGTATGGTGATGTTTGATGTTGGTCTGCCAACTCTTTGATGTTGAAAAAGCCACCCCTTATTGTAAGCGTTCACACTCCAGAAATGATACTACATCTGCAGTGAACAAACACAGCCTGCCGCACTAGCGCCCATTCCAGTTGGAAATCGCACCAACGCGAGGTTATGTTGCATGTCAATAACAAGTTAGCTTAGCTATAACCGCCAACTTGCGGGCGGCCACAAATTGCACATGCCAAGCCATTGAAATCTCTTTGGCATGGACATTCTCTTCGACTCAGAAACTAAGGGACTATATAGCAACTGTGATGAGGTTATTTTGTATGTTTTCTCCGCCTGTGGTAAATTAAAGATAGATACCTTTAACGCAAGTCAAGTTGCACTGCGATTCTATAGAGGCTTCCATTTCATCCCAGACTCCTCGAGCTGGACTAGACGGCATAAGTAAAATCAGTAGTATAACTGCTTCTCCATATACGATATATGAAATCCCTTAAAAGATGTTTTAGTCTTTAGTGTATTCGGCCAAAAAGCTATTATTGCTAATAGCATACTTTAGGTACCACCTACCTTGGTATATACTACAATCTAATTAAATTTGGCCCTTGCATGCACCAACGTGGAGTTATACGGCTGCGAGCAGCAATAGCCCCGAAATAGCATCCTACAAGCTAATTCAGTCACTCCTAATTGCCTTTTAAACAACTTTATAGCCGCCGATATGATAAATGGAGGATATCACCAACCATGATGGATCAGCGGGTCCAATAAGCCAAGCTCAAGCTTGATTTGCCTTGGATATATCTTATCTTCTTTTTTAGCATATTTGCCCCAGTCGAATAAAGATTTTCTATTACATGAGGCCACAACTTCGGGTGGCACAGGAGCCGAATGGTACCAAACGACGATACAACCAACACATTCCTTCAACGATAATGCACCCAATAAAAACGCCTAGAATATTACGCGCCAACAAATTTCCGAATTCGGACGAACTGGCTTGATACAAGATCCATATCCATATACCATAATCCATAACGGAGTTCAGGCATTTGATGTGACTGAATATATGGCTTATAGGAGGTACCTGATATATAGCAACAATTCGGCCAAATAAACCCCAATTCTCTCACTTGAGAATCCTTGGGAACAAAGGAGTTGTTTTCCTACCTCATCCTCTGCGACGTAACAGTGATCCTACTTGATGGTCCTAACCTTAAAATCCCATGTATAGATTGCCATATCCAACACTGTCTCCGTGGCGATGGATTATACACTCAATATAGGAAGTAGGTAAATGGTAGTGATCCACACACACCACAACTTCCATACAGCCTCGTCAATAGCTTTGCTCTTACCAAACAGTGTCAAGAACGCCATAACACTCCCAATAGATACGGACACCGACCAAGCAGTCCCCCTCACGTTCCAAAAGATGGGGGATACCAGCGACCAGAAGAGTATGAAAATGGCCAGCAAAGCTCGGGAATATGTTTCGGCGTAAAGGAGCGGTAACGTATTACGATGCCGAATCTTGTCGCCATCTATGTCCGGGAAGTCTTGAGCAAACACAGTGGTAGTAATGATGACAGAGGTCAATACTAGCCAACGGCACAGCTTTTCCTGTTGATCACCAACCTGCTGTGGGCCGCCGAGGAGGATGCTGACAGCACCCCAGCCAAAGCAGGCAAGCCCGCCAGCGTTTATCATGTTACGCTGCCAGGGGCCCGCATCTGAGCCGTCGAGATCATTATAGAGCCAAATGAAGGTCATTAGGGTTACACTGGGTAGCAGCCCCCCAATAAGTAGGCTAACAACGACACTCGTGGGAACCAAGACTCTCAGGATGGCTTGCGCTTCACTAGTAGTAATTCGTCCTGCAGGTAATGGTCGCCACGGTTTGTTTAGCCTATCTTCCTGCACAGAGCTCGCAAGGCGCTGGTTTGCAATGTTCTCGACCAGTAGGTGAAGCCAGAGCCAGCCAAGCATGTAGGGTGATCGGCTTAAGATCTGAGCCATACCCTCTTGGGAGTTCTTGGTGGTAGAACGGGTTAAGGAGGTGGCTGTAGAAATTGCAAAAATGCTCTGTGGGATAATCACTGTTTTAAAATCGCTTTTCGTGAACAGGAACATTGTCTTGGAATGGTAAATAATAAGGTGAGCTATCTACATTTTACAGAGTCACAAGTTAGTTCAAGGTAATCAACTGAGGAACAAAAGCTAAGCAGGGATGCTGATACCTTCTTCGGGCGGGTTGTATAGAGACTTCCATTCTCCCCGCTGATATTCGTCTTTGCCGCGATAGACATCTTTTGTTGAATCTTCACAGCTTTTAGTAATGCAAGCCAGAAGTGTAAGCCAGAAGAGAACAAATCAAGGTATGAACTATACGGTTTCCGTGGGAAGATATTGCCGCAGGATATCCTGTTATTTATACTGCTTCGCGATACTCATATCATGCTTATCCCTCACCTAAGCCTCTTAGTTTTACGAGGTAGTTCCTTTACTTGGTTAGCACCGATAAGGCTAATACGCTGTTGCGCGACTTGTGGTTATAATACATATCATGAATCACGTACTAAAGCCCGAGCTTATTCGGAATATTATACATAAGGCCACCCTTCGGGTAGTATAAGAGCCCCAACTTTAACTTGCCTTAGATAGCTTACATATAGCTTTTCGAGCCATAACAGATACAATACATACATTGAACGGCCGTTGGGCCTGCGGCTGATCCTGAACGGTCCTCTGACCTATAGCTTTTTGTCTATCATACCGAACGGCCGCTGGATTATGGCGATGACTACCTCTAGAGAGGGGGCTTTCGAAGTGCATAGCCTATGAAAGGAACCAATGAAACATTTCTTCGTCGACAATACACCTAGTAAAGGCGCTTAGAGTGTTGCTTACAAGCGAACTTCCCAATTTAGACGAGCTAGCTAGATACAAAATCCAGATCCAGACCAGACCCTGAAAGAACAGAACAAAATTCGGGCACTAACCGCAATTCTCTATATGGTCGTGGAGTTTGTCCACGATACTTCTGAAGTGGAGTATTATCAGCCTTAGGTACCTACGTGCGTATAACATGATTTTATCTTGACAGGGTATAAATCATAGTTTCGGATTCCTGAGCTTAACTTAGGTATGTACTATATATATCCGTAAGGCATCCTGCCCCTGTATAAGACAGGCAATACTAGGTATAAATCGATCCACCAGTACTATGTAGAAGTCATGTACCTCTTCGTTTGCTTTCGTCTCTTTAACTTGTGATTCTATTCACCAGCCTTCGCATTGCCCTTCGGAAGAACTTTGAAGTAGATATGTTACCATCTTATGCATACTCCTGAAGCTCAGTACCAAGATTCACTTGAGAATATCTCTTCCAGACGATGGGACTCAACATGCCTTATCACAAGACTGCCTGCACTGCCTTTGCTTTGACTTCATGCTTAGTCTTTGCACGGCTCGTCGATCATTTGATGCAGCCACGAGATCTCACTTGGTGGTTATCCCTAGGCATCTTGGGTATCATTCAGATTGTGAGCACGCCTACGTCACAGGCCTTGATAGAAGATACTAATTATAAAAGCTATGTTGCATGCTTCTCTACCGACTCGCTTTTCACCCCTTAGCAAAGTACCCAGGCACTCTTTTCGCAGCCTGCACAGACCTGTGGTCGGTGTACTGGATCATCAAGGGTAGTCGGCACCTAGAGCTTCATCGCCAGCACCAGAAGTTCGGTATGCAGCAGGCAACACCTATAATCCGTAATCTGTTGTTCTAATAGCATGCCAAGAACATTTGTGCGTCATGGGCCCAACCGAATCTCCGTCAACTCCGCCACGGCATCCCGCGCCCTCCACCATGTGAACGCTAATGCTTCACTCTCTGACACCTACGGCTCTTTCAAGTTTTTCTTTGGGACTGAGATGTCCATGACGACGCTTGACGATCCTCTCCATATGTCCCGACGCAAGATCAATGCGACTGCCCTCACACCTACCGCAGTAAAAAACCTCTCGCGCAGGATTACGCCTCACGTTGACACTTTGATCGATATATTGAAAAGTGGCCTCAAATTTCCAAATGTTGCAAAGGGCGAATGCAACGAGTGGGGCCCTTCTCACGATATGGAAGTTCTACTAAAGTACTGCATCGCTGACATCATGGCGGATACGACTTTCAGTCACCATTGGAACGCACAAGGCGACCCTACGTACCGTCACTTTATTCACGGGTTTCCGCAAGGGGTTGCCGGGATCCACCTAACCGGGCATATACCATGGATATTCCGCTTTAATCTCCATAAAGTGTTCTTCAGGGAATTGCTTGAAGGGGTAACTAAGCTTAAGGCGGCGAGTGATCTATTCGCTGATAACAGGGCCTCACGTGACCCAGATGATGGCAAGGGAGCAGACATCTGGTCAACTTTGCAAAAGGCTCAAGACCCAATTACAGGCCGCGGATACCTTCATGAGGAGCTCAGGTCGGAATCTGGTTTATTAATCATCGCTGGCACGGATGGCCTCATAACTGCGACGACCTCGACCCTATTCTATCTACTTCATAACCCATCATCATTAGCTAGACTTACTCGAGAAGTACGAGACACCTTCCCCCTTCACACAGCAAAGGGGCTAGCGATCACGTTTGCAGGCCCGGAACTACGAGGTATGTCCTATCTATATGCCTGCATTGACGAGGCCATGCGCTTGAGCCCCCCCGTGCCTAGTATCCTCCCGCGCTGTGCCCACCGCGGTGGGATTGTTGTCGAGGGGGAGTTCTTCCCGGAGGGCACCAACATTGGAATTCCTCATTACAGTCTCCACAGAAACGAGACCTATTTCCCTCGCCCCCTCTCGTACGAGCCAGAGCGATGGATGCCGAAACAGTCAACGAAGGCCTCGGAGCAGGAGAAGACTGAAGACGATGACACCGCAGCCAAGGATGCTGGAAACCAACTAAGAGCCGGTGCTGGTCTGACAATCTCTTACACACCTTTTGGCGCTGGGCGGTATAACTGCGTTGGGAAGTACTTGGCATATCAGGAAATGGCCTATATTCTAGCACGCCTGGTATGGCTGTTCGACATGCGCGTCGAACCCGGTAACACACTTGGAGAGGGTACGGGAACAGGAGAGTGGGGCCGCTTCAAAAAGGAGGAGTATCAGTTGTACGATGGTTTTGTGAGTGAACAGGAAGGCCCCGTTGTGCAGTTTAGATACAGGAAAGACCTTACTGCTGCTACTTGATAGACTCCAAGATATCGCTCGGAACTTGAAGGTTAAAGCCAGGCATGGCGTGGGCGAGGCGGCGGAAGGAATGTATATAGTGATTAGGGGGTTGGCGTTCGGACCACTAGCTAACCCCTACATGAGAATAGGGGTCGCCTCTCCTTATCGGTTGGTAGGAATATTGCGTTTAAATGCAAAACCGGAAGTATATCGTGCATTACAGTGAAATCGGATTGTGATGCCGTGCAACCTACAATTAAATTGCCGAGTGGAGGCCCCTCTGTTTGCAGGAAAACGTAGAGTTACAGAAGAGCTTTTTGGACGCATTTCTTAAGAGCATGACACTGAAGGGTGATCGACCGGTTTTGCCCCTAAGGTTAGTCTAGTTTTACAGAAAGAGAACGTCGGGTATAACGATGCAGAGGCCGATATTAAAGATCCCCAGATTGTCCAATTCGTCACGGTTCCTTTTGCCGACGAGACGGAATTTACGGACCACGTTGTAGTCCACCTGAACGTGTCAGCGTCGAGTTTGTCGCAGAAGGAGACGAACCCATTAGAGATCGATATCTTTATTACGTTGCGATACCTCGACACGCGAGGGCAAGAAATACATATACTACACCGGTACCGCGTCCCCGTGACGAAGGGCTGGGTGCGCATCAGTCTGAGGAAGGTAGCGGACGACCACCCTCGCATCGGGCTTGGCGCCCCCATCGGGAATACCGCTCGGCGGACGTGCGGCCTGTGGATAGTGGGGCGGTGTACGCGGTAGACGTGGAGGTTGTGGCCGACTAGCGTGGTCGTCAGCAGGGGCCATCGATTGGTGCTGGATTGTCTCGTCAGGGGACACGCAGGGGGGAGGGGACAGGGTTGTTCGAGCATAATTCCGATGGAGATCGGCCGCGAGATCACTTGGAGGGGTTTCATAGTATTCACTTTGGCTCTGGGCGGAACAATTGGGTTATGTTGCCCCTCATTCCCACCCTGTTAAGGTACCTACTGTATGGTATGTGTGCTACATCATGCAGGTGCCTGGTAGATACTGTTTTAGAAATGCATTGAAGCTGCGTTTATATGCGCCAGTATATAACGCCGATGTCGTAGCCACATACAAGTAATCTTATATAGGTAACCAACGTCTCTTGGGTATATCCCTTGCTTAAAATAGCGGGTAAATAGCTACACTTAGTTCAATACTCTTTTTCATGTCGTCTACACACACCCCTAACAATCTTCGTGCACAGTCCAGGTTCATCACCACACACGACGCCTCCGGGAAAGCGATATTTAGCGATGCCATACCAGAGCAGGCGCCAGTCCGCCAGGTCATGGGCGGGGACATGTTATTCAGCTTGATGTACACGACGCAGGGATTCCCCGTATCGATGGCCGACGGCAAGGACATAAAGACGTACCAGAACTACCTAACCAACACTCCAGCGATCAGCATCCCCAGCGGAACCGCGTGTCGTACTGTGGACTTTCCGCCCGACTACACGACGCCAATGCACCGGATGCCGTCTTGCGACTTCGGCGTCGTGCTGGAGGGCGAGGTAGAACTGATACTGGACTCGGGCGAGACGCGGCTGCTGAAGAGAGGGGATGTGTCCGTGCAACGTGGGACGAACTACGCGTGGCATAACACAAGTAGGGACAGCTGGGCGAGGATGCTGTATGTGCTACAGTCGGCGGAGAAGGTGGTTGCGGGAGGGATTGATTGAGTAACTATAATTTGACCATATTTATCGAATCATTACTACTGTAGGTTTGGCAAACACATACACCCTTTCTCCAGTAACAGGCACCTAACAATGATTACATATCGTGGGGGTTGAGTTAGAGAATACCTTATCCCTAAGGAGTGGATTCTCTGATTTGTGGCGTTCGGAGTTAAGAGACAAGGTTTATCGTCATATATAATATTTGGATTTACAACAGCTGCGAATAATTAGATGGTGGCCATTATATTTAGAATCATGCTGAACGTATAGAATGTAAATTGCCGTAGTACAAGGGTAAGTGATACCCCTATTAATAGGGACTCCCTAATGCATTGTCAATCCTGCCCCAACCCTACGTCACTAATTCCCCACACTCGAACCGGCATTCTCATGTTGGGTATCATCAGGTAATAGTTGAGTATATGCCATCAGTGAAGTGATAAGACTGATTTCAACACCTGCTTCAGCTTGGAAGCTGAGTCCTTTTCCCATCTCGGACTCCTCCACACCACAAAGTAGTCAGGCCTTACGAGCACACAGCCAGAGTCTTCAACGCCTCTGATCCCCTCCCAGTCGAGGTATATGTCCTTATAATCTTGTCCGTACCCAATCGAATAGGCCTTAATCGGCACGCCAGTTTCGGAAGATAGCTCTTCTGCCGCCTTCTTCCAATAGTGGCCGCCAATGCCGGTGAAGAGCGTAAACCGCCCCTTTCCGGCCAGATCAATGGTAGAGATGTACTTAGACGGGATGTGGTTCCCTAGCCATACGTGCGGAAGACGCGCCCCTGGGTACGTGGTGGGATGATAGTACTGCAGCGGATCTCTAGTGAACGCCGGCATCGCTCCTTGGTCGGCTTGGTAGACAGCCGAGGAGACGTAACGCTGGTTCATCTCGATGCCGAGACCGTGAACCTCTCCGTTGGCTGCCCTGAATGCCTTGGACAGCCTTTCCCTCCGAGCGACACCTTCCGGTGATTCAGCGTAAATCTCTTTTTGAACTTTCATACGAGCTTCCGCTGTTACCTCCGTGGCACCGAGAACCTCAACAATTTCCTTTTGATTCCTGAAAGATGCGTTTGCTCTGGGCCATAGTGAGATTGATGACCCTTTATAGAATGTTGGCCGTGCTTCAACTTACTGGGTAATAACATCTAGTCCAACTGGTTGACGCTCTATACTGTACGTGCCTAACAATTCCTTTCCTGCTAAACCTATACAACGAACGTCTCGTTAGTACACGCATTATATTTGGAGTAACTCCTTTTATCATTTACCTTTTTCGACAAAGTTAACCTTCCAGGCAAGGTTATGCGCATCTTGAACGCAAGTATTCGACCCCAGACCATTAGTCGGTGGGTGCCGGTGTACCGCATCTCCTAAGCAGAACCTATTTTTTTCGCATCTTTGTCAGTGGGGCCATACTTAACGGGTTGTTAAGAGGTTGGGTCTGTACTAACACATTGCCCTTGGAATAGTACTCTGCGACTGTCTCGTTGATAACCCAAGTAGATACGCCCAATATTTTTACCTCGGCTGACTCATCCCCAATCAACTCACGGATACGTTGAATGTATTCTTCGTTAGACCTGACCTCCCTAGGGGCATTGGGAGCAGGGAGTAGAATACATAACCATTCGAACCACGGCTTGACCATCCTCATGCACCCGGACAAACCCCACTCCGGATTCTCCCGATCGGGTTGCAGAATCCAGTGAAGATTACCTTTGCGAGTCTCCATGAGATGCGATAAGTCTGCCTGGAACAACAGATTTACTGCAAACCCCTGACTAGGTCGCCGTATCATTGGAATTTCGACGTGCTGGACGACCTTGCTTCGCGCTCCGTCGGCGCCAAACAAGTACTTGGAGCGAACTTGAAACGTTGTATTGGAGAGCTTATCCAGCAACGTTGCAGTCACTCCATTTTCATCCTGCTCGAACGTTAATAGCTCAGTATCCCACCGACATTTGAAGCCGTTAAGTGTTGCATATCGCGTCAATAACGGTTCCAGTAAGGTTTGAGGCAGATCCAACATCTTGGACGGGCTCGCGAGCTCATAGTCCCCCTAATCACGAAACTTGTCAGATTGTGATTCGGTATTGACAAAGAAGAAGCTGGTATCAGTTGAAGTAAGGTACCTTTCGTTTTGGGTCATTTCCCCAAGAATAAATACGACCATACTCTAAGCCGGCCATGGTATTGCACCAGCGAGTGTGAATCATGGTATTATTCTGTGTTCCTAGTTTATAGCATTCCTCGTCGATTCCAATATCCCGAAAACAGTCTACCCTCTCATTAGCCTTTATCATGAGCTTCTGGGGTTTGATATCATACCCATCGCAGCCATATTTGTGATGTGAGCTCTCGGCGTATCGGCACTGCTTGGATCTCGGCTTATAATGAGACCCTTCATCCCTAAGAGAAGACTGATATTAGAAACTAGTGGTTTTTATTGCCAGGAAACTTTAAAGTCTCTTCTTTTTTCCTTATCCTTATCCTTACCATACGAGGCCATGAAGGCTGCCAATGAACCACCGGCAGGACCGGTTCCTATGATGAGGTAGTTGACATGCAGTAAAGAGGACGAGGAGCTACTAGGCTCGTTCTTTGATGCGGTCATGGTGAATAACTTTACGCGTTAGTAATACCTATAAAAAACTTGATCAGTTGATGTAATTATGTCGATGTAATTAGCCTCACATTGCAATGGGTTACCATACTATCCCCAAGCTTTTAAATAAAACCTGTTCAGACGTTTCTCTGCAGCTCCATTCAGATTAACTAAGAAATATGTAATTCTCATCAAGAACGACAAGCAAGTCTACCCCATGTTGACTCTCCCTAGTCCCGCCAAGGAGTTGATCGGGTCTTCCGCTAAAGCAGAAACGACCTAGTTGCGGATATCTACGCCTTAAACGGCTCAAACTAGCCTTGCGGGTGGATCCATTCCCGGGATTCCATACCCCTGCCGATGGTATGGTAAGCTTCAGATAAGCATCAACTAAGGCTGGATGTTCCCCAGAGTTGATACATAATAGGTCCGTTAAAGCCCTAGGGGTTTGGAATTCACTTAAAAAGCAACATCATGTGTCCCCAACCACTCATCACACCTTCTTTCCGTACCAGCAAGAATATCAACCCCTAACAGACTCTTCTGGTACTCAGCATCGCCCCAATTGAACGAACACCGGCTTTTCCACTCCGTACCAGGCAGCGCTGCCAACTCTTCGTCACGTGCTTCTTGCTCCGGGCCGTCGGCCAAGTGATAATAATGGCGAGTATGCACCGCGCCAGCTACGTTGACTTTCGTCCGCTCTTTGCGAAGATCTTCGTATAGACGGAAGAGGCTCGCTAATTTCTTATTCTTTTCCACTTGACCGGATGGAATGCCGGCGTTCTGGAACTTCTCCAGGAGCAGGCCGATGACAGCGCCGTCTTCGACGGCCATTGCGGCTCCTTGGCCCTGGTATGGTAGCGTGGGGTGAGATGCATCTCCTAACAGAGCGAGTGTGCCCTAGGTATAGTGAGGGTTAATATCTAGAGAAATTCAGGATGGACGACTTAGGCTTGTTGGCGTTTGCATACCTTGGTCCATTGGTCGAGCTCCTTAAAGTGAAGAAGCTTCCATTTCAGTGCCGTCCTTAGACATGAAATAACTTCGGTGAGACTAACCCAAATTTAGAAAAAAAAATGAAAACAAGAGAATTGACAAGACACATACATTGGATCCCATCCTTCGAAATTCGCCGCCATCTCCTGCACGCTGCCTTGAGAGGTACGCACCCCACTAGGTAGATCGTCTGCCGCTCTGTTATAACTTAGGAATTGCACCGCCCCTGACTAAGCTCCTTTGAAAAAACTTACATCAACACGAGGTTGTACTCCGTATGGTTCCTCAGAGGATAGAAGACAGCATGTCTTCCCGGACCTAGCCATACCTGGATATTTGACTGCTCCAACAACTTGTCTATGCGCTCGTTATGGAGCCCCTTGAGCTGATCGAGCGCGAAAGTGCCGCGATATGCAAGATCCCCGGTTTCGGTTGGCGGAAATGGTCGTCCTAAAACGATTTCCCTGCTCATCGACCATAACCCTAGGTACCCCTGGAGTTTAGTTACCATGATAAGGTGACATTTTTTAGTAATAGTAAAAAACCTACCATCCGCCCCTATGATTACATCCGCGCTGATCTTCCTCCCATCTTTTAGAAATAACTTCTGAGGCCCGTCCGGGGCGAGGTTGACGCTGGTGACGTCTGCGCTTGTTAAAACGACTGACCCCAAGTCCAGCGCCTCTTTGAGCAGTGCGCTTTGATAGTCGCCCCTGTGTATCGCTCTTTTATCCAAGGACAGTCGACATAGTCAGAAATTTACTTCCACGAAAAGCTACTAGCTAGGGACTGTAGGGCTCTTATCTGTTCTTACATCCACTGTGCGCCGTACTCTGTCTCCATTCTACCCTTGAGGGGCTTTTCGACGAGGATCTTGCCATCCTCATACCTCCTCAACGTGAAACTGTCTACCTCGTATCCGCCGGCTTGCTTGAGCTTCTCGAGGAGTCCGTAACGGGCTAGCACCCGGCACGCGTTAGGAGGAATGTGGATCCCGGCACCGATGGTGAGGATTTCCGGCGTGCGCTCGAGAACGGTGACCTGGAGAGGTGGGTTCGCTCGACGGCATGAGATGGCGCATGCTAGACCGCCTATCCCTGCCCCCACGATGGCGATATGGAGTCCGTTAGGGCTGGGTAGATTCTTCTCATGTAATTAGCCAACGCGGGATTGTCCTCAGTATAATAGAAGTGTTAACTTACACTGGTTTTTGATTGTTCCTCTGCCATTGAAGCCAAATTCTCCGTGGATTCTTTTGTTTAACGTTAACAATACAAATAAATGTTTACAGATTTTTTTTTTACATCACTGCTAACTTGGAGCGCATGAACATTTTATAGAGCCTCTTATTTGTCATGTTTCTGACATGGACAGTTATTTTCACAGCCCCCTCCGCTGGTGAGGTTTCCTCATTCACCCTACCTCGGGTAATTAATCTTATCTTATATCTCAATCTTATAGTACGACTTCTGACCGTTCAACTATGTATGAGGCTCAGAAAAGCCTCTTACCCGTCCAGTCCGAAGGTAAGCTGAGTTTCAGGATTTTAGGATTTCAGTATCCCACAAAGACCGTCGGGCTTTGTTGGGCTTGATGAGTATAATAATACCTAGGTAGAGGTACCTAATAATAATCGCACTGTGATGATTTGAATTTCAACCACGCCTACCGGTATCCTAGGTATGCTCTAAGCACGCAGGTAGTGAACATCAACTGACAAATTGTTGAGCTAAGGAATTTGTCAAGAGGAATATGCTTCAAATCCGGCCCTAGGCATATCTTATATAAGTTGGTTAATGAAATCCAACGATGTTGTTAGTCGCAAGAAAAAAAAAAACTATCACCTCCATGTTATTTTTGTCTGGGAGAGTTCCTCTGTTTAATTAGCGATGTAATGAGTTCACTTCCACCGTCGGAAACTATTGGTAATTGTAAAGGTGCTCAATGCTTTCTCTAATAGATTACCTAGCTATATTTTATTCCACGAGCACTTAGGTGCTAACTCATTTTATAATAGCCTTAAAGTTTGAACTCTTTCTTTCCAATTCGAAGTGTGTCTTTACGAAGACAGAAGTCGGAAATAGTTGGTCAACACCGATTGAGATGAAGAAGTCTGAGTAATATCCGTTGTTGGCCGACCGATTCTCCCCGGACTTAAATGTGAATGTGGCCGTTCATGTCCTCTATCTCTGACGCTACTGACATAAGTTCGGCATGGTTAGTGGTCAGCATGAGACCAGCATGAGACAGGTATTCGAATAACTTTTGAGATCAAGCATGCATCCAGCTGAAAGTTATATCATTCGAAAGCTCTAATTGAGGCGAAACTAACGATATACTTTTTATATTTTGCATTCTTCGATTAATAGGAAAATAAATGGAAATATAGTAAAATTTGTGATTAGAAAGTGTGTGGCTTGTACAAACAGTGTAAGTTCTGTATGTGGTTGGTGGTGCGACTAAAAGAAAACTTTTAGCGCACTTTGGGCGAGCTTACCTTAGTTAACATAATATTCATATATTTCATAATCTTTCATAAAAGCTAATTAATTAATTAAAATATTAAAATTTAGTAATTAATATGTGCTATAATTACAGCATATATAGTGGTTATTACGTGCTATAATTTTAGCATGTTTAGCGAGTATTACAGCACATTTCCAGCGATTAAGAGCCTCAGAGCTCACCCCAATGTTGAAATCTTGGCCGCCCCGATCGTTACCTAATTAGGTTAGAGGTTGGGCTAATGGGCAGGGATAACATTGGGTTGACCTGTAGACTCTTGCTGGGGAGACGCGGGGTAGGAGACGCGGGGCTCGCGTCCCCCTAGCAGGCGAGGTGGGCGGCTTATTCCCGAGGACCTACGAAGGTCCGGGCCAAAAGTCTTGCACATGCCAAGCTTTTAGCCCAGGTACTCAGCGTGCGCAACTGTAATACTGTATTTGTTTGGTCTTAATTTAGGGGCGGATAGTGGTTTCTATACTAAATTCTAGGTGGCTTACCACTATACACCTCCGCCAGGATCCTGAAGGTTAGCGTCTCCATAGCCCCATACAGATTCCGCAAGTACACAATTGTAATAAACACGCTTAAAGCCTTACGCACAGCCAAGTTACTTAACCCAGTTAAGCTAAGTCAATACAATATCCCGAACAAGTTCAGGCAAAGTATTACGTACCTGCGTACATGTAGGTGCCACAAAATTCTATGGTGGGCCTTACTAGTCTACCTAAACCCTGGATACGTACCTTTTGGCTTGTTCTACATGAAACAAAAAATGAATTTTTTTTCTTTACTTCGTACAAGGTAGACAATGAGGTACACACACATTTGTCAAGTTGGGACAGTTGGGGGAGCGCCGACCATGTTTCTACCTGGGAATTGAGTCGCGACCGTTCCTGGTGTCTCAGACTGTGCCGCTCAGTACGTCTGCGTCCGTACGATTCTTTCCCGTAATCCTGATTGGGTTTCGAACTTATCTGAGGCTTTCCGCGCGTACGGAATACTTCCGATATGATTCCGAATCGATCCGAGCATGTTTTGACTCGGGGCGATTGGATTTTTCGTCCATTGCCGACACCTCCTCGGTTAACACATAGAATCTCGCCTCCTGGTCTAGACAGCACCTTGGTATCTTCCGTAAAGGGCACAGGAGGCGAGTCTCCTATCACGGCCGCGGCGGTATCGAATCTTCTATGCCATCTTAGCTACCTAGTCTTTCCTTGCTCAGTGTCGGAAAGCTGTACGTTGTCCTGGATGGGAATGTCGGCCCCGTTCTCCTCTGCTTGCAGACGTCTTGTATTGGAAAGAAGGTGCTTAGAAGGGAATGTCGGGGTACCTAGAAGATGCTGATGATGGAATGTCAAAAGATGCTATGGTTATTTGGATTGATGTTAAAGCAGTCGAATAGCACCTGGTAAGGCAACTGGCAACTAGCTGCTCAACGAACCATGTCACAATAACCTTCCAATGGTAGCTCGATTGAGTCTCAAAGTCATCCGCTGGACTCGGTATCAAAGCATGGGTTGATGGTATAACTTTGAGTTGCGAGGCTCGCCATTAGCAGACACCGACACCTTCCCGGCGCGGTGTCCTCTTGATATAGTCGAGCTCCTACCTCTAGCACAGCCCTGGCAAGGCATCGGCAGCTACGTCGCAATTCAGTCTAAGATCTCTGGCATTTGGAGGTACGTATCAAAAAAATCTTTAATATTTTATATTTAACACTCCTCTACCACGTCCTGAATTACCGACACTCCAACTTCAACCCTCTCATCCTTGACCATCACCCATAAACTTGAGCTTCTGTTCCGTCGTCCTACTATTCAGCCATCAAATCTACATTAGGTACGTGTTCGTTTCAAGGCTTGATTACTTAACATTCGTTTGCCCGTCGGGGTGTGATATCAATGCACCTACGACCTTACAGCTTCCTCCACTCGATTCTACCTCCTCTCACTACCTATAATTCCTCATCTCGCATACAACCACCATTACCTTTATTCTTTACCCTCACCTTCCATCTCGCGGCCTACCAAACTTCTACCCCAATCACCAAACCCAATTCACTTTCTCATAGTCACAGATATAGAATCGAGAGAGAGCTATTATTATTCATTGATTAAGAGAGCATAGAGCTTTACAGACAGAGCTATTGATTCTTACCTGATCAAGTGGTCATAATGGTTTGTAGAGAGCTTGTCATGATCGATCCATAAAGAGCTTTAAGAGCTTCGGAAAGAAAGCTCTTAGTACTTGTTGATAACGAACTCCAAGAGCTTTCAATACAGAGTTATTATGGCAGGAACCGTAGATGATTTCTACCTCGTAAGTCTTGGAGTAATTGATTTCTACCCTCTCTATACAACAAGATATAATAATGTAAATCGCATACTACCCGACAACAATAGCAAGGTAGGAAGAGTCTAAGGCTATTATTCCATGTGGACGATCGGAGTGCGTATGGTAGGTCTCTGTGCAATAGAATAGGATATCATATAAGGTCAGAATCATTTAAAAAGGGTTTATTAATTTCTACTCTATCAATCTTAAAATATAACTGATTCCTACCCCCAATCCTTATAAACAGAACATATGGGACAACAACAGCAATGTTCATAAATTTGACATAGCTATTCAATATGGATTATCTTGATACACACTTGACATCTACTTCCGTCCATGTTGTGTGGTATTTGAAGTAGAAATTAGTTGTAAAGTGGTGATTGATTTCTACTTAATATATTTCCTTATGTAACTGACTTCTACCTCTCAGTCCTTAGAAAAAGAAGATAGAAAATAACAACGTCGATGTTTATACATCAACTATAACCATTACATCTAAATACTCTTAAAGCTATTGCCTATCCATTAGTAATGGAATTGTGGAATAGTTGAGGTAGAAGTCAGTTAAAGAGAATGAATGGATAAGTACCTTGTGGATCTGTCAGTCGAATCGATTCCTACCCCATCTATACCTGAAGACATAGTAACCCTCCGTCCCAAGATATACGACGGCAACGACAAGGTGCGCACATTGCCATTTCTCGCAATAGAATAAGATGTCATATAAGGTAGAAGTGAGTTGTCAAGTGTTAACAGATTTCTACCCCCGAAAAAAACAGGACAATGACGACGATGTCTATTCATCCGATAGTACTGTTCGATACACATCATCTCGATACACATATTACCTCTACGTCTGTTCGAGGTATATCGTATTCATGAACTTCTACCTGATAGGTCTCCCCACGAAACGGATTCTTACCCCACGTCCTAATAAAAGAAGATATAAAAGAATCATAACAATATAAATATATCTTATAAATTGGTTCAATCTAAGTGTTTGGAAGAACAATTATTTATATACTTTATATAAAATTAAATATAGTTAAAGATAAGAATTAATTAAAAAGAGAATTAATTAATTTCTACCCCTAGTCCTTGTAAATGGAAGATATGGGATAGCGACGACGATGTTGATTCATCCCATAGAACCATTCGATCGAACCACGCCCAGCAGCATGGTTTATCTACTTTCTATAAAATCCTACGTAATTAAAGGTAAAAATCAGTTCAGAGCAGAATAAAAGAATTTTTACCCTATGTCCCTTTACGTTTAACTGATTTCTACCCTCGTCTATGGAAAGATATGGGACCCTTATATCGCAAAATATACAACGGTAACAACAAGGTCTAAAGCACCTGCGGGTAGTGTTCGATCGAGGTATATATATATATTACCTTTGTGCACCATGTGCTAAGATGTCATATAAGGGAAAAGTCAGGTAAAAGAATAGATTAATTCCTACCTTGTGGGTCTTCTAGTGACTGATTTCTACCTCTCTCTATAGAAACCCCAAGTCATGCAATAGAAAACGCCAACCGATAATATGGACGAATTCGACGTCACTGTTCGGCCCGGACGCTTTTGTAGAGAGCTGTAATTGATTTTTACCCCCGATCCACGGAATGGTATAGTACCATAAATTAGAAGATATACGATAAAAATAACGATGGGAGAAATGACCGTTTGAGGTACTCGATTGGGCTATATATTTTTTAGGCTCTTATAGCGAATTTAACATCGTTTAAGGTAAAAGTCAGTGGGAGAGACGTTTAATTGATTTCTACCTTCTGTTTCCTGTAACTGATTCTTACCCCGTGAATCTATATTTTACTAATTCTTACCCCAATGTCTTATAACTTATTTGTACTCCATATTTATTCAAAATGATTTTTATGAGAAAGATATATTTGGAATAGATTTCTAGCTCCTATTTTCTATACTTGATTTCTACTTGTTGGGTTTCCCGCTTATTGATTTCCACCTCCGATTGATTTCCACCTCCGGTAACTTGTAAATGATTTCGACCCCATGGGTCTATGCTTATTAATTTCTACCGCTTATCCTCTATAACTGATTTGTACCTATCAATGATTCCTGCCCGGTCATATCGTAAGGATTTTATATATCATCACAAGAGTCGATCCACGTGAATCGCCACGGCCAAGCATCTCCTAGTAGATAGAACCTCAATCAGTGCGCTTGGAAATCCTTTTGTACGGGACGGGATATGATTCGTGGCGGGGTGAAAACAAGTCAAGCGTACGAGAAACGCGGGGTTCTCACGAACTCACATGATCAAACCAACGTCCTGTTCAAGTGGCTTTCCTCGTAAACAATCCATCTTGTTATGACCTATGTCCTATAGTATAGAATAACAAGATCAATGAATCTATAGCTATATCTCTAGGAGAAGTCCATAAATCATAATCATACAGGATGTTTACCTGGAATCCATACGGAGAGATACTCACCCCAAGTGGAACAAGGAACATCAGCAACAACCATGTCAGAAATGGACCCTCGCGATGGGATACAAACAAGAGCCGTGCGCAGGACCTTATCGACGATGACTAGTAGTCAGTGTATTGACCACAATCTCCGACACGCAACACGATGTCAGGACTGGATGTAAGGGTTAGTGATAGTAGGGCTTACTTGTTTTTTATCTATATATTCCTATGACAGGATAGTATATAAACATCGTACGGCTTCGTGACTGGGACCCTTTTCAACACAGTGATAGCCGTATGGTGTACGGCACGGCGATGATTCACGTAAACATTTGGGTACTCTGAACCGAAAAGATACTGTCTTTATTTAAATTACTTATAATAACCCCTTATTACCATATTATTTTCGTTCTTCCCATGGATGCTACTTTATTTATATAAGAGATCATTATAAAGAATACCTTTTGAACCCTTTTATAATAAATTACTATTCACACCTTCCATCCCTTTCATAATAATTCCTAATTTCCTTTACGAAGAATATTACCACCATAAATACAGAGGTGACCCAACTGTATGTAAACGCCCGACGCGAGGGCGAAAAGGCGCAGAAAATTCCGACGGAAGTCCTTATCAAAGCCGATCGTAAAGGACCGGTAGGCTCTCCCAACACGGCGCCACGTCGGAAAGACTTCAGACGTTCCCCTATTCAGATCCGGTCCCGCGCTTAGCTCGAAAACAACCATATTTTTGCCGTCCCTTCCTTTCCTTAATTTTTATACGTTTTAAAAGCCCCGACATCCATAGGCACCACTATTTAGGCCGTAAAGCCCAACTGCCGTAGCAAGAGTACGAAACGGGGTACAACTAAAAGAACAGCACTAATAAAAATAAAGAAGGCACCTGTATCAACAGGTATAATAACAGAGAACGTTAAATAAGCCCGTGGCGACAGGAGGGCTAGCAGTAATACGACCGAGAAAAAAGCGCTAACTAAACTTAAGATCGGAATTGCTAACCGGCTTTATTGTAACTATAAATGCTTGTTGGAATTAGCGAACAACGGGCCGATAAATATAGCGTGCCTTAATTTTAAGGACTATTTGCTATAATATATTAACCAATTGGAATTCTTCTAGTAGATATAAGCCCAATTAGCAGTTAATTAAGACGTAAATACCGACGTAAAACTGTTTTATTTATAGGAATTAATTGGGGCAGCTTTTAAAGTTTATTTCTCTTTATATAACTATACTATCGTTATAAAAGGGATGTAAATAAATTATCGAACTTATTTATAATATAAGAAACATATATACAATTAATTATGTACCCTTTAAAGAAAATTTATTCCTATGTATTTAAAAACAGTAAACTTGGTGCTACTATATTATTATAACAGTAAGATCCACACCCAATTCCTATTCTTTAGCTGGGCTGGGCGGTGTTTCGCGCTGGCATCGTGTCCCACTAAGGAAACCGAAGGCTAGAACATCCTCGACCAGGTCCGGGCTAGGTTGTAAGCCATGCACAGCTTACATGTTCTCCACGGGGACGCCAAACCACGCAATATCATATACGATCCCGATCAAGGCAAGGTCATGATCTTAGATTTCGAGCGAACGAGACTCGTCAATAAGAAAAGTCTCCCTACCGAGGAACGGAAGCAGGGCCCCATGAAGTTGGCATCCGAGTTGGAGTCGGCCTTAGACGAGATGGACAAATGCATAAAGGAAAGAATCCGGCAAAGAAAGTATAAGGAGGAGTGGCATCGTTAGGGAATCCCCGAGCTCAACCAGGCATCACGATCACAACGGAGAATAAGAATCTGCTTATGATCGCCTTTAAGGTAGAAGGAAATAAAAATTCCTTCCGAATGATGTTAGCTAATTTCTACCCATAGGTCTTTTGTAACTGATTTTTACCCACGGTAATTTATTCATGGTTTTACCCCTTATTTATATAGAAACCCCAAGGGCGGTGTCCGGTCCGGTCTGTCCCGTTCCCGTTCCCGGAACGACAGATTCGGATCTATACCGCTGCCACGGTACTAGTAGAACAATAACAAGCTACCATACGAATCTTAGGATCGTACGAAATCATCCCGTACCGCATTCTATCGTAGTACGTATAAATAAACATGTGGATTCCGAGCGGTTCGCGTACCGCCTCCGAAGCGATTCCGAGCGGAGCGGCTCCGGTAACCCTAACCTTCCCATAGGAACGGTACGAACGACCGTGTCTCACAGGATCGGGGACGGTCACAATAGTTATGTAATTCTTTACTTATGGTAGCTTTTTATATACTTGGAAATAAAAACACATTAAGACTTATTATGACTTTTTAAATCCTGTCCTTTATAATTAATTTCTACCTCCGGTAACTTATAAATAATTTTTATTTTATGGATGTACGCTTATTGATTTCAACTGTATAGGTTTATACTTCTTAACTTTTACCTTTAGTTAATTTTTACTTATTACTCCTTTAGCAATCTTTTACTTTTTTATCCTTTATGACTAATTTCTACTTGTCCATGATTCCTGCCCGGTCACGTAGTAAGGAAACAAAAGGGTAAACAGCCATAGCAAATAGAAACAATGGATTTCAAACCCTCCGGATCGAAAGTGAGTCAAAAGCGCTCACACAACCTAGCTGATGTCCAACTAACAATCTGTTCGCCTATTAGGTTTGCCTACTAGTCAGGACGATATATAAGGTTGGAATCTATGGGAAAAGGTTGATTCATTTCTGCCCGTTGGTTGTAAAGGAACGGACGACTACTATAGTAGGACTTGAACATAACGGTCCATAACGGTAAGGCTTCATCCTTTCCATTTTTTTCTTTTTATACTAGTTTGACATCGTGTTCTGACATCGTGTAGCCAGGGACCTCGTACGGCCTCTTGACTGGGAGCATTTCCGAAGCACAGAGATCGAGGCTCACCTTGTTACGGCCGATAGCCATATGGCGGAAGACACAGAGAGAATGCCAGCAAACAGAGGAGTAACCCTAACGAAAATAAGATCTTATCGCCATATTGTTTTCGTTCTTCGCATGGATCTTCCTTTTTCCCTATATAAAGCATTATAATAAAAAACCCCTTTTATTTAAGGACGGTGGATTTGGTTCTACCGTATTATTACGACGGCCGTAATAACAAATATTTCCTATTCCTTAGCTGGGCTGGGCGGTCATACATTTTTTCGCCTTGTCCGGTGAATGAAACCGAAAGCACCAATATCATAAACCAGGCCCGCGCTGGGTTCCAGGCCATTCTTGACGTACATATTCTTCACGGGGATGCCAAACTACGCAATATCTTATATAACCCCCATAACGGCAAAGTAATAATCGTGGACTTTAAGCAATCTATACGCTTTAACCGGGAGTCGCTTAGTTTTCTTAATTCCAATAAAAAGCAAAAATATTTTGAAAGAGAGTTAGAGTCCATGACAAAAAGCCTTAAATATCATATTAATGAATGCCGAGGTGCCTAATCAACAAAAGTATTAGCCTTAATATGGAATCGATCTTATAAGTAAACATATATAATTACATATGACATAAAATAGCTTTTTCCTTAGATAATTTATTTCTACCCGGTAATCGTAAAGTAACGGATTACGATTATGTTAGGAACTATATCAAGACATAAATATAATGGTCCATAATGATAAGGCTTTATCCTTTCCTTTTTTTCCCTTTCTACACTGGTCTGACATCGTGTTATAAGGGACCTCTTACAGCCTCGTGACAGGGAGCATTTCCCAAGCATAGAGATTGAGGCCCACCTTATCGCGGCCGATATAGTTATATGGTTGAAGACATGCAGATGATTCCAGCAAATATGGTGGTAACCCTAAAGGAAATAGGATCTTATCGCCATGTTGTTTTGGTTCTTCGTATAGATCTTATTCTTCACTTATATAAAGGATCATAATATAAAACACCTTTTCTCCCCTATCTATCCGAACATGGACACAGAGGGTACCAAAACCGATCGCAAGGCACCGGAAGGGTCTCCCGACACGGCGCCACGTCGGAAAGGCTTTACGCGCACCCTTATTAAGCCCCATTCCCGCGCTCCGCCCCAAAGCAGCCATACTCTCGCCGTTCCTTCCGTTTCTCGATCTTTACGCGTTCGGAAAGCCCCTACATCCATACCTACCTCCACAGGCACAACGATCAAGATCGTAAAACCAAGTATCTGCAGCAAGAGTACGAGGCGGGGTGCAACCAAGAGGAAAGCGCAGACAGAAGCAAAGAAAGCACCTATATCGACGGGTACGACAACCGAGGGTGGGCTAGCGGTGGCGGGACAGAGAAAGAAGCACCAACCGAAACCAAAATCAACATCGCAGACCGGCCCTCCTGCACCCAAAAAGGCTTGTGAAGTTGGCGAGCAACGGGCCTCTAGATACCACGTGCCCCAACTTCAAAGACGACCCCCAACGGTATATCACCCTAGCCGAATTTCTCGAACGAATCCGAGCCCAACTAGCCGTTGCCCGTGGTGTCGATGCCGACACTCAGCCGCTTTACGCACAGGGATCAGTCGGAGCGGCTTTTAAAGTTCGGCTCTCTTCTCATAGCTGGACCATTATTGCCAAAGGCGTACAGAAGCGCTATAAAGCCGATCTACAATATGAAAAGAAAATATACAACCAATTACGTACCCTTCAAGGGAAATATATCCCCGTATGTCTAAGAACAGTAAATTTAATTTTACCATATTATTACGATGGCTGTGTTAATGAAGATTGGTGGTTTCTTAGTTGGGCTGGGAGGTGTTTCGCTTTGCCATCTTACCTAACCACTTATCCAACCAATGAAACCAAAGGCAAGAATATTATCGATTAGGTTAGGGCTGGGTTCTAAGTTATTCACAGCTTAGATGTTCTCCACGGGGATGCTAAACTACGGAATGTCATGTACGATCCCGATCAGGGCAACGTGATGATCTTGGATTTCGAGCGAGCGAGACTCGTAAATAAGAAAAGTCTTGATGCCGATTAACGGAAGTAGTTCGTTTTCCGGGTTCTTTATCTCCTTTATAACCATAAGCTTTAATTTAACAATATTACCTTAAAGTAACTTTGAAGATAGAGTTTTTACTTTAAATATGAACGGTAGTAACGATAGTATTTTGGTGGTCTCTTGCTACTCTCGGCTAATTGAAATATACGATGAAGCATTCAAGTGCATTCGGGGAGAGTTGCAAACCAATTCACAACACAAAAGAGGATCTCAACCAAGGCTACCATTATTACAGCTTGGTAGTTTTCACTTAAAAGATGACAATACCCTTCAGCTATTCATTACTGTAAGGATCTTATTATACAACTTGCAACGTTTGGAAAGATCTATGGGCATAGATGGGGAACGTGACATTGTGCATAAGGAAGGGGTTCACAAACCCAACAAGGACAAAGCGATTCAGGCTGATGGTAAACTTGGATTCTCTGGTAATCTGGCTCGTAGTAGCGACAAAATCACCAAGGTGGTAATGGCTTTGGAGACTGATGGTCCAGGGGGTCAAAATCGGAGCATAGAATCGCTGCGTGGAAACATTGAAAAGGTTACGCAACTTTTAGAAGGCGACTTTCCATAAAGCCTGCTTATTGTAGAAAATAAACCAATTTCTCCCTAGCTACCTGTCTACGTCGCATTATATTAACTCCATCTATCACTGCCTCTAAACCTCTTTGCTGGCCGACTCGTACCGGATGCGGTTTGATTGCACCTCTGTGCCAGAGCTCCTGCACCTCTGCGAACCATCGTTTCCCAAGCTGGCGAGATGCTGGACTCGCAGGTATTCCATACCCCCTACCCAACTGCAAGGCCTTCCCGAATATAGACTGACCCATGACCCAAGCAGCGTGGACAAGTTGCCGGTTCGGTCTGTCGTCGGGGAGTAGCTCAAGGCCAACATATGACCCTCCTAGACGGCCCATCGCATCGTAGCAAAGCTTTATAGATGTCGAGTCCGCGATGATATCAAGGACGTGGGCAAGACGCCTGTTTGTATAACTCTTTATATCTGCGGCACAAGTAGACGAGGTGTAGTCAAATGTCTTTTCCGCACCGTATGACAACGCAAGTTGAGCGCTTTTGGAAGAGCATACAGCTAATGGACGAAATCCAAGTCTACAAAGTATCTTGAGATTAGCAAATAGCGGGAAGAGGCACAGGGCGACGAGGGAGTTCCATTTTTGCGGACAAAGGCTTGGTGAAGTTATCAAGTGACTTACATCCTCAATAATTGTATGGCTATCGTTCCAGTGGCTGTTCCGGCTCCATAGACAAGCACGGGAAGTGTTTCATCCACCTTGGCTTGATTTACAAACCACGATTCAGGCAGTAGATATTGACGAAAGGCAATGCCGAGCGTAGCAATCCCTGTCCCCCCTATAGCTGCAGCCTCCTCCCATCTCACTCCCTCAGGTATCTTCAATAGAATATCTGCCGTTGCGACAATGTAGTTCGAGAATGATCCCGATTTATGGTCTGCCGGGTTGAAGCCATGCACCGCACCACAGACACGATCGCCAACGGTAAGGCCTGGGTGTGTTGTTTCGATGCCATCACTGAGGGCCACGATACTGCCAGCAAAGTCACTACCGCCTACTGAGCCAATGGACGGAAACCTATCGGGCATTTTCCAGTTGCAGGGGTTAAGTGCGACAGCAACGACGTGAACTAAAACATGGCCAGGAGCCAAGGGAAGCGGCATAGGAAGACCATGCCGCACAGCGAGATTGGCACCTGGGGTCTCAGAGATACATACAATAGCCGATCTGGATGTTGGCAGTGAGGATACAGCCATGCTGTGACACGGAGGGAAAAGCATGAAATGAAGTCACCTCTTGGTATTCTCTAATTTGTTTTGAGTGGAAAGGGTTAGCTAACTTGCCGGCGCTCGCATTTTAGAACGTCTATAATTAGGGGACCCTAAAGACTGCACATCTGACGTAGCGTGGGGGCTGTTCGGTGATTGATTCAACTCGGATAATTATTAAGTCGGTGACTTAACTGCTTAGGTTAGTCGGTGAGTAAATATTAGTTACCGGTTGGACGCATCCATAGATGACTTCTCATGCAGTTAGAAAGCACCCTTTAATTGCTGTGCATCCTTGAGATGATTATTTCTACAGGTCCTTTGAAATTATTTTACTTTGAAAGAACGATTGAACATATTAGTTAGGTAGACATGACTGCTTTAACGGCGAGTTCTTTAACACCAGTAGGGATGTCAGCCATTCGACTCATCCCTGTTGCAACCACCTTAGCCTTGTAAGTCATCTCGAATCCTCGAGTCACCTTGTGTTTCAAGGTCTTGCACAAGTATCTATTCGTGAGAACGCTACTTGTACGAAAGATGTAACTGATTATGCTCGTAGAACTACCTGTCACTATCTCCAACACCTGATGTTCTCCTCATTTCTCTCGACCAAAGCCCCGGCCCCAGGCAGCCTGCGCGTTCTCCCTCATCTAGTTCGAGTCTGTTTCTGGGGTATTATTCCCTTCGTGCTCGTTCTAGAATTTTCTTCGTACGGCTGTATTGCTGCCAACATATACTACTGCACCTCACTTCGAGGATGGTACGCCTTCGGATTAGCTTTCTCTCTGTCACATCTCGTCAACGCGCCGTACGCTTGGAGTCTGCTGAAGGTGATAATGAATGGAGACGCGACAACGGAGAAAACAGAGAAGCAGGAACTGAGGGATGCACTTAAGAACTTTGTTCGCATGAATCAATTAAGGATCTTCTTGACAGAACTTCCACTGATGGGTATCGTACATAGAGGTGCGTTGGCATAAAGCAATGGCTTGTTGATAAAGTCCATAAACTCGCCATCTGATCTGCAGGTCAATAGCCTAGTTCTCGCATAATATATATGTGATACTTGTCGGTCACCCTTGAAGAAAAAAAAAGGAAATTTTGATATTGTACGATCCTTAACCATTGTGTAGGTATGTTGTAGAAACCAGTAGGCATCCATCATGATATAAGCACATTCTCAAGTCATAGAGTGGTACAAACAGCTTCTTACCCAAAGTCATTCACTTCACGGACCCTAAATGACGTCTCAACGATAACTTACAATGTGTTCCTTTATTGCTAGAATACTGGTACATATTCTACTTGATTTGAGACACGGGCGTACCTACTTGGATGTTGCCGGAGGACCGAGGTAGCTACCTCTAATATACATCGTATATAGCAAGTCAAGAGAAATAATGTTGTAGGCGGCAGGCCATAACGTTACTCCAGCGTCACATTGAATGCTAAAAAGAAGCTTCTTACTGTCCATAGCATGAATATATAGACGATTTAAGAGCTCTACTCGATTTTATTCCATCTGATACAATTGAATGGGCATATCCTCACTGCTCGTAGTATTTGGCGACAGACTCTTCGGTTATCTTGATGTCTGACAGCTCAGCGAAAGATGGGAAAAGGCTCTCCCCTTCCGGACTAACGTTCACCACTTTGCCATCCTCCAAGTATACTTCGATCCAGGTCAGGGTGACGGTCGCGGTATCATGACGAACATAAGGTTCGGACTCGAGGTGGAGATCCTTGAACTCTTGGTCGGCAGATACGGCGAGAAGGGTCGCAACGTCCTTGAAGTAGTATTCAATCTCCAGATCGTGGTCATTGACTTTGTATGGAGTTTTCATGCTTTTCGCTAGCTCTTGAGCGCTGGAAGAACTATAGGCCTGCGCCTTTGTTAAACAAAAATATGGGACAGTTAAAAGGGGGTACGAACGATCTGATATTTCAAAATTCCATATTTCTGATGGATTTTGGCGCATGCAACAGCATGATGCCTGGAGAATCGGTGAAACTCCTCTTCGGAAACACCATCCTTGCGATGGTACGACCCCGAAAGACGCAAGACACGCTCAGGCTTAGCCATCTTAGAGGATTTAACGACCTGCTGAATACTAAGACTTGATTTCACAAAGAAATGGGGTTCGGTATTCACCTTTGGGAAATTATTGGGCTTCGATCAGCTTTGACTTGGAAAAGGCCAAATAAATGTATTTTGCATACAATTGTATGAATCCATAATCTGACCCTGAACGAAGCTTGGAGGACTTGATGGAATCAGGAGGTCCTACAAACAGCGACATGAAGACCAAGGTGCCGAAGTGACAGGGCAATCGGAAAGTACTTAGTAAATGTCACCAATACACCGATAAATACTCCAATTGGGGTGACACAGCCTAATGCAAGGTATGGATTATGTAGGAGGTATATCAGGAGTTCCTAAGTAAAGGGAGTCATCATCGCATCTGTTATCACGCTCGTGCTTTACGGAAAATTTCCAAAGCCAACACCGCGTATATGCTTTGGCACCTAGGATCATCCCTGTGCTGCATTTCATACAACGTTGATCCAACCCAGGCATACATTCTCCGCATCTTTCTCCCTTGTCTATGCCTAAGTACCTAGCTACTTGTTATTACTTACACGTAGAGAGCCGTCAGGCTGTAGCGCACTGCATCCCAACCCAACACACGCCCCTGTCATTGCTAGATAGGAACGGAGCTCCCACGAAGTCTGTCACGAAAACCACATCCGCTATCTAAAATAGGTATTTTCTTTCTATCGTAAGTCATGAGGCTGGTGATAGCACTGTGCACTGTCCGCTAAGCTCACCGAAACAGCTCAGCCATGAAACCTCCAACTCACGATGTGTCTTTCAGCGCTCCAGAGCATATCGATGACCAACCCACGAATACTGAGTCGCCGCTCACGTCTCAAAGCAGAGGTTGGCGTTTTTGGGTTGTGTTGATAGCTCTTGGAATTACTTCCCTCTCGGCGGCTGTGGAAAGTACGGTAACATCAACCGCGTTACCACGTATCGCCGGCGCCCTCGATGCAGGCGAGCTATATGTGTGGTTTGTAAACGCGTACACCCTGACGAGGTGAGTTACCTTATTTATTCCCAACATATCTTTTCTGTGCCAACTCAGTGCTAATCAATCCCGCACAAGCACCGCTTTCTTGCCTCTGTTCGGCCAGATCGCTGATATATTCGGCCGTCGCTGGCTCACCATCGGCATAGTGGCCGTCTTCGCGCTTGGCAGTGGCATCAGCGGCGGTGCCACTTCAGCAACGATGCTCATCGCCGGACGTGCTGTTCAAGGAGTGGGCGGAGGAGGAATCATCCTGATGATCGAGATGATTGTTTGTGACCTCGTATCCTTACGTGATCGCGGACGCTTTACAGCTGTTATAATGGGGTTGTTTGGAATAGTCTCGTCCCTTGGCCCTTTCATTGGAGGGGCCATCGCGCAAGGTACCGCTTGGAGATGGGTCCTTCTATATTAACCTGCCCATCTGTGGTCTTTCTTTGGTTTTGCTGACGAGCTTCTTACACGTCAATTATGATCGCTCGCCTACGGTTGCCTAACGACTTCGTCGTATCGACTATTCCGGTAACATCATATTGATCGCATCGGTTACTGCGATTCTGATATCTCTCACCTATGGTGGCACCCGTTATGTATGGTCTTCTTGGAGGATCTTGCTCCCTCTTATACTCGGCTTCGCCGGCCTAGGACTTTTCGTATTATACGAATCATCGCGGTGGTGTGCTGAGCCTATGACTCCCCCTCGCCTTTTTCAGAATCGTACCTCGGCGACCGCATTTTATCTCACATTTATACACTCCTTGCTATCTTTTTGGGTTCTTTATTTCTTGCCGGTCTATTTCCAAGCCGTTCAACTCAAAAGTCCTAACCAGTCTGGTGTTCTTTTGCTTCCCACTGCCGTCGTTATTATACCTGGAGGCATAATTGGTGGCTTCGTCATGTCAAAGTCAGGTAAATATCGAGCTGTTCATTTCGCTGGATTCGGATTTATGACAATTGGTATCGGCACATTCATCCTCTTTGACAAGAACAGCGATGCTGCTCTCTATGTATGCCTTCAACTCGTCACAGGGCTTGGATCCGGTCTCGTACTAGGTGCGTTGTTGCCGGCAGTTCAAGCTGCGCTTACGGAGAAGGACACTGCATCATCCACGGCAACTTGGACCTTTATCCGTACTTTTGGCACGATATGGGGCGTCTCCGTCCCTGCTGCAATTTTCAACAGCCGTTCCAATGATCTGTCGAACCGCATCGAAGACCCATCAGCGAGAGCACTCGTTGCTAACGGACAGGCATATTCCCACGCTACCAGCGCCGTATTGCTGTCTCTAGAGACCTATACGCGCGACCAGGTGATCAGTGTCTTCACCGATAGCCTAAAACTTGTATGGATTGTGGCAGTCGTTATTGCAGGTGTCTCGTTCTTTGCTATATTTGTTGAACGCGAAATTGGTCTTAGAGATGACCTGAATACCTCATATGGGTTAACCGAGAAGACGGATGAACTTCAGGGTTGAATTTAAAATTCTACTTAGAGTTATAGAAATACTTTTGCCAAATGTACTAGGTGTTTTTTTTTTTTTTTTTCGAAAAAGTTATTGAAATAGGGAAAACCTCTTAAACCTATAGCCCTTATAATATATCTAATAAAATATTTCTTCCTGAATAATACATAAATAAAAATGCTTAAAATATTGCGCATGATTACCTAAAGTTACCTTTTCTCCTTAGCTCCGGCCTTCACTAATTCCCCAAACTTGGTCTGTTCCTTGCTGGCCAATGCCGTCGGATTCCCTACTTCTATAATCTTTCCCGTTTCCATCACTACCACGGTATCAAAATCCATAATCATGTTGAGCCGATGGCTAACCGCGATAACCGTATAAGCTTTGAATTCGCTCCTGATTATCTCCTGCATCAATCGCTCCGTTTCGTGATCGACTCTCGAGCTCACCTCGTCTAGCAATAGTATACCACCTTCGGAGCCGCCGCCTCCAATTCCCAAGTTTTCAGCTCGGAGCCGCCGCCTTAGCAAAGCACGCCCGAGAGATAACAGCTGCCTCTGGCCGGCGCTAAGAGTCCCTGGACTCATACCCGCGTCGAGGCCGCCCCGCTCTTGGACGAACTGCCGCAGGCCGACGGCCTCCAAGACGGATCGGCACGCTTCCGGTGTTGACGTGTCGGATGGATCCAAGTTGGCTTTAAAGGTAGACCCGTCGGGTAGGAATACGGCTTCCTGAGGGACGGCGATTATGCGCTGACGTAGTGCTTGCCGGTCTACACGGTTGAGCGGCGTTTTATCTATTATCGCCTCTCCAGGAGCGTTCGGGAGGGGATCGAGGAGTTTGAGAAGAAGGGCCATAAAGCTTGACTTGCCGCTGCCTGTTCGACCGCAAATCGCAACCTTTTCTCCTGGGGTTATCTTGAGTTCTATGCCGCGAAGTGCTAAATTCGGTGCGTTTCCGTTTTGGCCTTCCGCGCTGCGTCGTATGTTAGTTTCTTCGGTCACGTAACGTTTTGAGTCTTTTGATAGGTAGGTAGATAGGCTAAGGAGGTATTCTTACTCGTAACTCGCAGACACTCCTCTCAATTCTACTTCGCCGCTATGCGGCCACTGCTCCGGTGGGATGATGTCCTCTTCATCCTTATCTTCCGGTTTGACGTCTTCGTTAAATGCCTTGAGCCTCGCGATAGCTCCGATTGAAGTTTCTAGTCTGGTATAAAATATGACGATGCCGGAAAGGTTCTCGCCAAAATTCATGAGCGTAACCAGTGAGGCGCCTGCGAAACCGGAGTTCGAGTGGAGCCGAACCGCGAGGGTCGTTAGGACTGCTGCCATAACCATGACTCCTAGGTCGAGGACGAGGATCAACCACTGTTGGACCATGACTAGCAAGTACGCGGGGCGCTGGCTAGAATTTATTAGACCGCTGTTCTTTTTCACATCTTCTAAGAGAAACCCTATGAACCTAAAGTCAGCATGCCGCAAATTGTCCAAACGGCTCGATCGCCGATAGCATGGCGACCAGCCCCACGCGTCACTTACCAAAGGCTCTCAAGGTCGTAATCCCCTTGATAGTATCAAGGAAATGAGTACTAAGATCGTAGATTAGTACGGAACCAAGAAAACGATCTCTGGCGGCAAGCTTACTATAAGGGGCTCTTTGCCTCGAGGTCTAATAGCCTGAGCTGCCTGGATGTACGTAGATAAAACCTCTGCACTACATAGAGCATGATGGCGAGGAACGGATAGCTTATGGCCATATAGGGAGAAGATGTAAGCATGACAGCTGCCTGTCCGATTGCCTGAAAGGTCTGTACTTTTCGTTAGACATTCGAGCATGCGAAAGGTACCTAGATAGGCGGGTTCTTACGCAGACCAAAGTGTTCAATAGCCCGTTTGGTAGCTCTGTGTCTATAAGATTCAGATCTTGCGAGAATAGGTTCGTCACGATGCCAGTATCCGTTGTGGTGAAGAAGTGCAAGGGTGCTCGAATCAACGTTTTCAGGGCGTCGTGGTGGAGACTGGCACCTGCTCTTGTAACCGCGACGATTAAGACCGCGATACCAATGAGAAGCAGGGATACCAAGCTGCTGACTTGAAGCACGGCGTATATCCCTGCGTAATAAGCATATGTATGGGATGGGTGTGCCGAGTATACGTCCTCAGACCAATATTTGAGCCCTTTGATCAATCGAACCGGTTAGCAATCTTCCCCATAAAGCGTTTAAGCCGTTGATAGGATCAGCAGCGGGTAGCTTAGAAGTTAATTAGCACGATATCCCGCTATCTCACTCACATATAGTTGGAAAGTTTGTGAAGAAACCCCACAGGGTAGCAAAGAAGAAACACGATCCTGCTACGAGCCAGCCCATGCTTTGAAAATATTGCTTGTATACCGATTTATCTCCAACTTTACGGGACTCGTCCGTATTTGGCGGGGTGGGCGATGTGTTAGTCGTCGTGTGGGACAGAGTCGACTTAAGTTCCTGCTTGCTCTTCTTTGGTATCGACTTTTCTGACGAAGAATCGCTGTCGGAAAGGTTGGCCAAACCCAGACGCCGAACGTATCCTCCGCGGCCCATCAGCTCTTGAAATCTACCTTGCTCCATCACTGTGCCATCTCCGAGCGCTATTATGTGATCGGCCGCAGGCAAATGTCTGATGCTATGAGTGCACAATAAGACCGTAGACTCTCGACGTCTGAGTAGCCCCTCCGGTCCGAAAACCTGCCTGAAAATTTGTTCCTCGGTATCTGCATCTAACCCGCTGAAGATATCGTCCAATACTAGCAGGCCAGACTGGAGATAGAGCGCGCGAGCGAGAGCGACGCGTTGCTTCTGCCCCCCTGACAGGGTGATTCCGTCCGACCCGATGTTCGTCCTGTCGCCCTGCGGCAGCGCAGCGATGTCAAATACCAGGGCCGTAGCCTCGATGACTTCGGTATATCTATCTTTATCGAAATGAGAAAATCCCACGATATTATCTCTTATCGATCCGTTGGAAAGGAATGCTGCTTGCTCGCAGAATCCTACGTGAGGAAATCTGGTGCTCAAAACCACGCTACCTTCGCTAAATGGAATCTCTCCGAGGACCGCTTTACATAGCGTAGACTTTCCAGAGCCGACCGGACCGACGACGATGGTGAGCGAAGATTTGGGAACACGGATAGTAACATTCTTCAAGACAAACTTATCGGCTTCCCACCCGAACTTTCCGTTTCTGATGACGACCGGATCTGCTGTTTCCGATTGCGAATCGGAAGAGGCCACGGTATCCGCTCGAGTCTTCTCCAAATTCCGTTTCACATCGGTAAGGACCTCTCGAAAATCATTACGAGTCTCGCACTCTAGGAAAGCCTGAATTCGGCCCAAACAGGCCAGTCCGGAGAGAAGCTGAGGGATGAACTGGAAAATCTGAGATAGCGGGTTGGTCAAGAGCAAGAGGTACGAAAGACTTGTGAATATTCTCGTCGCGTTTAGCGTTCGCTGCGCAAATGCGAAGGTGAGCGGTGGCCCGAGCAGAAGCGGGATGTACCCGAAGAGAGCCGCGATGATACCTATCTTACGAAATCGGGCTCCGGCTGCCAGCTCCTCTACCCGGAGATTCTGTATGAAATCGCCGACCGTCGCGGTGAGGCCGGATATCTTTAGGTTCTTCATGTCAGCGATTACTGCGGCCGTCATGCCGACGCGCTTCTGGACACCGGCCATCCAAGCCCTCTGTGAGTCTCCGGTAAATCTCATAAGGATAACTAAGCATGCGAAGCAGACCGTAACGATTCCGATCGGTGCCACAAATACTACACCGAGTTGATTGTACAACATCCAGCTCGAGATGATGATTTGTATAACGCTCGCCCAGATGTCGTGAAGAGGCTTGAAGCCCATGTTGATTCTCTCTATGTCCGTACTCATCAAGGTCACGGCGGCGCTGTCGTCGCTCGATCCGATGCGAGCCTTTGTAGCTTTAATGAAGGTTTCCGTGACTAGGATCGACCTCGTCATAGAAAGCATCCGGTAATGAAAATACCTGGAGTAGGTGAGTAAGAATATAGCTATTTAATCCTCGGTTGAGTGTGGCATACCAGCAGAGGGCGTTGGAGATGCCGATTCCCGCATAGATCAGTATGCTGGCACCAATAAAGCCATATCCTACGTTTGCATCAACTTCCGGCTCTGAGAGTCTCTCCAGTAGCTTTTCGATGAAGAATGGTTGGCAGAATGTGAAACCAAGAAGGGCCAATCGTGGGAATATGGGAAGAATGAGAGGAACCTTCAACGTGCGCATTAATACCTTCGCCAGGTAGAACTTGTTGCCCTTCATTTTCGAATAGTCCATGTGCTTGGAGAACTCTTCGTGGAGTAATTTGCCGTCCAGGGCGCTATCCAAGGGGTAAAGGTCATTTATTGTCAAAACTTTCTTGTAGCCTTCCAAGAAGATCTTGTTGAGCCAGAAGTACACGCCGAGAGAGAAGATCCCGCTTGTCTGCTCCGGGCTATATTCTTTCTCGTTCCAGCTAACCCATTTAGATTTCCGCTGCGCTTCTAATAGCAAAATCCCTACTTTAAGGGCTATTGCAGCGCAAAATATACTACTATAGGTGAGTTCAGGCTTGTCTCCCGATGACAAGAACAGCGTTCTCGCTTGAGCTGCGTCCAGCAGTAGGGTCAGAAACAGGTAGCTGTTCAGCAGGACGGACGGCCTAGGGCTTTTGCTATGGTCGACAAGACTGAGCGTTATCATAAACAGCGCCGATACAAGCTTCAGGGCCGAGGAGGCTATGAACATGCTAGTTACGTGGAAGGATCCTACTGCGACCAGAATGAGAAGTGAGAGTTCTAATCCGACATAAGTGGCGATAGCACCCTGTACTCAATTAGTAGGAGTTTCTCGATCGCATAATAATACAGCAAGCTTACCAGCTTAACAAGTTGAAAAACCGGGGCATTCACCACAGTTGGCTTTCGTGCCTGATAAGCCGTTCTCCATAATGATGCTATGATGAACAGTACAGATGGTACGATTGAGAAGAAAAGCTGCTCGAACTGTATATTGAAATCGAAGCCCTCCTGGTTCAGCTGGAGCAAGCTGTCCTCCCCGGTTGAGAAAGGCATCTTGACAGCACGTTTCCCAGCCCAGGTCGGCTTCAAGATTGCCGCGATGTCAAGCAGCACCTCGTAATTGGAAGAAGCTACCCGCGTTTCTAGGTTCAGCCCGATTCTTGGAGCAAATTTCGAGTACGCCGTATAGGCAAACTGCCTTTGCGAAAATACAAGAGACTAAGAAACTACATGGTGAACGGATTCCTTTGTGATTATATTTCGACGCCTTCGTATGGCACCATTACAGGGATATGTGATAAGGATGTACCTAAGGTAAAGAATGTGATCAGCTTCCTGAATCCAGTACAATTCCGAACTCCGAACGCCGCTAATAATCGGTAGGCAGTTCCCTAAATGAGCACGCTAACACCGTATTTACGAATTGCGTATATCACGCTGAGCAACAGGTATCGTCAACCTCATCGGTGAAGTTCTTTATGATAAATACTATGTGTCCACTTGGCTATTGCTTCTTAAGCAGATGTCGGCGTAGTCGTAGTCTTTAAAAACCCATCGATCGGCAAGGATAGATAGGTACCTCGGGCGGACCAGCTAGTATGACTGTATGAGCTGCTGTATTTTCCCAATTAGCCTAGGCTGTTTTGAGGTTTAAAAGTTGACGTCTCGACAATTCACTCCTTGGGCGATTTTCCTATCAATGATATGCCGAGGTATTACAGAGAAGCAGTGAGGTATATGACATCTCTTCAAACCGGACCCTGACCCGTGGACGAAATGCTAGGTATTTTATCTGTTTGAGAATTCAGATTATTTCTTTACTAGTAGACATACTGAAGAAAATAATACTACGGAAACACTATATCGTCGGCCATCCGTCAACCCAATTGATAACATTCCATCCAAATTTTGATTGAGGATAGTCTACGCCAACATTAAGATCCACTGCGGCGGGCAAATTAGCACTAAACGTATTGCGCATTGAATTTGAGTACTTACAATAGTGATAATAAAGAACGTCACCGTGTGCGTCGTCGTGGAAAACTCCTTGGCCACCTGGAGCATAGATGTTCCCGTGGCTCGCGAGCACGGTTGTCCCGCCGCCGTTCGTGCATGCCCGGCCGTCCTTGTCTACGTAAGGTCCGGCGGGGTTGTCGCTTCGACAGACGGTAATGTGATAGACCTGATCGATAGGGTCTGTGTCTGGGTGGTACACGCAGCAGATGCCTTTGCTCAGAAATTGGTACCAAAGGTTGTCGCGCTTCCAGATGAAGGCTCCCTCCATCTGGTGGATACCCTCGGGCTCGTATGCGATCTGGTGCTCATTGCCCGACCTGAAAACGAACTCGCCGTTGATCGCTACTCTTGCCTGGTAGATGTTATTCCAATATGAGCCCCATTGTAGATACCATTCGTTAGGGCCCGTGCCATTGACGACGTTCGGGTCGATGGCGTTATAAGGACTGCTGTCTGACGATGTTACTACTATTCCCTGGTCTTTCCAAGATCCTGCTTCCAGCGTGGTAGAGGTCGCGTAACCGATGGCTGAGGTGCGGCTCCCCGAAGTTGACACCGAGTAGAAACAGTAGTAAATGCCCCGGATATAAACAACGTCAGGGGCCCATAGCTATATCGTGTTTTATAGTAAGCTGACTACTCTTGAGGTATCCTATAAACTTCTTTCAAAGGGGGGGAACTTATTGTAACTTATTGGCTCATTGATAGGCAGAGGCAAGTAAAATGGTACGCCAGGCTTGTTAAAGAGTGAAGTGCTCTAAGGAGAATATGCTTACCTCCTTGTTTCCTGGCAGATTGATAACGCTGGCGCCTTGGATCACGCTACCGCTTCGTGTCCAAGGTCCGGACAGGTCGTCCGCAGTCGAAATGCCGATCAGGTCTAAGGTCGAGAATCTAAAATATTTGCCATCCGCGCGTTTCACGACGGCGGGGTCATGAGTGAAGCACTCGCCGGAGCACGCCCCGGGATTCGGATATTGAGCCTGAGCAACGGATGCTAGGGAAGATAGCAAGAGCGCTGAAAGAGTTGATAACATCATCATGGCTTTTAATTCTTCACCGCGCGAACCTGAAAATACGCCACATGCGCGCGCTTCTGGCACGGCATGCTGACTTTCGCCGGCAGATCACAGCATCTTATACGTGATACATCTGAGAGTACGTCCTGCAGATCCGGCTCGTTCCAACCTGGACTAAGCCGAAAGCGACTAGATTGTAACTGCTACCGTTGAGCTGTCGTAGCTTGACCGCTGCGGGAGAAGTGCTTGGAGATAGTTTATTCCTTTGATGGGAGTCTCGGTTACCAATTTACTCCATATGTAACCATGCCACCAGAGCTGAACATGGGGCCAGCTTATAAAAATGGAACCAATAAGCCACCCTGACTGAAACGACAAGGCCAAGGTCGTCCTGCGTTGAATACCCTGCGCAAAAAGTTGCATCTTTTAGTTTAGTATATCACCTGCCAAAACAGTGTCGATGGAAGGTAGATATTACAGTCCCAGGTTAAATAATATCGGCTTCTGGCATCCGATACTGACATTGCGGATGTCCGCTTCAGTTACACAGCCAGTGCGTATTGAATTGTTGACATTAGCTGGCTTGACTTGTGCTCTCTCCACGTAATCCCCTCTAAGAGTGACTTCATTATTGCATGACATGGAAAATACTTAAGCTGCTAAGATCTAATAGTATCGACGATCCGGGACGATCTCTTTCATCCCGAAAACTTTGAGGCTTTGCCACGTTTATGCTAAGCTAGAATGTGGATAGATAGCGGAAAGTCAATCCAAAAATATATTTGGGTGAGGCTTAGCAGAACAAAAGTACGGAACAGGTACAACACATCTCATTTAACCTAATCCAACTTAAGCTTAATCTTTTACCTTCGTTTCAACTACCTCTCATGGGTGACTGATGCATTGTGTCAAGTTAAAAATAATTCGCTCCTTTACCATGCACCTACGCTAGATGGGAAGAGAAAATACGTTATGGGCAAGATAGAACTTCATAAGTCTTCCAGATCGAGATTGGTTACGTTACATCTTAACGATTAGGTCAAGTCCCACCTATAACGGCTTTATTTATCACCAAATTTAATAGTGACTTCAAGTCGTAAATAGCTTAAAGCCCCTTATGGCAAGGTAACCTTGGAACGATTATAGTCTTAATTCAGCATCTTAAGGATGTGATCAAGTTAGCGACCAAGTCCGGAATACCCGGCTTGAATCTTGCACAATGTCACTTGCCTAATTGATTACCTATGGCCGACCTTTAAATAAAAGGAACGCTAGTATGGTGACGTGGTTTCGGTTAACGACTTGGTATACCCTTGCTAAGACGTGGAATTCTGGATCGTGCCATAGGTAATGGTATATAGCATCCCATCACCATATAAACCAATGACTGCTTAGGGGTTTTCTCTGTGTACCTATCTCAATCGGAAATAAGACAGAATATTATATGGATAACCCAACATGAAGGTCTTCTCTACGTTGGTCTGTCTGCTCGCCGGATCTGTAGCAACCAGCGTACGTCTATTTCATAGTTTTGTTTCTTTAGCGGTCGCTAATGCTGATTCGTGTAGGCGCTACCAGCTAACAACACCGCCGAGGTCGAATTTGCTGTATCCAAGATAACATGGACGGGTCTAGTCAAGCGAGGCGAGCCTCCCGTGTCTATCACGGGCACCGCAGAGGTGAGAATCTACCATTGAAACACACTGATGAACATATTTTTCGAATAATCTATTGACCCCTTCGCCGTAGGAGATATACGAAGAGATTACAAGAATCAACCCCAACTACGATAATGAGTTGGGTTTGAATAGCCCGGATTCGACCGTGAAGAGGCGAGATCTCGAGCCTATTCAGAGACGGGCAACAACATCTAATGCATGTCTACCCAACTATCATTGACTTGCTTCGGTATAAAACATTTTTCTAATATGTCAAATTTACTACAGGACTGGACGTGCGCCTACGGGAATGATGTCAACGCGGAGTCTATCGGCACTGGGGTAAGATATTTATACAGCATTGCCAATGGGGACTGCGCCGCCCCGCCCGGGAAACCTGGAGCTGGCGGATGTAGCATTAGCAGCTGCAATGCCGGCGCCGGCATCTTCTTATGCAACGACGTCGACCATGATTTGCACAATCCCTGCACTATCGTTGCCGAGTAAGTCTTTCTTGATTAAAGGAAGTAATCTTATCTGACGTGTTATCCAGCAATGCTGTTGAGGTTTTGATCAACTGCCAATGGACTACGTATAACGGCGGTAATAGCTGGACTACAAACACGCATGGACAAGTAAGTCTTGTCCAGCTTAGCAATAGCACCTGCAGATGGAACTAACACTTGGATAGATATTTTCGACAGACCACAGTTGGAACGTCATATTGAATAGGTGCTAAGCAACCTAACGTGCACCTAGGCAGACATCTTAAGAGGGTTAATTCCTGCAGTCTATCCTTTCGAATCTTCGATATAGCTGTTCTTCAAGTACGTAAAGGAGTTTGTATGTATAAAATAGAACTGTATCATGTACCTACCTCAAAAGCCTATACTTAAGCATCTTCCTGCACGAGTTTACTGGCCCTGGTGTTTCCCTGTTCTTCGGATACTTCTATTGCTTTCATTATATACCAACTTCTTCCTGCTATCATGATGACTCGTGCCAAATATGGCTTTCGTGTGTTGATAGAATCCAGCCATATTAAAAACAGGGTCCGACCCTTCTCTTTCAAGTCGTACCACTGTCGGTTTACTTACCGTAGAGGAATAATATAAGAACGCCATAGGGATGAGTAAATGAATTGAATTAGGGGATTCAAATAATCGCATTTATTCTAATATGTTATTGACGACTTGGCAACCTGGCAACAATATAATGGAATACGAAAAACGTATGAAACACAATACCCCAGAGCGTTAAGCTATGAGGTAGGTATATAATTCAGTCTCTCAAATGCTCCAGAACCCACTCGACTTCTCCGTCGGCAGCTTCTAGGATGTGTTCCGCCGGGTAAGCAGGCTTCCAGCCCAGCTCCTCGCGGGCCCGCCGAGCTGAAAGAGTACATCTAGTACCGGATACGACGTTAGTATAAAAACGCTCAAGCGTCTTGACCCGTCCGGCGTGATGAGAACTTACTTTCCGCCCAGCTGAACGGGTACCATTTCCTTGGGAACTCCAAGCGCGGTGCCCATGTCCTCAACGTTCTTTTCGCTTGCCAGAGTAACTGAACCGTCGGCGATGACACCCCGCTTGACGAGGGCGGCAGCTATCGCATCGTATAGATCATCCCACTAACATGGCCTTAGATTAGTACCTGATATACCCAAGGATAGGACTTCGCTAAAAGTCATTGCTCTGGCTGTTCCTAACTCTGGGGACTTAGAATATATAGGAATAACCGCATGGAACTTACCGCAATGCTACCCGAAGAAGCAAGGTAGTAGCCATTCTTGCCGTGGCTAGGATTCTCATCGGTTAGGATCTTACGCAGAAGCTCTATGTATGCCGCAGTATTATCAGCTATATGGCACACTGGCCATTCCTGTTGCTTTGCAGTCAGACCCAACCGTTATATGCGCAAGTGAATAATAGACGTACCGGCCGGGCGGAATCAACCCGATACACACGCCCGAGAGTCTTTGCTGCCCGAACGATCATATATATCTGCCGCAGGGTAGACACAGGTTCGCCAAATCCCTTACTCTTCCCATCTAAGTAAGATTTGATTAGCAGATCGAAGTTTTGAGGTGTATTTAACGGTTTCTGGACTTTAAAGCTCCGCGTCTTGACTTACACACTATGCAGGGCACAAACACGTAGCCGCGAACCCCATACTTCTCAGCTTGTTCTACCACCGCGCAATTGGTCCTAACACCCTATTGAAATCTTAGCTACCTATGCACTATAAGATAATTTTCTTGGTATTTGCTTACCTCTCGAGCTACGTTGAGCTTTGGATTCTGAGACTTCTGAATCTCATACAACTGCGGGTCGGTGTCTAGTAGAGGACGATCAGTCGGGGCGTCTGCATGGCTTGAAAAGAGCTTAGCCCCAGTAGTCTAGGATGCTGTTAGATACGAATGTGACCATCTAAGACGATTTACTTGCATGCAAGAAATGAACGGTACGTCCGGTCGCCTTCTTGACCTCAGAGAGAGCTTGAATGAAGAATAATGGAGGCTCGTATTGTACTGCGTCGATGAGGTAAAAAACCACGGTAATCTCGCGGTCGATGACGGTAGTCCGTATTTCCGACTCATCCTTGAGGTTAAAGAACAACGGCTCAGCACCGTACTGTCGGACGCCGTCAGCTTGCTCTGCCGTCCGTACCGACGCATACAATTTTCGGTAAGGTGGCAGATTCGCAGCGCCCATCCGAGCAAGAAGATCTCCGCCGAGGTATCCAGAACCACCGGTTATTAATACGTTATGTGACATATCGGATAAGGTGCACACGCAGTGGGATTTCTGTATTCTAGAAAGTCTCGGGATTTATTGTGGCATTATCGAAGTTAGACTTACGACACGAAGAGAGCTGCTACGTTTAATATGATTTTTTTTCAATTATATAAATCATAGAGCTCTACTCCATTCCAGCTAGGTCGTTGCACATTGCCCGGCATCATCGCAGTTGTCTCCCCGTTTTTCAACACATCAATCCGCCGAGTATTATTCGCGGCGGCAAGATTATTCAGCCGTGTACTTCGTAATGGGGGGCTGATAAAATAAGGCTGACAAATCACAATTCGTAATGGTATATCAAATACTACCTACCAAGGTAGGTAACGTAATCAGTTTTATGCAAAGCTCGTTCAAATTCCTCCGATACCTAAAGCTTGAGCCATCGATGGGGAAACATAAACTACCTATTATTGGATGGGACTGCCGATCCAGTTGACTGAGGATGAATATAATGAATTTGTAACATTCCGAATATAAGGGAAAATAGTGAAAATGAAAATGAAAAGGATATATTCACGATCTGTATGGTCAAGATAAGGTCGTTTAACGATTCATCAGTAAGTAGATAGAGTAGCTCCGGCAGGGGCTCAAGTTTAAATCCGGGTTTTTCGATTCGGATACAAAGCCACAAGCCTAAGAGTAGGGTATCAGTATGTACACGTAACGGCATCCTCATCTCATCATAGCCCGTACGTTCTCTCCCCCGTCGGTACATGTCCCTTGAAGTAGGGTAGGATGATTCGTCTCTCGCCCCCGTCACGAGCGGAGTCCAAAGTCGTCAAGGCCTTTGGTATGTCTAAGAGAGCTCTTGCAGCCTAGACAGTTAGAAGCCGCCACATATTGTTATGTTCATTTGGTATCGTATTTCGCTTCATATATCAACAGATCATTTGCGTAAATGTTCTCAGATCCCTCCCATGAAGCTCACCTTTCCCATCGCGAGCCCATTGTCTACCCAATTCTGCCAGTTAAAGCCCTCGTCCGCGTCCATGTTAACGTCCTGGTCTTCCGTATTCGGTGCGTTTTCGGTCGAACCGTTTGGAGGAGACTGCCCCCAAACGCCGCTCCAGAACCACGGTGGAGGGTTATCCTCTAGAAAATTATGCGGAGGCTGGTCTGCCGGTGGTTGATCGTTGTTATTACTACTACTGGCACCAGTCTGAATTGCCCGAGATCCCCCTGGGGGTTGGGCGCCCCCTTCAGTAAGGTAGGCTTGGTTGCTCGGAAAAGCGACCGAGAAGATGTCTTGAGAGTCTAGATACGGCTGAGACATCAAGTGATCGACATATTGCAGCTCTGTCGGGGCTACCTCCATGTCCGACCCCGATCGCTTCTGGACAAACTCCTTCCTTTCCGGATGCGTGCTATTACCCGTGAACTCCGGCATTTGATACTTGGGCTTTTCGGGCCCTTTAACTCCGACGAGCTTCCGCCACTGTTCTTGTGCGCGAGCGCCCCGCACCGAGCTAGACAGGTGCTCGAAGCTTTCCGGCTGCGTCTTTTTCTGTTCTTCCAGGTCAAGCTGGCGTGCTGCCTCCGGGTCGGCTCTCAGCCGCAGGATCTCCTCGTCCCTATGACGCCTCGCCTGCCCCATTAGCTTGCGTAGCGGAATCCAAACCCCCGGCTTAGAACGCTGGGCAACGTCGGGAGTTTGGAACGTTGCGCTGAGCACGATCCAGGCGCGTTCGAGCGACGCACTCCAAGGCAGGCGGCACACTTCGAGTAGGAGATATACTACAGCGTGCCACTGCGCGTACGTCTGAAAGAGCCATCGCCACTGGCGGCATCTCTGTTCCGAGTTTAACACTCTGGTATATTCGACCACCTCGAGGGAAGCCATAAAAAGGCGATGCCGGATTTCCTTGCTGACTCCCTCGGCCGAAGAGTAGAGTAGCATAGGCTGGTAGATTATCAAGCTCATCTTGGCCATGATGAGGCGCGAGATCATAGCGGCAACCCAATGTAGCACATCCGTGTCCTTGTCGCCGCACGATTTGAGATACTTGGTTTCGATTCGTTCGTAGCACTCGTGTAGCATCTTTGTACGTTCCTCTTCGGTAGATCGGGCACGGCACGGAGCCATGCCGTTTGTTGCGAAGTGTATCTTCCTAGCTAAAGCGCAGATTTCGTAACGGATGAGAGAGAATGTCATGTCGGTAGGCCCCGCCTTTTCTTCTGGGAACTCCGTCATTTCGGGGCTCAGATCGGCGTCGTTGATATTTAGCGGGAATTGCGTGTCGTACGTCCGCTCCGCGATCGTAAGCTCCGTACCTTGGTCTTCTGCGGATCTGAGGTCGAGGATACATATTGCCCACCAAAGTCTGCGGCGCATCTCGACGTCGAAGGGGCTCAAGCCGTCAAATTTGGTCCCTTCCCTATGTATGCCGAGCGACTGTGAAATGCGAATTGCGAGACCTGTAAGCGTCCAGGCAAACCTCGTGTCGTCGTATCGACGAACGAGAACTAGAAAGAGGGTGAAAGCTTGGACGACGACCAGTTCGGATGTAACCAGGAAGTTCGCTTTCGCGAGGGCCTGCTCCGTAGCGAAGCGGTACTTTTTGATAAGTTGCGCCTTCTCCGCGCCAAAGTTTACCTTAACCTAGACGTACGACGGTTAACTTGTGCTGCTTCGTTATCTCCAAGGTCAGGTTCGTACCTCATTATCTTCCATGGACGTGATAGAAGCGTAGTATATAGCAAACATTAAGGCTTCCATCCCCGGTGAGATGTTATCCATATTACTTCTCAACTCGCGGATTATCTTGTTCATGGATGGCACATGTAATATCTTCACTAGAGGGTCGACATTCTCCTGATAGACCTGCCAGAAGAAGGGTATTTGGGACGGCAGGGGATGCAACTTGCGCAGATCAACATCGGAAGAGCTATAGCCCAGAACGAAGCCGTGGTGATCAGCAAGGTCTGGAAGATGTAACAAACCGGGGCTGCTACCGTCGTCCGAAGCGTCAGATTCGTAATCGGTGAGTAATTCCGTTTCGGTTCGAAGCTGGTTAAGCTATCCCGTCAGGTCAATGATACTGTCCACCAACATGCTGATTAAAAGAGAAGGAAAATAGCCCACGTACCTCATCGTTAACCTTGGACCAAAACGCGCTGCTTACGTATCGCGTCTTCCCCTTCTCATTTAGCACCAATCTCCCAAACGGCTTGCTAACCTCCGATGTTGGACTCTTTAATGCAGCATTGACAGAGTCGATGGTGTGGGAACGACTAAGTTTCGTATGGTCCGCCGGAGGGTAGCCGCCGGGGATATTCTCGCTATAGGTGATCCCGCTTTGTCTCCGTCGTTCTCTTTCTTGCGCATTATCTAAGGTGGCCTCGGGCGAGCCCCCACCGCTGAGAGATGGATGCCTTGCGGTTTCTATTTCTATCTGCCCGCTGAGATCCTCTACTATGCCCTCCAGCTTTCGCAGCCGCTTCATAAGCTCAATCTCGCGCTCGCTCGTCTGTTTGGGCGGGGCGTTAGGATCTTTCACGCGCGGGCGTCTGGGCGCACGGCCTGGTGCCGGGAAGACGCATTGGATCTGGGCTTTGCGACAGTTGCCGCATGGCATAAATTTGTCGCATCTGACTTTTCGCCGTCGGCATGTTACGCAGCTTCGGGGGTTCAGCACCGACGAGGGGGTGGTGAACGGGTCAAGGGTAATCGGGCCCGAAGGGGTAAAAGCGGTATTGGCAACGCCGGCCACAGGCACAGAAGAAGTGGCGTTCGAGACGGATGCGGAATCCTGCGGCGTCGAGGCAGCGACTGATGCGGCGGCGGGCGAGCCGATAGATTGGTCGTTGGGAGACGATCGAGATGACGATTCCATGAGGGTTAAATGATTCTGAACGGTAGGAGTAGAGGATACGCTGGACATAATGCGGATGATCCGCGAGCGGTGCTTCTGGGCTTGCCAATTCCCATGTGGCTGATATTTCAAAAGGGGAGGTTGTTTTTTGGGGGCGTCTCTCGTTCGTCGAGCGGAGGCTATATTCAACTTTTTTTTTTTCTTTCTTTTTTTCGGGGACAGAAATAAGATTCGAGTAAGTAGTAGAGAATTGGACGAGATCAGACGCTATAAAAAATTAAGTAAGTACCTAACCTAATGCGAATGAAAGAAGCGTAGGTATATGATCATAGATCGAGATACATATAATTACGCGACCAAGCTGAAAGATCCTACCTACAAAGGGCAGAGCCGAGTTTAGAAAGGCATGGGTTTCTTGTCTACCTGGTACAATACATACGGCACTCGCATAATAAGTTTACCTACCCAGGTAGGTACTGACTCACTTACCCTGGACTCTGGAGGGAGATATTAGGTAGAGAAGTAATGTAATGTGGGCCTTCCTTTCATAAAAAATAATAATACCTAACCTAATGCCGTAATTGTGCAAGGATATTTCTTCCAGCTAGATTTCTTATCGAAATGACCATCTTTTTCATCGAGCAATCAAAAAAGAAAAGAAAAACACCTACAAAAAGTTATATTAAATATTTTCTGGGGTCGAGGCTGGCGAAAAGATGGGAATAATGTGGAAAGTTGGCTTGGCTTGGCTTAACTAGACGCGGGGCATCGAGGTGAGAAAAAGAATTCGAGAATTCGACCCTCCTTTGATTTCGGCTTAGTACGGATTATGCAGGTACTAAGGTTAGGTAACCGGTTAAATAAGTTCGCGCCGCCTTAAATCCGTTAGGGATCTCCGGTCGAGAAAGCCGGGATTCGGATCGGATCCGATTCAAGACGGCACGTACATAACCTAAGTCTGGATTTTGCCAGTTAAAATTGGATGCAATTGTCCATACGTACATTAGGAGTTATTACCTTTAGCAATTATACTTTTTTCTCAATGTGCAAAGAGTAATAATGATGCTAATAAGGAATGGTTCTGGTCTCGAGCCTCGGCATTTCCTGGGAAGCTCAGCAGGCGTAAAAGTTACCGTAATGCAAGTCAACAAACAACATTTATGATATGTCAAGTTTCTATTTTGTACCTAGCTCTAGCTGACTTGAGGCGAGGCCCAAAAGGCCAAGACTTCAACTAATATCAGCTACGGATGTAAAACGAATGAAGCAGATCAGATAAAGCAAGCTAGGTCCATCCAATATTAAAAGATGGTGCACGCCGTGGTTTACATATCCACCACTTCCGCTAACGACTCTCGCTACCGGTACCGGAACAACGCTTCAAAACTGGTCGACGCCTAGCTTAACAGCGTTGTCAGCGGTGTCGGTGCTACGTCTTGCGTCTCGGTATAAATCAACCTATTCCGCTCGTCGCATCCTCGTCGCATCCGGCTCATCCGCGTTGTCTCGTGACATAAGCATTCGGCCGCCGTCATGAGTCGAGGATATTCAAATTACTAACTTAATACAGGTAGTCTACTAAGTACAAGCAAGGACGGGTTTCTGTTGATAGAGGCCCTGTTGTCATATGCAGGTATTTTATTAAGTTAGGTACCAACCTGTTATTTCGTCACCAACTTGGTGTTCTATAAGGTAAACGGCGATGTCGATAGCCGTCAGCAAAGTTGTCCCTCAAGGTTGAGGGATTGAGCTCAAAAATTATGACGATTAAAGAAATAGTGGTGGCATGTACATGACGTCATACAAGCCGAGCTTTAACAATTAAGGCGGATCTGCCCGTCGCATGTCGCTCACCCGACAGAGGCACCTAACCTAGGTACCTAGCTTACCTCAGGTATATTTTCGTAAAGATGTTTTGAATTTCACACAAGTTCCACATATGCCTTCTTCAACAAACTTCATCTCCACATTTAAACTCCAAATATCCACCGCCTAAGAAACAAAAATGTCTAACACATCTTCACCCAGCCCTCAAACAATGAGGGCTTGGATCTACAACTCGACGAACGGCGGAATTGAGAAGAACATCCAATTGGTCCAAGATGCGCCCGTACCGTTTCTCTCGCCGCTCCCAAAGGATAGCATCGTCGTCAAGGTGCACTACAGCTCCCTCAATCCGGCCGACTACAAGTTTCCCGAGCTGGGCTTACCCATGAGAGCCTTGATACCCACCCCTGCGTCGCCTGGTATGGACTATGCCGGAGTTGTCGCCCAGACGGGAAACGCTGTCAGCGCTTTCCACGTAGGTGATGAGGTATTCGGCAGGATCGCGCCCAACAGATATGGCACCCTAGGCGAATATATATGCACGAAACTCGACGGGTGTGCACTCGTGCCCGAAGGCGTGTCCCTCGAAGACGCAAGCTGTATCGGCACAGCGGGGCAGACGGCCTATCAATGCATCGCGCCGAACGTTGAGGAGGGGGACAAGGTCTTCATCAACGGCGGCAGCGGAGGAACAGGCACATTCGGAATCCAGATCGCCAAGGCCTTGGGCTGCCATGTGACGACGAGTTGCTCGGGTAAGAATGTAGAGCTGTGCCGCAGCCTCGGAGCAGACGAGGTCATCGATTACACGAAAGAGAACGTCAGCGAAGTGTTAAAGGCGAAGGGCCAGATATATAAGTTGGTTGTCGACAACGTCGGCACGCCGTTGGATCTGTACAAGGCTTCCGATCACTTCCTGCTCCCGGAGGGCAAGTTCGTGCAAATTGGAGGCGAATTTTCAGTCAGCAATATCACCAATATTATGTCGAGGCAGTTCCTGCCCTCCTTTCTAGGCGGCGGTAAGAGGAATTGGAAGTACCTTGTTACGAATAACTCGCACGACGATCTTGAGCAGATTGCGAAATGGATGAAGGAAGGAAAAGTTAAGGCCGTTATCGACGAAGTTTTTGAGTATGAAGACGCGCCGAAAGCTTTCGAAAAGCTGAGGAAGGGACGTACCAGGGGAAAGATTGTAATCAAACATCCGAAATAGGCGCCTGAGTTTGGGATTTTATGGGTTGACTTCGGTCGTTTATAGCAAATTGCAGGCTTCTTAGGGCGTTACAACTAATCTCACTGGGAGGAGTATCGATATTCATATGTATTTAACCTTACCTTAGGTACCTAACCTACCTACCTCTTATGAACATACATGTACCACACCTGCTATAGTTTGTAGTTATCTAACAGTTTACTCTATCAAAGCGACAAAGTTCGTATAACTAGCAGAAGTCATGATACAACAAGTGAGGTATCTAATTCTCAGTAAGAGTGTACTAGACCAATCCCAAAGACAGTACCAAAATATTGCCGCAGAGACATTAATAAGAAACTTATATCTATCGATAGAATTTATTATACAGTCAACGACAGTAGGAGGTGGTATTCTCTCAAGGTTCCACTATAGGGAACAAACTCACTCGCAACCGTCCAAAGTAGCACGAGTCTATCCTTTCGTCTTTCTAGGCTGTCTATCGGGTAGGATTTGTCTTGGTGTTGTTTTTTTCTTCCTTCCGCGCAAGCAATCGTTTGATATTGTCGTATTACTCAGCTCGTCCCAGCTGTCATATCCCTTCTCTCGCTCAGATGGGGGAGAGAGGATTAACTTCTCAGAACACGAACCCCCCTTTTCGACTTGGTTGAATGCCTCCGCCAACCACCCAACCAAACCGCATAAAACATCCCAATCTTTCCCTAGACATATACCTAAACGTGATTCCGCTAAACGCCTAGCTCAATGCATCATTATGCTCTATAAGGAGCGCATCTTCTTCAAAATTTCCAACAGCCCGCAAACTGAATAACAGTAAGGAAAAAGGCAGACCATCATTCAACGTCTCGACGACGCCGCCCGATCGAAAGCGGCGGAGCTCTTTGAGCTCGTCATAGTCAATCCGACAGGCGTCATTGCGCCAGTTGGAGCTGGGGTAGTACTACGGGTTGGAGGAGCGGAACGGTTGTGTGCCATATGTGCCCTGACCAAGTGGCCGGCTGCGAGAGCGCTGCATAACGAAAGCTCGCCTGCAAGAACCGCCGCACCAACTATACGAGCGAGACGAACCGCGTTATCTCCAGGATTTGTCGGATGAGGACCCCTGACGCCAAGCATGTCGAGCATAGCGCTCTGGGGCTCCAGGATGGTACCTCCACCGATTGTGCCGACTTCGATCGACGGCATAGATACAGAGATCTGAAGCGAACCGCGAAGGCTATTGACGATGTTAGCGCGAGAAGCGATACAAAAAAAAAAAAAAAAAAAAAGTCCTAGACTTACTTCTTCATGATGGTGATACAGTTCGAGCTCTCCACAACTTGCGCTGGGTCCTGCCCGGTAGCGATAAAGATGGCAGCGACGATGTTGGCCGCATGAGCGTTAAAACCGCCCACCGCACCGGCCATAGCAGATCCGATAAAGTTCTTCGAGATGTTAAGCTCGACTAGGCTATCCACGTCGCTCTTCAACACCGCCTTAACCACGTCACCCGGGATGATGGCTTCGGCGACTATACCCTTACCGCGGCCGTCGATCCAGTTGATCGCGGAGGCCTTCTTGTCGATGCAGTAATTTCCAGACAACGACACGATAGACATGTCGCTAAATCCGCCTTCGGTAGCCATGACGTTTAACGCGTGCTCGACACCCTTGGAGATCATGTTCATTCCCATGGCGTCGCCGGTTGTCGTCTTGAATCGGATGAAAAGGTTAGTTCCAGCAAGGGCCGTCTTCATTGTCTGTAACCGAGCGAACCTCGAGGTCGAGTCGAAGGCCTTCTTCATCACAGCTTGACCCACCTCGGAGTCGATCCAGAGCTTCGCAGCGCCGGCACGCTCGAGAGTTTCAAATTGCACGCACGGTCCTCTAGTCATTCCGTCGCTCGTAAGAACTGTAACGGCACCTCCGCCAGAGTTGATAGCCTTGCAGCCGCGGCTTGTACTAGCGACGAGCACACCTTCAGTAGTAGCCATGGGGATGAAATAGCTTTTACCGTCGATGACGAGCGGGCCAGCTACACCGACGGGAATGGGCATATAACCGATAACGTTCTCACAGCAAGCGCCGAGCACTTGTTCCCAGTTGTAGTTCTCGTACGGTAGCTTGGACTGGTCTAGAAGGCTAGTAAGATCTGCCGTCGCCCGGGTCCTCGAGATGATACTTCGACGAACCTTCACGGCTCGCGTGCAATCCTTGAGAGTCTTCTCCAACGCGTAACCAGGGATCTTGCCTTTCAGAGATACAGCAACAACTTCCTCGTCGGTCAATTCATGTGCCCTCTTCTCCGTTAACATCCTGTCCAGCTCGGCCTGGGTTCTCTGCACAGACGACGACGTCAGCGGAGCAACCGGAAGAGGCTTGCTCACACTCTCATCGTCAGTATAGGCGGGGGTGATAGGTCTGTCAGGTATCGATTGTGACGGCGACTGCTTCGGTTGGATCTCACCGAGCGGTAGCGTTGCGGACTGCGTGTCGTTGAATCGCTCTGCTTCCGCAAGCTCCTTGGGATCAATAGGATGGTCTGGTAGGTTGGGATCGCGGATGCCCCATCTAGCTACGTTGAATAGATAACCGTTGAGGGCGACGCTCATGGCCAGAGCGACCACGATCCACTTGGATAGGATAGGGTCTTCCAGACTGGTAAGAAGGCTGCCGACCATGCGTCCGCCTACGCCGTAGCCGTTCAATTGAGGATAGCTGTCTCGTTTACCGTGGTGGCCGTGGCTTGAGGTTAAGGGTGCCTCGGCGTAGTGAATAGAAGGGAATTCGAGTTCATACTTGATGGGAGTCAGTACGGAAACTACCGTCGTCTTCGAGTGGCTCTTCGCGTTGTAGAGTATCTCGTCTAGCCCGTTGGACGCAACTTTAAACGGGTCGAGAGGAGGTGAGCTAACGACACCTCCCAAGCCCGTAGCCCACGAAGAGACACTGGAAACGTCTGAGGTCCTGAAAGGAATGGTGCAGAGGTTGGCGACGTTGATGGCAATAAAGCCCATGACCATCCAGAACTTGAACTTGGGAACGCTACTGCTCCTAAGATCGTTGCCGAAAAGAGGCGCATCAGCCTGGCCCTTGGCGCTTTGCCTAGGCCAGTCGTTATTCTTAGCGACATTTTCAGCGACGCGGCGGCTGACGCCGTCGTCTTCCAAGGCTCGCCGCAGCTCCACGTGACGTCTAATACGGTTCACCTCGAGTTTGATGCACAGAATAGCCGTGTAGAAGGTGAAGAGCAGGATGCAGTCGAAGAAGAGTATCCAGGCGGCTAAGAAGCAGAACTGCTGAAGACCACCTTGTACGCCAGAGGCGGCTCCGGCTACTAGGATCAAGATCTCTATGACGTAGTCCCGGACAATCTCGTAGCCATTATCCTTGATGGCGCGCTGTACGGCGTAGTGGATGATGCCATCCGAAGCCATCAGTAACCTGGTAGATTTGGCGCCGTTGGTTTGCTGCTCTTCGGGCCTACGGTGCTCTAGTGCGTGAGATAGCACAGCCCGGGTCAGCGCGATATTCTTCTCGAAGCCGATTGTAACAACTAGGAAGGGCAATCCCTCCGAGAGTAGAACCATGCTGATGGGGACGCCAAGCTTCGTAGTAACATTGAGTCCGAACAGGAAAGCAAAAGTAGATGAGAAAAGCACGCTGATGGCTAGCCAGACGTTTGATCCCATTTTTCTCATAGATAGGAAAAGCGACACGAAGGTCAGGTGCATAGACAAGTACCCCAGAACCATGATAATGATATCCAGTGTCTCGGCGTTCTTTATCAAGTCAAGAAACTCCGTCCAGGCGTTGTGAATCCATCGTGCTACGCTTCCCCTAGTGTAACCCTTGGCGACTTTCATTATCCACATCTTCTGCTCTTCCTTGCCCAGCTCGGTTTCGCGCGACTCTTGACCGGGAACATCGTTGGGGATCTCCTGCGCGGCCGCGAGAAACTCCGCGGCCTCGTCATACTTGACGGCGAACGCCAAAGCGCTGTCTTGGGAATAAGCACTCAAAGGATTTGCCGTGGACGGAAGATGAGAGATGCTCAGGTTCTGAGGGAGAGGGACGATATGAGGTAATGGTGCAGTCTGAGGTGCATCTTCGGAAGACTCCGGGAAGACCAGAGTGACAAGGGCCAAGTGTTCAGCGTCCTTTGGGGTGGCCGAATCGGAGTCGAAGCTTTGCCAACGCCATGAGGTCTCCGGGCCGACTATCAAGCTTCGGCTGCCCTCTACTAAAGAGGGCCAATCGGCCGTCCTGGCGCTCCTAGTCACATCTAATAGGCTCTCTTTAACGACACCGACGTAGGTGGTGCTCGCTATTAAGGAAACGATGACAATGGTATGGATCGGGTGTAGGCAGGCAATTTTAGAGAAGAACTGGAGGATCGGCGTGACTCTCTTGTTTATCTTGGATGGTGGAACGGGTGTGTCGTTTGGTTGCTCGCCGCGAAAGCGGGAGGGAAGAAATGAAGAAGCAATCATGTTACTACTACGGCGAAGGCATTTGGCGACGACCGCTTAACGAGTATGCTTAGTGCTGTAAGGTAAAAAATAGCAATTAGTCGAGGCCTTCTCCATGATGTCTGTCCATGATGTCTAGCTCCTATGCAGGATTTCTGAAGACCGGGATTTCGATTGCGAGACAAGTCTTGAGCTTGAGAGAGGATAACGGGACGAACCTAATAAAAAAGACTTTTGTCTTCTCCCCAACCTTCTATGATAGCTACAACTTTTACAGTTACCCCAGGATTGTCTAGGTAGTTCTAGGAAGCACGGCGTTCAAGGATATCGTCAAGCCTGCGAGGTGAGAGGTGGGAGGTGGGAGATGACGGGAAATGAGAGGTAAATTAAGAAAGTAAAAGGTGTCCAAAGCCAATCTAAGGTTTTGAGGTGTAAGATTGTCGATACTGACGAAGCAGACAAACAAGTTTCCCTCGAGAAACTTAGGGACGGTCTTGACCTCGTCACCAATGCACAATGCACGATACCAACGCCAATGCCAACGACGACAGTGGGAATAAATCGGCAAGGTGTGCTAAATGGCTCGACCGCAAGGGACCACGAACAACAAAGAATAGTTGGACGAGGAAAAAAAAAATGTTGGAAGAATAATGACAAGTCAGGGGGGGTTGTAGTGGAGATTTATTATCGGTGCGGTGAAGAGAGAAAATTCAAAGCTTCCTCCTTTAGCTCACTCTAGCTTAACATACCCCCTGGCTTGGAATATTTCCAATGCTCAATCAAGTCGCAAGCACAAAATTAGGGGACCCAATAAGGTCCCACTTCGAACGCCAGCTTGTTATCGATTAGATACTAAAAAGCTAGGTACATCATCTTACAAGGTTTAGGTACGCACGGTATATGCCGCTATAAACCTTAGGTACACAGGTAGGTACCTAAGGTAGCTAATCAGTAGCTAATGCATCTCGACCACATGGAGCAACGCTCGAATGTTTTAACAAATTCAAAGTGCGAGCCGTCCAACCGTAGTATTCCACCCTCTTTTCTTTTTTTCTTTTCGTCAAAAATCAGACATACATTTCTTAGCTCTCCTCGTAAGCACGCTTTCTTCAGGTCTATAAAATATATTATCCTCGAGTTCATGACAAATTGTGTCACCATCTTAAAGTAGCCCCGATATTATTGTCTTACAATGCAAAGATTTGGAAGTTAAGTAACGTATCTTGCCTGCTTTGTCAACGCTATTCCTTTACTGCACGAAGAGAGCGTTGGTGGGAAAGGGAGCATAAGTCCACACTAACAACAATGGATACCTTGACAACTCAACAGCCAGGGTAGAATTATATATGTCATAGTAAAGTATGGTCGTGTTTAATAAAACCCCTAGCAAGACAAGCTAGTATCGTTATATGCATACAGAATTTCGGAATTCCATTAGTATTATCAATACTACCTACCATTAGGACTACCTACCACGGAAACTATTACATTTGCCAAGTTTATCTTACGTACCTGTTATAACCATTCTTTTCACTCACAGAATACGCCCGAAAGAGTATACTTTTTACAACTCAACAAGGGCTTCCCACAATTTACTTATTACAGCCTACCCAGTAATTAAGATCCAACATCTTTCTAGTACGGCCTCCTTGCGCAACAGACAAAGCTTGGCAATATAGATACCTGTCGCAAGCCGACAAGATCAAGACTCGACCTATTCCTTTTCATTTACTGTGCCACCCTCCTTCGCATCTCCCCTCCTTGTGCGGAATAACTATCTAAGATCACCTATAGGTACGACCGAATAAGCGGCCCTCGCCAAATAAGAAGCAGGCTTTCTTGATTCAGCTTGCTACTGTGCAGACATCAGCCGCCTCACTTCAGGTCCGTCCATGCTGACGACTTTAGCTCCGGATGTCTCAATTTCTTTCTTGCATCCGGGCCACCCAGATGGGTCAACTGCCCTCGTGCAATCCTCCACCAAATACGTCTTAAACCCTTCTTTCGCCGCATCGATAGCTGCGTTCTTGACGCAGTAATCTGCAGCCAGTCCTACGATGTACACATCCGTGATTTGCTTCTCCCTTAGGATTTTTACGAGGCCGCTGTCATAGACACGCGGAGACGTAAAGGAGTCGTAGAATGGACTATACATCTCGATACGCGGATCAGTTCCTTTCTCGAGAACAATGTCGAGCTGACTGGTGTGTAACTCGGGAATCAGCTCCGCTCCCGGGCTACCCTGAACGCAGTGAACCGGCCATAGTTGCGAGTCATACGTTTCAGCCTCGTTGTGTGGATTCACGATCGTGACCGTGTCCTCAAACGCAACTTTGCCTTGGTGATTTGCCGCAAACGAGATATGATCTTGCGGGTGCCAATCCTTCGTTGCGATCCTAACCACGAAAGGAGAGGCTAGAAGTTTATTGATCAATTCCACAACATCGCGACCATTAGTCACCGCGAGGGATCCATTCTATTCGATGTTGGTCAGATATCTATCGACAGCCGCAAGGAAAATACCTAACCCTAACCTGACCTTACCTTGACAATAGGTAGGGGTAACTTACTGGAGGGCAGAAGTCTTCTTGGAGATCTACCACAATCAATGCGGGCCTAAAGTTACCCATGTTTAGACGTTTAGACTTGACTTTGTCCAGTACTGAATACAGCGATTATATCGTAGGTTGATAAGATGATACGTTGTGATTTCGAAGCTGTCAAACCAAAGTCTTATAAACACGGAATTGTCTTAATGCAAGATCCCGATAAGATAAACTTCGTTGCCCCTCCACGTCAAAACTTAGGGGGAGAATTTCCTTATTATTGGCGCAAACTTTATCAGGTTGCTCGACCGGTTTCGAAGCTCAAAAGCAGCATTTTGCCCCAACCACTTATATTTGGTACAAACGGATATCGTTTTTGTAAGTTTCGCAATCCAACTTTTAAGCGGAGATCATTCAAATACCTACCCTCTTAATTGAAGTTTTAATTGAAGAGTGAAAGAAGAAGCCGTGATTCATATTAGCAACATATACCCACCTAGTTCGAGTGCATAACGTATTGGTACCCCTTTTATCCCCCCCCCCCCCCCCTTTCTTTGTTCCTCATATATAGTGCTTAGTCGTTTTTCTTCGATGCGTATGTGTACTCCAGCCCCTTTGTAACACTACCAAACCACAGCTTTATATGGTCGTATATGGTATTTGTGCGTCCATACCACTATAGCGAAACATCAATCAGTACTGCAAAATAAACAAGGCGGGGATCAATAACACTCAGTAACATATGGAACTCACCGGCGATGTACCCGTGATCCTCGGTAACCTGCCCTGCGCCATCACAAAGTACGTCGAGCTGTGTTCCACAACCGGCCTGGATGAAGCGAGGTCAGATTGGGCGTTAACTGGCATAACTGAAGTCGCGCCGATTTTCTGCATGTGCTTCCAAAGCTTGATGACCAGCTTGATACAGCTGTCAGCACCGAGCGTCCAGGAAGTTACGGTATATCCCATAATGGCGCCGGCATTTGGTACACCAGTTACCATGGTCCCTCTCCAGCTATAACATGACCCCACGTCCACAGGTCGCCCGTCAACTATGGGGGTGATGCCTCCAAGCAGGTGGACATCTAAATCAATCCATATTAGCGCTCTGCAGTCCACTGCACGAAATAATTTTGAGGGATAGGCATTTGGCAAGCCATAAAGAGACGGGATACTCACGAAGGCCCGTAGCTGTAACGATAATGTCCGCATCAAGCTTCTTCCCCGATCTGGTAAGAATTCCGTCTGCTGTGACCGTCTCGATGTGGTCGGTCACGATATCGCAATTATCCCTGCGTAGAGCTTTGAAAAAGTCACCATCTGGACATAAACCTAGGCGCTGGTCGAAAGGGTCGTACTTCGGGTTGAAATGGACGTCTGCATCAATATCAGGCGGCAATTCTTTCTTCATCTCATTTACGATGAACTTTCTCGCCAGATTCGGGAATGTGACGCAGAAGAAAACGAAGAGATGTTCTACTATGAAGCATCTACAGAGTGTTAGTTGATTAGGTATGCATACTACCTACCTAGGTAGATAGGTACCTAGGTAGCTTTTAAAAGTTGCTACGGTAAAAGTCGCTATGGCTGAAGAGACAGATTAGGCACACGTACCGCCACCAGTTGAGTGAATGAGCAATTCTTTCTGGGAAAATGTTCCTGATCCATTTCCCAGCCGGGTCTGATAGGGGCAGGCTGAGAACGTAGGACGGGCTTCTCTGGAGCATCGTTACATGGCCTGCCTTTTTGACCATGGCTGGCACCATAGTGATGGCTGTAGCTCCAGATCCGATGATGATAACTTTCTTATTAGCATAGTCAAGATCCTCAGGCCAGAACTGAGGGTGCGCGACCGTGCCCTTGAAATTTTCGATGCCAGGAATCACGGTCTTGAGCGGACTGGCATAATTGTAATACCCCGAGCTGGCGATCAAAAATCTGGCTTTGAATTCCTTCGCTATGCCGTCCGCGCTGACTGCTACGGTCCAAAGCTGTTCCGCCGAAGACCAGCTGATACCGGTGACCTGGTGCTTGAGCTGAATCTTCTTGTCGATACCTTCGGCTCGGGCCGCATCTTCTATGTATTCTTTAATAAGATGGGCTCCAGCCATATCCGCATCGTGTAGCCATGGTCGCCAAGGAAAGCCGAACAAAGTAAGATCTGAGTCCGAACGAATACCGGGAAACTTAAAGAACGACCATGTGCCGCCGATCTCGTGTCGTGCTTCTAAGATGGTGTAGGAGCAGTCAGGCAGCTGAGTCTTCAAGCGGTAAGCCGCGTTGATCCCAGAGAGTCCAGCACCGATAATGATAAAATCGCATTGTTCCATTTTTACCCTTAGGTAGCTTATAGGTAAAGATGTGGTTGAAAGTTAACCCTTTTTATTTTTTTGCCGTTACTATCAGACCCGTCGTGAAGGTTTAAGCTTCTTGACTGGCGATGTTGTCAGTAATTTTGGCCAGGCCTAGACCATTTACGGTAAAGAACGGGACTTATAATCCAAATTTTGACCGCCTTGTACTAGAATTGTAATTTAGGTACCTAATAGGCCATTTAATCGAAAGGATGTGGGCAGTGTCTTAGTGTACGGCGGCGAATGTCGCGACGAGGGGGCCTGGTACGTTACAATGCAGCCCATGAAAAGCCCATGGGGAAAAAGGGTAATTTCTAGGAGAGGAAGTTCCCAGGGCTTTATTTCCAGGTTGTCAACTACTACGTAAGTTAGGTAGGCTAGGTACCTAACCTATACCTAAGGTATCGTATTTAGGTTATGAAAAGTGGTAGCTAGGAAATGTCTAATCCGCCGTAATGTTACGAACCAACATCTACCAGAAACATACTAGTCTAGGCAACGGGAGCGGGGTCTCCAAGGGCAACGGATAAACCTCGGTTATGGTCACGATCTCGTATGATTTGACTGATTTGACTGATTTGATTGATTTGACCAAATCAACCAAATCACCCAAATCAACCACATCACGATGCCTTCAAGAGGGAGGATAAGGAGGACAACCAGGACTATAAGAGTCAACATGTATCTAGTCATTCATTTACGTTTCCTTAGCTATCAATCTAAGTCTTATATCTAACCCATATAAGGGGAAGGACTCCAAGCCTTCCTGACGAACACTTACAACGTTTTATTGACACTTGACCCGTATCGCTACTGTTTACCTAAAATCAAGCCCCCAGTTACTACACTCTAACGGACCTGAGTGTAGGTTCGTCACACGTAAGGCCGTTACTCTATTAATTGATATTTATAATCGGGTCTCATTTTACAAGGTAGGTACCTACCTAAGGCACCTAGGTTATTAACCTAATCACCATCCTTTTCTACAGGCTCTTTTTCTTGTTTCAAGTGCTTTAGATTTTTCCATCCCATTCCCCAACCGGTTAAGAAAGCACAACTTGCCGCCGCAAGTTGGAGATACTAATAAATTGGTGTTAGCAGGGGTGAACTATCATGTGGGAGTTAGTGTTCTCACGAATATGTTGTTGATGGCTTCATTATACGCTAGGAGGGCGCCTTTTACTTGGCTCTTGGGTATGACTTTAGTTATTTCGGTTGCGCCCGTGTTAATTAACAAACTCGGGTCGATATCGGGTGCGAACTTATGGAGGGCCGGTCCTATAGAACTAGTGAAGATAGTCTTTGCGAGTGCCGAGAAGATCGCGCCTCCGAGTAGCTGAGAGAACATGGCGTACGCCGATGCTATCGAAGCGTCTTCTCTGGGGACGTTCGCTTGCATAGCAAGGACGAGCTAAATCGATGCAGTCGTCAGCATTTAACCAGCACCGAATCAGTACGGGGGTGTTATACTGCTTACGAGTTGTAAGACAAAGCCACGACCTGCTCCCATGAGAACCTGATATCCTATAATTTCCCCATCAGAAGTGGCTAGAGAGAAAGTTGCAGTCAACCCAGCTCCAATCGCCACGAGCGCGTTTCCTCCAACCACCTCCGGAAGGTAATAACCCGTCTTCTGAACAAGAGCTCCGCATACTACGGACGCGAATAGTTGCGATAGCACTAAAGGGAGAAGCATCACGCCGCTCTGCAGAGCATTCACGCCTCTGATGGCCTGGAACCATATGGGCAGCCAAAACAATGAACTAACGGACCCGCCACTTTGTAGGAACGACGTGATCGTGATCATGATACTGACACGGCTTCGTAGCAGTCGGGGCGGCAGTAAAGCGGACTCTCCCTTGTAAGCAAACCAAAATCCGACCACTCCGAAGGCTACCAATCCGCCACACATAAGTCCGATTACGTTAGGCGAGTTCCAGGGGTATTTCGTGCCGCCCCATTGCAGTCCGACTAAGAGCAATACGGACGCGGCGGCAAAGATGACGAAACCGACAAAATCAAGGTCGAGGACTCTTTCTACGAGGGTGGTTTTCTTTTCCGAGAGTCTCGTTACGGGTAACCTCACCACGAACACGAACAAGAGGACGACTAGGCCTCCTAGAGGTAAATTGCTAAGAAGGTTTAGCTCAGATGCTAAACGCTGGAGACGGCGACAGTGAACTTACATGTAGAAACACCAGCGCCATGACAACCCTTCCGTTAGAGCTCCGCCGATTAGGGGGCCCGCTGCCTGGCCCACGGCAAAGCAGCCGAGTATGATGCCGTTTATAAACGACCGCTTCGCTATCGGGACGGTTGCGGCGACGATGGTGGAACTGCCGTTGATAATTCCGGAACCACCTATACCACTTATGGCCCTTGCGATGATGAGCATCATGGAAGACGTAGATAGCGCGGCAATCAGGGAGCCCAGCTCGAAGATAATTATGAAGGTAATAAATACGAGCTTGATCCTAAAGCCCCTATATATTTTCCCGACGAGCGGGACCATAACACAGCTATATAGGGCTTGTTAGCCTCGCGTTTGACGAACGGTAGACCCTCTCGCTTCCTTACTTACTTTGCTATTAGAGACGCCGAAGAATACCACCCGATATCATCTACGGTATTAAACTCTGCCGTGATTGCGGGGATAGCCTAGTAGAAAGTGTAAGCAGGTACATCGCTAAGAACGCCGAGATAATGTTCCTTACAGTTCCTAAGGCGGTATTGTTGAGAGCTATTAGTAGGACGGCTAGGGTAATGGATCCCATCGCGACGTAGAATTGTAAGCTGCTCATCTGCGGATGGCTTGAACTCCCAATCTCATTTTGGTCTTTACTTTGGGAAGTTGAGTTACTGTCTCCAGGGCCATCTTTCTCGTCGTCGATCTTATTGGAAGTAAGTTTACCAAGTTTGGAGTTTTTGACATCGACATCGGCATCGACACTGATTGCAGATTCTAGATCCTGGGTATCCGAGCCACGCTCAGCCGATCGGTGAGGATTCATTGCTGAATGCTACCTTGAAATATAATGTAAGTCGTTAACTGAACTACCACGAAGTTCGTCGGCTGCCCTTGGCCGAAATATGCCAGCCACGAAATGCAGCTCGGGTAAGCCATATCGCGAGACATGTTAAAAACAATTTATACTATTCATTCCCTGTTAAGTATAGTGGGAAGAATTTAATACGAGCGATAGCCGCTCCAGGCGTCAGGGAATACGGCGTCTGCAGCATCAAATGAGTAAGATGTGAATAAAGCCATTTCGGCGAACCGGCCTTTTCTCTAAAAGTCCGGTCTAGATTGTGCGTTTTCGTATGTCACATATACTTATTTTAACCGTGGTTCTGTTAGCTTGGCTACGCCAATCCGGAGCATGTTGGCTAACGCGACCTTGGTAGCGAGAACAACTTGGGTCTCGTGTGGAGACCGGAGACTGGAGAATATCTTCAAACTCCGTTCTCTTACCATACCTCCTAAAGAGCCCTCGTCGAACACCGCTGTCGTCCCACGGCTTGCGGATTAGACTTTGAAAGTCCGCCGGCGATTGAAGCTTCTGTAATCGAGTATTTTATTTTTATCATATCGATGGAAAGGCCAAAGAGCTCAGCTATCGCTAAATGGGGAGCAGCGTGTTCGCCATGTGCTTTGGCAAAAGCCAAATGCCTTCGTTCGATCAATAGGCCGGACGGCAGATGTGATAGGTGAGCGTGTCATCTGGTGCATATAGCCATTTTCAAAGCCTAGGCCCAAAGCTACCATATCATATTAGTCGGTTTACTAATGAGGGATTGGAGATTTAAGATGTGAACGTTTAGATAAAGATTGCACCAACCAGATACACAAGCCGAGGAAAAAGCGACAGAGCCGGCCCTCGTAAGTACTCTTCCATTTGTTTGCCTACCTACCTTAGGTAATTTTATTCGTTTTCCTATTGGTTTTCTTGATGGGAGTATATACATATACCATTCGAGGCAATTATTTTGTAATATGTCGCTTGCATGGAGGAGGATAAGAGTTGTCCGTGCCCCTTTCGGTAGTCCTCAACGTCGTGCAGACCTTTGAGCTACCTAATTTACAGGTAAAGACGAAGCTAACGCCATATCTTATATTATAGCAAAACAGCACAGCTTGAGGAGAGACTCAACAGTCTTGTAGATTTTATCAGAGCTACCAACCCAGTGGACATCCCCGCCCCGTTAAGGCAGGGTTCTGGAGCCAAATCTACTACGCCGTCGTCCCCAAAGGTGACAACAGATGGGGGGGTAATACGGAGCCGAGACCAGACAGGCACTACTACTCTGAGTCGATCATCACGCTCGAGTTTTGAGCAGCCACGTGCGATTCCTGACTATTACAATGAGCATGCCCCGCGCATATGTGTCTGTCGTACTCAGGCCGGTGAGAGCACCGCTCCGCTTGAGTCTGACGACGTCTTGTTGTCGATATTCGTCGACGAACTTGTCCCGAATTACCCGTTCGTTATCCTTCCGCCGGGCTTCACGGCTTCGGAATTGGCGGTCAAATATCCTTTCCTATTCACTACAGTCCGAATGATTGCTTCCTACCGTAATCTAAGCTCGTTGAGATCGCAGAACTACTTCATCATGAGGCACATATCCGAGCAGATGCTGATGCGTTCGGAGCGGTCGCTAGAAATCCTCCAATCAATTCTTCTGGTTGTGGGCTATTATCACTATCACTGTATAATGCACGCGCAGCTGAACAATCTGATCGCACTAGCAAACAGTCTGGTAGCCGATCTCGGCATCAACAAGCCTCCAGAAGTACAGGACAAGACGAAGAAAATTTTAATATCAACACCTGATCCCCCCAAAGGTAGGGCGAACGACGAAAGGAGGGCAGTCTGCGGAGTCTGGTATATGACCTCAGTGTAAGTGAAAAGGACAATTGATATTCTTACCCGACCCGACAACGCGAGTCAGCTCGGTTGATATTTCTTTGGAGACATAAATAACACTTATGCCCAACAGCGTCTCGCTCTTGTTACAACGGATGGAGCCGCCAAAATTCACACCATACATAGATCAATGCCTTCGGGAGCTTGAGACGGACCAGGAATACGAAACCGATTCGCTCCTCGTTCATCTGGTACGAATTCAACACTTGTCTGAGCGTATTTCACAGCTACATGTAAAGGATCAGGACGATAGCGAATTGACTGGTATTGCCCGTGCTTCGATGGCCGCGTATTCCAGCGTATTCCACACGGAAATAGAGAAATTTAAGGCTTCAGTGCCTCGTCACCTCTTATCTAATAGTAAGTTGCTTAACTCATGTCACTTTTCCCGAGGGGGAGAAGAAGGAAAAGCTTGAAATTAACTCTCGTATAGAGCTACTCATATGCCATATCAATACGGCCTTTTTACGGTTATGGGAGCCGCCACGGATTGATGCTACGCTCCTCTCCAGGATTTCAAATTCGTTGTCATCCCTAACTCCTGATTCGGCCTCTTTGCTCGATATATTTTATAGATCCGGCATCGCGCTGAAGTCTTTCTTCGAAGCTTGGCTATCTTTTGATATCACGGATTACTTCGTCTTACCTATGCCCGTCTCCGCTCAGCTCATAAATGCTGTTATAATGCTGGTCCGCTGGTCCAAGTTGACAAGTCCCGACTGCAGTGTTAAGTCTAGCCAAACCGTGGCGGCAAGTTCCAGATTGACACAGATAGCGCAAAACGATCCAGGTTGCAGCACTGTGGCTTCGGTCTCCGCGCCCAACCTCAGCGTCAAAGATATAGACCCCGCGATCCCCGCCGCCGTCCGTACAATCAGGTCTCATATACTTTCTCAGCCCGAGCTGAGGATAGATGTTTGTAGCATCCTACAAGGTATGGTAACGCGATTCGAACAGGCGCGAGAAGCCTACGAGAAGAAGAGGGGATCAACTTTGGAGAACGACATATGGGACGTGGCCGCGAGGAAACTCAGGAGTACTCGCAGCAAAGTTGAACGATGGGCTGAGATGGTAGCTACCGCAGGTGGTGAAGGCCGCCGGTCCGAAGTATCATCATCAGATGTGAATATGGCTAGAGAAGCTGATCTCGGCAGCGGTCAAAACATGGGAGGGAACTGGCCTCCTGTGCCATCGGAAATGGACATTTCTATGGAATTTTCGCTGGAAGAGTGGAATCCTGGTGCTTGGTGGGCGAGTGACTTCTTTGAAGGATCAGTTATGGATCAGAATTTCTTTGATGGACCGGGTAATTATGGTACGGTTGTTATGGATGGCCTGGGGCCCTCATAGTATTTTATGGGTGGCCGAGTTTTTCTTGTTCTTTTGTATGTTGGCTGATGGATAAAATACCCCTTATGTTGAAACTGGCGAAGAATGAGATGAGCGTGTTAAAAGTCTTTGTGAGAATTATGTTCGCCCCAGATATATGACAAATAGATGTCATTCTACAGGCTATCATCTACCGCAGTCAAAAGTTGCCACATGAATAAAGATCAAGATAGGTCTGTACGAGAATAGTAAGGGCAACTTTTAAAGGGGGGCAAGAAATTGACAGCTACAAAAGTCCAATATGGTTAGGTAGGTGCCTATATTCTCCCGGCTGGTTACTACGAGCAACATAGTACATTGCATTTGTGTATAATATTATACATAGAATATAAGTGCGACTTCATGCGATATTTTCGCGTGGAGGCCCTTTGGGGGATGTTTTTTCCCCTTTCATCTGATGGCAACCTGCTCCTTTTGTTGCGTCGGCGTAATATCCTAATAAGTCAATCTGCTACTCGAGGCAAATTAGGCCCTTTGTCACCTATGACGATGACCTAGTAAGTCGAGTACCGCCAACAAAGACTTGAGTCTGGACTTGGTTCATACTTGGCTGTCTTTACAATCTCCGTAGCAGGTTTATTTTTAGCTATCGCTGTTGCTATCTTCTCAAGAACATCAAAAACGTTCTCGCTCGTCGAAAATTATTGTCTTACTACCAAAATGGAAGGGATGTCTATGCCATTATCTATGGGGTCCTCAGTGTCATCTACGAGACATTCAACCCTGAGTACCCTAATACCAACGCCCACAGCAAGCACGGGAGGTACCGATAATATGGACAACAACATGGAGGGTATGGGAGATATGGAAACACAAGTGGGAGGGTGTAAGATCTCTGTGAGATATTAATTTCTGATACGGTTGAATTTGTACCGGCAGTCCCATCTTTGCTAACAGACAGCCAATGCTAGATGCTCTGGAATTGGGACACGGTCGACACCTGCTTTTTATCGGAGTCATGGCAAGTTAAGTCTCCTGGTGGATTCGCAGGTCTATGTATCGGTATTGTCCTGCTCGTAATCCTACTCGAGTTTTTACGTCGCGCCTCCAAGATCTACGACCGATACTTGATCCGCCAGCACGCAAGGGCGACGAAAGTCCTCGCCGCAACGTCCGTGAACAATTCCACAGATACTGCCAACGGGGCTCTCATAGTAAAAGAAGGCACCACAGCCCTGCCTCATACCACACCATTTAGACCTAAACTCTGGCAGCAGGGCATCCGTGCTTTACTACATACGCTTCATTTCGCCCTAGCCTATTGGATTATGTTACTTGCTATGTACTATAACGGATACATAATTATTTGCATCATCATCGGCGCCTTTATAGGGTTCTTTCTACTCCAATGGGAACGTCTAAGTCCTCGGTAAGCAAAGCATTCTTAGGTCTCAATACTTAGTATTAGGCACTGATATTATTGGTATAAAAGAAGCGACGGCGAAACTGGCTTTGACAGTGGAACAGAAGCCACCGGCTGTCACGGATAAACTCTATAAGATTGACGCGAATAGGTTGTATAATATTAAGGATCGGGAGAAAGAGCAAAAGTTCTATAGTCAAAGTTAATTCATTAGGACCGCAACTTGTAGAATAGATAGAGGTATGAGTGTAGGATCTGCGTAGCCTGAAATACCTAGATTTAGCAGCTACCTCCTCAGATACTTACCTCCTATATAATAACTGGATATTTCCTTAGTACTGATATCTAGATTGGTGATACTTTAGATTCGTTATCCGAAGCGATACCTTAGGCTAGGCATAATACGAATATCATCAAATCCAGGGTAGCTAATGTACAAGGATCGTAGCAGGTCACGTAAACCATAGAATTTAGTAGGTTCCAGGAGAATGTTTGAATCGTCAATTAGCGTAAACTCATTTATGCTTATTCCCTAATCCATCCTTTGCATTTTTCAACGCCGGTATCGTGAATTGCAATTACCTCAAGTACGGCTCCGCAATGCCCTCGCATGTCACGACAACCAACGAACCGCCAACCCAGCCATTGTGCAAATTAAAAAAAGATAAAATAACAAAGAGCACAAAAAAAATAATGTGTTTCACTTCGCTCACGCTCATCGTCCAACTCGGATCACGCCAGCCGCAATAAGCTTCTGGATGTTAGAACGGACATTAGGATTGCGCATGTGTTCCTGCAGCGCCGCGGGGTCGGACTGGGCTTGCTGGAGAATGGATTGCATAACAGGATCCTGCATGATGCTCATGATCTAAAGCGCGCGAGTTAGCTGGCACTGCTCTGTCCGAAGCAATAAGGATGTATTTGGTACTTACCTCCGGGTCTTTCATCAACCTCTCCCGAGTCTGCTCTTCAGTCTCATTCTCTCGGGCGGAGTACATAGCCTGCAGAGCCTTTTGCTGCAGCTGGTCGATCTCCCGGGCATTGGCGTTGTTGTGATACTCGCTGTCCACCGTGGTAGCCTCGTTGCAAGCGTCGATACACTTGGAGTACTCTCGCATGCCGAAGTAAATCTGCGCCTTGCGAATATACGCCCTGATGAACTTGGGATCCTTCTTGATAGCCGCATTGCAGTCATCGAGGGCACTCGGGAACTCGAACAGCTTAACAAAGGCGGCAGCACGGTTGCTGTATCCACGAGGATCATCCGGGGCACGCTTGATCATCTCAGAGTATGCCGCAACAGCGCCGGGGAAGTCCTGCTCCTTGAATTTCTTATTTCCTTCCTCTCGGGCTTCCTCGGCCTTTTCCGGGTCGATGTAGGCCTTCCTGGCCTCTTCAATCTTTCTGCGCTCGGCGGCGCGGAGCTTATTCACTGTGTCGGGTGTTCGGTGCTCTGTCAGGGACTTCTGGTAATTTTCGATGGCGGCCGCGAGATTTCCTTGCTTCTCGTAGGCTGAACCAATGCGCGCGTACGACTTAGCAATCGTCTTGAAGTCGGCATAAATCATACGGCCTTCTTCGATAGCCTTAGTGCAGGTGTCAATGCAAGCTTGGTAGTCACCCTTTTCGAAATAAGCAGCACCAAGGTTGTTGAGATATGTTATATCCTTGTGCAACTCCCAAGCCTTAGTATAGTGCTTTATGGCTTCGTCGAAATTACGCTTCTTGTAATTTTCAGTACCCAGCGCCTTCTCCTTGTCAGCCTCCTCCTTTGCCTTTCTCTTGGCAATCTCTTCCTCATCCAATTCATGTTCAGGCTCAGGTTCAGGGGCCTTGGCAGGTTCGGGCTTAGATTGGGCATTGGAACCAGCCGCAGCGGCGTCTGGCATTTCGACGTCCTCCTCCGCCTCTTTAGCTCCCGAAGACGCGCCAGCGGCAGCGGTAGCGCCAGGAATATCGTCAGGGCCTCCCATTTGCATGTCAATACCCATCAAAACTCCTAGTACTTGGATCATTCGAGGGTCGCTGAACAACTCTTGAGTGTTTTGGGGGTTCTTCTGTATAGCCTGGATTTTTGCGATGAATGATGGATCAGCGAGGAAGCCACTGGTCTTTGGGTTGTTCATCAGCTTCTGAAGAAGATTAGGATCGCTAAACATCTTGCCAAGTCCACCTGTTGGGTCACCACCGAAGCCAGCACCTAGAAAAAGTCAGTATTCCAGAGAAAAGAGAGAGAGAAAAGTACGTATCAGGATGGTAGACGTTTACTTACCGGCCTCTTGTTCCATCGCTCGCTGGACGGAAGCGAGAGAGCTTTTTAAGCCAGCATTGTTAGGGTCGAGCTTAAGACCTTCTTCGTAGGCATCGCTGGCACCTAGAAGGTCACCGGAGCCGTGTAAGGCTGCGCCCTTGCGGCCCCATCCTCGCGGCCAGTCCGGCTTGAGCTCAGTTGTCTTCTCGGCATCTTTCAGAGCATTTGTCCAGTCCTTCTTAGAAGCGTAGGCAGCGGAACGGTTGCTGTAAAGAATGTGGTTGTTTGGGTCGATGGAGATAGCCTTGGTGAAGGCATCACTAGTTGAAATGTTAGTCTATACATGTTCTCAACTTCTCGTCTCAAATCTCATATAAAAAACACGCGCACTTACATGGCTTCGTCAAACTTCTTGTCAGCGATAGCCTTGTTGCCCAGAGCTTTAAGCTCGTCTACAGAGGCCATTGTGGGCTGATGCAACCTTGCTCACGATGCAGCAGTGGGGGTTAACTTTGGATGATTGCTTTTCGTGACTGTCAAGAGAAACGTTTCTACGCGAGTGGTGTAAGACTTGCGGAAAGTAAAAGATGGAAATATTAGTGAGGTATTTAGAAAGCTTTATACCTGCAACTTACAAAAAAGAAAAAAGAGTAAGTGGCATGTAAGTTGGAATGCGCAAACTTTGGAATAAAACCACTGGGACTTTGATCTTTTTTAGAGCTGAATGCGATGAATTCGAGAGCTTTCTACGGTGGGGTATTGGAGGTCCCTGATGGAAAGTACCTCTAATGGAAAGCTTCCTTGTCGATAGCTTATCGATAAAATGGACCTACAGGCTAGCTAGGTACATGTACTATTTGATGTACATGATTAGCGATAAGGAATTTTTAAGTACCTTCTATTGAATGTATGCGCGACCAGAGAGATAACAAAATAAATCCTCCAAAGTTATCACGTCGAATATCAGAAGTAAATTTTGGTTGCGCGGGGCACCCTGTGTCAATTGATTTTTTTACCACTTACATCTTAAAACAGAACCATCGAAATTATTAATTCGCAGAAGCCCAGGCATACGTATCTGATTGAAGCCCGTTTAGCAATCATGTACCTCGGTCGCCTCTAAAATTTTTGCCATTTACAATTCAACCCGGCGCATTTTTTTATTTATTCAAATTACACAATTCTCACTCCCTTACCTTCAACATCTGAGTCACAATCTAATCGCCGCTTCAAAATGGACGAACAAACATCGATTCTCAAAACTCAGCTCTACTCCGCCTGCGAAGATGCGTGTAGAGACAATCCCGAGAGAGTGTTCTCTCAGGAGGACCTGATGGCCCTCGAGGTCGTCCCGCCTAAGGACGTAAAAAAGCTACTACAAATTATTCAAATCCTAACGCGGGAGCGCCTTTTCGCTCCCGTCCACTTTCACAGTGGCCTAGCATGGCGACTTCGCCCCGAGGCCGAAGCGGCCAAGTAAGTAGATATCCGGTTCCCCTCCGCCCCTCCGCCCCTTCCATCGCCGTCCCTATTTTACTTGCAGCCCAAGAAAAAAGAAGGAACCGTCATCTAACCCTCTTTCGATAGGTACAAGCATCTCACCTCCGAGGACCAGGTCCTAGTCTACGAAATTATCGATTCGGCAGGTGCCGAGGGAGCATGGCAGCAGGACATAAAGAAGCGCCTGAATCTCCAAGACAATGCCTTACGAAAGGCGCTCAAGGAGCTGGAGACTAAGCGCTTCATCCAGCAGTTCACCACCGTGGAGAACATGTCCAAGAAGATGTGGATCAAGTTTGGCATGCAGCCCTCCGCCCGCGCGACAGGAGGTCCCTGGTACACGGATCAATATCTCGACGAGGCCTTCATAGACACGTTACAAGCGGTGGTGGTGCGCATTATAAAAGACAGGGGTAGCTATCGAAGCACCGGGGAACGAAGCGCTCGAAGCGTAAGTCCTGTTCTACCGAAGAAAGGTGTTATTAGGGGCGGTCAATCGGAGGCTGCAATGAAGAGTAAGAAACGCGCTGCAGACGCCATGTCTAAAGACGATATTTCCCAACCCCCAGCTCCAGCATCCAAGGCCCGCGGAACACTTCGACTTCCTCTGCCTGCTGGTTATACGGGCTACCCCACGGCTGAGGAGATCACGGCAGAAATAGTATCGATGCATATAGCTAAAGGGCAGCCTCTAAAGACGGAACACGTCCAGGAGCTTATCGATATCCTCATCTGGGAGAATAGGATCGAGGAGGTCAAAACAGGCGACCGAGTCGGTTATAGGGCCGTGCGTGTGTCTAAGCAACATCCGGACATGGTCAAACTAGACAGTGAAGATTTTTGGGAGCCGAGAACCAATGGTTTGACGACTGTACCCTGCGGAAAGTGCCCCGTCTTCGAACTATGCGAAGAAGGTGGTCCTGTATGGGCGGGAGGGTGCGAATACTTTGACAAATGGTTATTGTAGGTCTGATGTAGACTGTGATTAAATGATTTTCAACATAGCATAGCATAGCGAGGCGTTTAATGGTAAAGGGAGAGGCCATGGGCCAAAAAAGAAACCATCGGGAAATTAATAAATATACCAGGTTCAGACAAAGAGACCAACATTGAAAAAAAAAAGTTTGCCAAGGCAGTCAAGAGTATAATGATTACGACCATCTGTCACTAATTAAGGTTGGATACCTATCAGGTAGGCAGTTTGAGGCAAGACATATGTTATTGGCAACTACCTAGCATTTAAAATTTTTTGCTGGTTGAAGTGTCTCGCAAATTTATCCTTCCCTAGTTTTATTGAGCCTTCTTGGGTGGCCTACGCCAATCTTGAGAGGAGGCTAGCTGGTAGCACTATAGGCCTGGTAAAAATGTTACACGCAATAAAGATAAAAAAGGATTGCATCTTTTTTTTCTTTAGGCAATCTCGCCAGAGTTGACGATGGTAGGTCGCTTGCTATACTTGATAGCACCGCTCTTAGAGCCAGTAGCCTCGATAGCCTTAACCACGGCTATGGAATCTTCGTCGGCAACGACACCGAACGGAACGTGGCGACCATCGAGCCAGCTAGTCTTGACAGTGGTGATGAAGAACTGAGAACCGTTGCTAGATACGGGATGTCAGTTAGGAGTCAAGAGTCAAGGAGGTGCTAAATAGCAATGTGAGGGTAGATGTGTCTCTATGGTCCGAAGAAACTTACGTGTTGGGGCCGGCATTAGCCATGGACAGAGTGTAAGGGTGAGTGTGCTTGAGGTCGAGGTTCTCGTCGGGGAACTTCTCGCCGTAGATGGACTTGCCACCAGTGCCCTGTTGCATAATTAGAAATCAACCCAAACGTGGACGGCGATGGTATTCAAAGATCGACGTACGTTGCCACGGGTGAAGTCACCACCCTGAAGCATGAACTCAGGGATGATACGGTGGAAAGATGAGCCCTTGTAGCCGAAGCCCTTCTCGCCGGTGCAGAGAGCACGGAAGTTCTCGACGGTCTTGGGAACAAGGGGCTTCCAGAGCTCCAGGTTGATACGACCGCTCTGGTCTAGAGGGGAGGACGAAATGTTAGTATCAGGATTTTCAAGACTATAAAGGGAGACACGACGCTGGAAAGTGCTTGAGAATCAATTGAGCTCCCTAACGACAGCCATGTATATACAGCTAGTACATCAAAATGAAGCTTGTCGCGGTAGTTGAAGCTTGAATACAAGTACAGGGATGGGGTTGAAGAACTTACTCTTCACGGTAGCGGTGGGTTTGCCATTCTCTAGGACTGGGCCCTCCCACTCCACGTCCAAGAATCTGGATAATTTGTTAGCTCCATCATAGCAATGAAAAAAAAAGAAGAAAAAAAGAAGAAAAAAAAGGAATAATATGGGAGTTGAGGGTAAAGGTGAGACGTACACCTTAACGTTGCCGGACATATTGGTTGAAGTTGCGGAAAAGAATCGAACAGAGGGTTGGCTTGCTGGAGTAGAAAAGAGTGGTGATGCCTTTGGAAAGATGGAAGGGCGAAAGCAGGAAGACGAGGTTGAAAATGAGGAAGAGGAAGAAGAAAACGCAGCGCGGGGCACTCGAAGGAGGGGTTGGAAGAAGGTCTGTCTCATCATCTTTGCGGTGATCGATTGGGAATTGCCTAAGGGAGGGGTCAGCTCAAGCTCCTAGCCAATCATATCACAGGAATGGGGGCAAAAAAAAAAGCTCTTTCCGAGGGGCTACAGGTGCAAGTGGGGTTTTTGAGGGTGAAAAGGTGGTACCGCATGCATTCGTGCATTTTAGCAGCAACTTAGTATCTTAGCAGCCTTAGGTTAGGTACTCAGATACCTTAGAGGGTGTATTTCTTAGATAGAGCTGTCGTCACTAACTTGTCGCTCACTCCCCACCCCCACTCCACTCTTTTAGGTACTTCTCTCACTTAAGGCCGCGGACTTCCACTGAAAACTTATGCCAATGATGCAGCAGACAAAAGGAAAGACAACATGTTCGCCAAAACACACATCATACCTTAGATAAATAGGTACCTTGTACGGCGGTACAATACCTATAGGCATGCACCTAACCCATCTGGGGAGGGGGACCTTAGGTATGTTGGTACCTTTAAGTATGTACCTCGAGTTGTTTTGTACCTTGTACAAATGAAATCCCCAACAAGAACTTAGGTAATTGCGATAGAGAGAGAAAAGCTAAGATGGTGTTTCACTGACAAATGCAAACGACCCGAAGGTAAACAAGGAAGAGGGAAATATAGAAAAGGGGGAATAATAGAAGTAAAGACAGAGGAAACCTCCCCCCCGTCCCCCCCCTTTTTTTTTTCTCTCTTTCTCTCTCTTCTGAAGAACATCAACCAACCGAGGCCTTCAACCCCCTTCCATCTAGCCAGAAAGACCAAAAAAAAATAAAAAATAAAAAATAAAATAGAGAGCACGTCAACTAATACGAGCAGCCCACCGTTCTCTCCGTATCGTCAAATCATATCAATGACGTACTCTTGGATATTAACGATCGGACTAAACCCCACGTGTGCCTCTCTATCGGATAGGTCGACGATTCTCCGGGGCAAAGAAGGCAAGAGGGGTAGCAGTACCAATGCCGTGCCTTGACAGTTGCTCATGCTTCTTGCATGCAGCATAATGTTTTCGACATCCTGCCACGTCTGCTTCGATAGCGTGTGATGTTCTCTGTAAGTACACTATTCGGACTGCTCGTCCATAGCGTCTTTGTACATGCGACAGGCAGGTCACTAGAAATGCATGCCACATCTATATGCACATACAGGCAGACAGACGCAGAGGCACGCCGACAAGGCGGACACGGACAAGTCGGGGGCAAGACTGCAGCTTTCACCCCACCTCCGCCTGCTTTGATCGCCCAGAGGTTCGGCATGGTTCGGCTTGACAAACCTGACAAGCATAGATGGAGAGCTAGGTTGTTGACAGACCGCAACTCGGCTGACACAATTGGAGTTTCCCAAACATGGGTTTTGTCTTTAAAAGTTGAAAAATGCTTTTTGTATGTCGAGCGTAACAACAAGAGCCGGTAAGCTTGCAGCTTTCCCAAAAAAAAAATAAGATAAAATAAAATTTCTTGAAAAAGGTATAGATTCGAGGATTGCACCTGTCAAGCTCCGCTTAGAGCTTCCAATGACCTCTTATTCAAAGTGAATGGATAATAAATTTGATGGTGACTCTAAGAGCTGTGTTAACGTACCTTGCGTATGAGTTGTATAACCGTAATCAAGCGGACACTTCAAGGAGAAGTCAACTAAGTCCGAGGCTGGATAATATATGTTCTCTAACAGTTATAATAGTAGAATCAAACTCAAGCAAAACTCTGAAATTTTCTAGTGCCTTTGAGCGACTCTTACAGAAAACTTGACCTGGTCCGAGCGTCCTCTCTATAAGAAGTGTTAAAGTGGAGTGGGTCAGCTATTAGAATAATCGCGTACATTCTGAGATTCTCTTTTCGAATCAAACAGGTATTCATCACGTGATACTTTTTGATGCGCTGACGTAAGGAACCCGCAGTACCGGATGGCCGTAAGTTTACAGGTGGTCATTGCACAAGTCGGGCAGCGTTTGCCAGGGGTCGGAAAGGGAAGGTACGGAAAGTCGAAGTGTCCAAATGAGGTACCTAAAGTTTCCATACCTTAGGTATATTCCAATTCATTCATTTAAATCTACCTAACGTATACCGTCTACCGTCTACCGACTACATACCTAACCTAGTACCTAAAACACAAAACAAACAATTACTAAACCAAGATAAATCTAATCGTCCAAGAGACAATTCGCCCTAAGGCTATTTTCCTAGCTTCCCTTCTCTTTATCATAATAACTACAACCGCGCTTTTCTCCCTTGGTCCCTGATCGGGACCTAAAAGCTACGGCCGAACATGGATTTCAACAGTCTAAAGGATCAGGTAACCAACCTGACGCTATACGATCTCAAGGCGGGAGTTCGCAAGGTCCAGAATGGTATGTTTCCTATATTACACGATCGACGAGTACCTCGGCGGCAACCCAGATGCTAACTTATCTGGACAATAGCTGTTATGAACTATACGGAGATGGAAGCAAAGGTTGGTAACACTTCAATTGATATCAGCTCCTTCGGCTGATAGTCCAATTACTTACGCGCGCAACAGGTGCGAGAAGCTACCAATAATGAACCTTGGGGCGCCTCGTCAACCCTTATGCAAGAAATCGCCAACGGCACCTTTAATTAGTACGCGATCGTGGTTCCGCTCATTCGTTTCATCTTTACTGACTTCGGCCGACGTTAGCCAAACCCTCAACGAAATTATGCCCATGATCTACCGTCGTTTCACCGAAAAGGCCGCCGAGGAATGGAGGCAAATATACAAGGCGCTCCAGCTTCTCGAATTCTTGATCAAGCACGGCTCGGAACGGGTCATTGACGATGCGCGCAATCATATAACGCTCCTAAAAATGCTACGACAATTCCACTACATCGACCAGAACGGCAAGGACCAGGGAATCAACGTCCGAAACCGCGCAAAGGAACTTGCGGAACTTCTGGGCGATGTCGATCGGATCCGGGCGGAGCGAAAGAAGGCCAGAGCCAACAAGGCCAAGTACACGGGGGTTGAAGGCGGCACCATGGGAGGTTTATCAGGGAGCAGCCGCTACGGCGGATTTGGCAGCGAGTCGAGTGGCTACGGCGGTTCGTCTTCGGGTTACGGCGGGTACTCGGGTGGTGTATACGGCGACGGTGGCGGGTTTGGGGGACAGTCCGACGACTGGAGGGATTCTAGCACTAGCCGCGCGGACAAGTTCGAAGAGTACGACGAGTTCGACGAAGGATCTACGCCGTCGAGTTCGTCCAGAGCGAAGCGACCCGAGCGTAGTGAGAGAATTGGCGTCAAGAAGACCACTCCCGTCGAACCCCCAAAGAAAAAAGAGCCCGAGGTTGACCTCTTCTCTTTCGACGATCCTGCTCCCGCGGCAACTACCTCCGCCGCCACTCCGTCGAATAATTCTTCTGGGCTAGCTGCTCTGTCGACGACTAACAACGATGACGACGACTTCGATGATTTCCAATCCGCAGCGCCTGCGCCCTCGGGCAATATCGGAATCCCCCCACCCATGGTAACATCGAGCGCTCAATCCACCGCCCAATTCGCTGCTCCAAAGCCTTTATCCGGGCCGCAGCAAGCTAACCTCAGCGACATGATGTCGTCAATCTCACCTCCCGCAAGTACTACGACGACACCTGCGGCTAATTACTCATCTTTCAGCATACCGACAACTACCGGCGTGTCTGCTCAAGCACCAAAGACGACAACTAGCTATCAAGCGGCAGCTCCTAATTATTACCAGTCCGTTCAAGCTCACCCGACGGGATCATCAATTTCTGCGGCATCGTCCGCAACTGGCCTATCTACGCCATCTGGTCTATCTGCGTTGAACAAGCCGGCCGCTCCTGTGACGGCTAAACCTAGCACCGGTAGTGATCCTTTCGCAAATCTCTGGGGCCAAGCCGGCAGTGGATTGAAAAAGGCCAGCACGCCCACTGCAGGGCCGAAGATGGGCCAGCTTGCCAAAGAAAAGACCAGCGCATCGCTCTGGGGCGCACCCGCAGCAGGCACGCCAAAACCTGTAGGTGGTTTGCAAACAGGCAGTGGATCAGGTAACGCGACGACCGGAAGCAGTGGCTTAGACGATTTATTAGGTTAAAGGACCGCCATGGCCCATGAAGAGGCCTTAGGTCACCCAAGCCAAGCTTACCTTGTATGCCTGCGAAAGATAGGGAACTGTATATCACGTTGACAATATTAGCAACTTATAATATGTTGCTCAAAACTTAGAATCGGAAGCTGATTGACAATGACTCTTGTTTCTTCTCTATTATACTACGACGTGGGCGGGTTTGATAAGTTCGAAAAAAGGCGCTTGGGAGTAAAAATGACTTATATTCACAATCTGAGCAAATCATGTTACAAGTGTTACAAGTCCAATGTGTGTGTGTGTGTGGCTTTTTTTTTCTCGTGAAACCTGACAAGACACAGGCACAAATGATTGTATTTCAACTTACATTTTATGATGTCGTATTACCATTCGCCCGTTAGATGTTGCTATTACGATGCAATGCCATGGATATGGTATATAACCGTCGTCTCTGTTTCAGGTCAGAGTCAAGTTGACGATGATAGGTCTTCCGCATTTCTGTAGCTTCTGCTTAATCTCCACCATAGCCCAATTGGCCAATAAGGAGAGGTATGCGGTTTAGAAGCTCCATAGTTTGCATAACCGACAGAGCCGCCTTCCAGATTGTTCGGGTGCAACTTAAGCCTCACCTGTTGATCTCGTCATGAGCATGTCGTATGCAGAGCGGCGAGTTTATAGGTGAGAGTTAGGTTGATGAGCCCATTGGTTGACAGTTCACGATTTCTTCAAAACAACAAACCATACCCATGTCACGGTATAATAATCCATGCTGGCGGCTACAGACGCAACACAACACCAAGGCAGTTAGCCGCGAGCTGCGCTTAACGATCCCTAACTGACCCACCGATCTCATTTCGCCTGAGCTGAGCTGTCAACCAACCAGAATTCCCCGACAGCGATATCCACTACCGGGATTGAGACGACGCTGGATATTTGCAGCGCTTTTGGTGGTCTATCAAGACTACTTAGGTACTATCCATGAAGACGATATCCACGATGAACCTGGATCTCGCATATTATTTTGCATGCTCTGTTCCGTACAGAACCATGTATCGGGTTTGAGTTAAGCCTTAAAGGAAGCATAATTATGATCATCTCTTCTCCGATTGGATACACCAGCGCGTCCTGATTCAGCTATCCGCTTCAAGTACCGACACCATGTCCGTCAAAATAGCAATGTGGATGCTCAAAAGCAATCAGAACAAAGACGCGGCTACTGTGAAGATCGAGCCAGGGATAGTTTGCCGCGACTTGTCTGATCGAGCTGTAAATAGTGAATATGAAAGGATCTAGACCAACTTGGCTTGTACTATATTCGATGTTGATGCTAGATATTTAAGGTGTAGACATCCTCAATAATCGACATTCTATTTTTCTCGTACCTCATGAACCAAACAGTCGCTCAGTAAATATTTTCTATTTTCTTTCCTTGAGTCTTTCTCTATTTCCTTATTTCCCTTATCTCCTTTCTATCTTTTTCTGGGAATACATATCTATTATCACGACATAACGTACGGTCTCCTAGGTAGATTTCAATATCTCTTTCTGGGTTATACGGATCAATTTCTCTCACTTACGATCTTGCGGGTCTATATCAACCAGTCTTTTCTATCGCAGTAGATCTGCTTCAGTCCAAAATTCTTGCTCATTAAAGACCAGTAAAAATATATCCCATCTGTCACTTCGGTCTCGAGCCGTCCCTCATTCAAAATTCACTCTTCAACCCCCCGGTCGTCTATTCCATATCCGCCGCGCCGTCTCCCTCTGCGCACCATCCTCAAATCTGACAAACCGCGCCCGAGGCTCTCGCTCATCACCGACTTTGAAACAAGTATCCCACTGAAAATGCGTTTTCAGGCACCTCAACTCGGCGCTCTCGGCGTGACCTTCACGGCTTTTCGTGCGATGCAATTTGCTTCGCTTGTTGCCATCGTCGGCATAACTGCTAATTTTATCAATGACATCGTAACCTCAGGACGCGACACGCCAGACGTGCTCGTTGGTACTCTTACGGTAGTAAGTGCAAAAATCCTCTACTCCTTTTAAGCCACTGATCCCACTAACAAATCCAAAGGCAAGTATCGCAACTCTTTATGTTTCTATCTCTTATATCCTGTACTATGACGGACTTCTCCCTCTTGTAATCGCAGCCGGGATCGATCTAGCGCTCCTCATCGCCGCTATCGTCGTAGCGGTCACTATTGGCAAGCCCCTATCCTTGCTCAAGTGCGAGTTGCTTCCGCAGCCAGTTGCGCCCACCCAGACGTTTACCATGTCCATCTCAGCCCGTGACTATACTTCAGCAGCAGCAAGGTATAACAACTATCTAGCCCTGATTACGACCGACCAGCCGCACTGCTACGAGGTCAAGGCGGTCTGGGGCCTAAGCATCGCACTTTGCGTGCTTTTTGCCTTCTCGGCCGTGATCTGTGTCGGGCTGTGGCGTCGCGTCAGGGCTACCGCTGCCTTCTCTAAGGATATCGAAGGTTAGGGGTACGCGGGCGCGCGTGGGGACTCGGGAAGGGCTGCTGTCGCCGAGAAATCCCTAAGCGGCTTTGGGTTCCCGCGGCAAATTTCGGGTCCGACCGCTCTTGGAACTCAACTCCTCACCACCAAGGCCCCCGACCGGTGGATCCCTCCCCCTCAGCCTGCGCGTCGCCCCCTTTTTATTCGGCAAGTGGATGAAGATGTCCGATCGGTTAGGTTACCTCCTGTTATCGTGAACGCCAACTCAGGCCCGACTATCATCGCAGGGCAGCCGTTGGAAAGTAATATTGCCGCTCCCGTTCCAGCCGTCGTACCAGCGGCTAGGTCTTACAACTCATCCAATTCATCTCAAGACTATATACCCATCGCACACAAACCATCTTACGGTGACATCAACGATCAGAAGCGGGCAGCTCATCCTCCCATCGCAGTTATCATTCCACCTACGCCTAGCGATGACGGTTTCACGCCTATCACGCCCACGCCCGCTTCGCCCGAGGTGAAAGATTACCGCCTTAGTAGAGTGCCTCCTTTGCCTAGGGATGCTCTCGGAATACCCGTGGGGAAGTTTTTCACCCGTGCGAAAAGTAATAAAGTTCAAATACAACATGAGGAAGAATACGATGATGTTACACCGTTGAGTCCCAAGAGGTATCGAGATCTAGAGACGCAGGCAATGACCAAACCGAAACCGAAACGAAGGACTCTCTGGGGTGTGATTGAAGGATGGTGGGATTTGGGTTTACTCGAGAAGGGGATGAGTCTAAGACGCAAGGGTTAATGAATTATATATGTGGTAGTGTAGTGGGACGATATAAAACGGGATGAGGCGGGATAGGACATAATACGTAAATTAATGCTTAGGACTGGGTAGGAGTTGAACTCGTTTAGGAAAATTAATGGTATAGGAATTGGGTATGAATAGGGATAGTTACCCCGTAATGAGACAGCGTAAACGGTTATAGGTAATCTATTAGATGTCACTTGGATCAGTGGAATTTCTCAATTCTAACGGCTTATTTAAACCTGGGATTATATTTGACTACATTGTAGTTTCGGTAGAGATCGCTGAAGGAAACCCACGATGTAAGATAACAACATTACTTGAATAAACCTATCCACAAACTCCACCTTAAACTATTGCAACCTTGATTCATAACAATACGTAGCTACTGGATTTCAACGAGAACCGACCAATATGGTATTACTCGAGCAACGAAGACGTAGATAAGCGGCGACGCTTTACAATGCTAGATTCTCTCTGGTCGGTTCTTCTCCGTTTGGCATTTCGGTTGCCGACAGCCAGCGAAGCTAGAGCGTTTTTCCTCGGACGAGGACCCGTTATTTTCTGTAGCAAGGCCGACAAGAACCCCCCATCCGCTTTGGCCTCCCGTATATCCATACGTTTATCGTCTTGCAGAGAATATATGCAAAAGGAGTGAAAGTCACTCCAATCCCATATCTTAACCGGCTTTCCTATGCGACGCGCATCGATATAATCAACAATATTGACCAAAACCCCTTTCAGCTCTCGTCTGCACGCCGCGATAGTATCCTGCGGATTAACGCCAATCTCGCGACACATGTTCTGATAAATATCTAGCTTTTCACTGTCGTCTAACGACCTTTTAGGGAACTCGGGTATGGTTTGTAGGACCCCTGTAGCATCCTGGGATGAGTAGTGAAATTTCAACTCGTCACGAATCGCTTTAGTCCGCTCTCTCCTATACTCCTGGGACCCAGATTCCAAACCCTGGGAGGATGCGAAGCGACTGAATTCGTCGTCAAAAGGCGCGCTGCTATCGGGCGCAAAGTCGGGAAATTGATCAAAATAAGACTGGGAAGCGGGCGGCGGCATTGATTCTACGGCATCTTCTACCTTGAAGCTCACGACGCCTGTCGTACCTCCTAAGGACGCGGGATTATTATCTGGTTTTGAATCCTCGATCTGTTGTGCTATATCGGGGGGGTTGGAAGCTGTAGCATCTCCTACAAATGCTAGGGCGGCGTCATATGTATCGAAGCCCTTAAAAACGGCATTTGAAAACTTCAAGACTTGCTTTTCGCATTGTTCCCAGTTGTCATATACGCCAGGCTTCCTGCCGACTCGAACTGCGTAATAATTCGGCTTCTTACGCTTCGCCATCACGTCTCTTATGATAGTTGTGTTGTTACCTTTAAGTTATTAAGAATGTCATCAGACGCGTCAACGCGTCAATAGGTGTCTTATGGATGACATGCATGCATGTAACGAGGAACCTCTAATCCGAGCAAAACGTACAGGTTAACGCAATTTACTATTATAATCAAATCGATAATTCGGTACTTAAATTTTGTATATACAAGATGATGGAATAAGTTATTATTGTAGTTATTATTTCGCAACCCAACTCTTGAAAGACTTTCGCCTGCCGAGACTTAGCTCAATCTGAGACTTTCTTTTGTCTCTAGATGGATAGAATTTTAAATCTATACAAAGGCCTTCTTTTCATAATATTATACTAATGAACTAATGAGACTTCTACCATAAAATGTCTGTGCTGATATGCCTATAACGATGTGGCCGGGTTACCTACATTGTAGTACAGTTGGTTGTAAAATGCAACACGAACCTTTTAGGGATAAAAATGATCTATCATATTTACACTCAATCACGAAATACATAGTATTCCTCCTTTTCATCATGTTACATAATAGCTCAACTATCGGTTCTTATCCTTTTCAACCTCTCTGGCCAGATTCCCATTTTCCCGGACGACAGAATACCGTTAGGATCGAGTGATTCCTACAGATAAATAGAATTATTTAGGACCGAACTTGAAGGTGAATAAATGGCTGGGCTTACCTTTAACTTCTCGACGAAGCGACGGTAGGCGTGGTTATTAAAATCGAAAAGTTCCGCATTTAAATCTACCAAGTATTAGCTTCGAGTCGATCTACCCTCCGGAGTCAACCAACCCATATGATTGATGTGCGCCCGATACTTGGCGAAGCCTCGCTTGCTACCTTCTTTAAATAGGTTACGGAATACTTCATCTACGCCAATTCGCTGCTCTGGGCTGGTCTTGTCAAAGCAGAGCATCGTGACAAAAATAGCGTATCGATCGTGCATGAAAAAGTCGCATAAGAAGTCGAATCCATGTTCCGCGCAAATGCCTTTGGCTGTCCTGGCCCATTCGAGCACCGTCTTCCCGTCCAGTGGTACGATGGGAGAGTATGCTCCATGTGCTCCGACCGAATCGTCTCGGCGATTATAATAGTTCACCATCGGTATATTCCACATGCTTGGGATTCCAACTCTGACGCCGCCGTAGAGCGGGGAGACAGCAGCTGCTTCCAAAAGGCTTTCTTCGTTCTCTCCGGTAAACAAAGTTTGGCGAAGACGACCGACGAGGCCCTTCTTTGTGATAAATCTCTCCACTTCTTCGAACTGAGCCTTGATAATATTCGTCGGCCCGTAAAGTCCAAATTTCACGGTCCAGATACCAACGTCTAAGTCCTCCTGCATTTCTTTCAGTCGCCAGTCAGGGATAGGCCCCTCCCCTCCCCACCAATCCGAATGCTTGCCGAACATGGTGGCCCATTCTGCGATGTAGAAGACGTAGACCATGTATGGCAGAGTGCCATTACGTCGTAGTTCTCCAAAGACGTCAACTATGCCCTCGATGTGATCAAACTCGGGCGCGTCGAACGAGCAAGCCATGTATGCCTGGGGCTGTGGTGTCAAGTTGACGCCCATCCTAGTCACTATACCGAGATTGCTCTGTAAGAAGAGCCCATCGATTGTAGGTCCGAAGGTCAACTTTGTTATATGCGCAGAAGGGGAATTAGACATAGCGAATTGACCTGTTCTAACGATGTCGCCATCTGCAAGAACAACTTCCATACCAACAATATTTTCATGGTGGACGCCGGTCGGAATGAATCCCAGGCCTCTATCGAGAGCCTAATAATGTTAAGATCAAGTCATCTCTCACTTTTGCGTGTAAAGACAAAAAACCCACATTGCCAATGACACTACCCCATCCAAGAGATGCCGTACTCGGCCAGACTTTGAGCTTATTCTTCTTGCAATACTCATAGAGGTCCCCAAAGGTAACTCCAGGCTCGACGACGGCAAAGCTGAACTTTTCGTTTACTTCTATGATCTTATCCATCCGATGTAGATCCAAAGCGATACACCCGGGGACGCGCGGTGCGGGCCCTCCATATCTGCAAACAGCGTCAATTCCACGCCTGTTCTGGCTTCTACAATGGTAACAATTCGACTAAATCATACCCTAAGTTCTTCCCCCTAGAGAAAGTCCACACCGGGATTTTATACTTGTTTACGATCTTTAGAACGGCCTGAATATCCGATACCGAAGATGGACTACCCGGCATGTTAATAGCTCGTATGGCAAATCTGAGTCTTTCTAAGGGGAAAGCCCCTTACCAAGCTGCAGCACTCGGAACACTCCTTTCATGTCCGGCTTCGGGAATTTCGTAAGGGTCAACGTAGTCCTTTAGGCCATCACCAGTAAAAACAGCATCAGTTCCCAAGGCGGCCGTGATTTGCTCTAAAGCTAAAGTAAAATCTTCTTGGGATACATCTGGAGGCAGAACCGTCTCAATCTTTGCATCGAGCGGTTTTGAGAAGGCCTCTTCGTGGGCTGCTTGGTATAGGGGGTCTGAGTATTTAGGCAACATGTCGATTACTATTGCGTCTCAACTTTGCCTCGAAAGTTCAATCGGAGAGACAAGAAGACCGAAAAAAAATAAGCAGCCTTATAATCAATAGAGCCAGTCATATTATATACTCAACTTCTACCGTACGATCTCCTAGTTTCGTTATGCCAGGCGTGCGGAGATGGCAACGATGGCCCACTTGGACAAGGGGTATTCCATATATGAACACGTACAGCTTCCCCAACTTGGTCTCGGCAGTTGTGGTGTAAGTCGGCCCACGATATTCCCCAGACGTTGCTACGGTATGTAAATTGTATTTGTTGAGTCGTCAATTTAATCTAGAACATTGGCATTCATTTATTCGTTTTTTATCCCGACCTGGGGATTAATTAACTAACTAGGAACCTAAATTGATGATCTCCTGATTCTAAATACAATATACTGATACAAGAAAACCAACAGCAAAATATCATGAACAAACTTAAAGACAAGAAATGACACCAGATTGAACACCAGACCGCGTGCACCGCCGCGATCTCCACCAAAATACCCTTTCCATCAACATTTCCTCCGCTCTATAACCGTTGTACTACCGCTGTCATCGCCGGAACATCCCTCTTCCTTGTCTCTGCTAATTATGCGCCTGTCCGAAGCAATTTAAGCATCGTTTGGCTTTAAAAGACCCCTAATTCTGTCGCTAAAGGTCTCGTTAAATTGGCCCCCGAGGAACTCCCAGCCTACTCTTGCGTCGCGCGGAGGAGGTTGAGCACCGGTGTAAGTGTAATAAGCACCGATAAGGTATAGGAATAATACCCACGCACCGATGATAGATCCGCCCGTCTTCCAATTTCCTTGGTCTATATGAGGCTTGGCGAGGAAGTAAGTACAGCAAGAGATCCAGAGGAGAGGAGTGAACCAGTAATTGAGGAGGTACGTAATGTAGTCAAAGCCCTTGTAGATAGAGAATAAACTCCAGAGAACCCCGCCGACTACGAAGACATGCCAAAACGCCCTTCGAGACGCAGAGAACAAAGCCGAGAAGCCTGTGGCGAGTATGCCGTACAGACCGTTCGGCTGCCAGAGAAGAGTATTGAGATGCTCATCCAGAGTTATGGCCTCGACATAGCTTTCCTCCGGGTACATCAAGCCTTGATAGTAGACGACCATACAGTGAGAGATGTCCATGATACTCTGGCCCTCAATGGTATCTCGCTCATTCTGCCAGGATTCATCCTCGGGGTCGTAATGGAGGATGTCATCACTGGTGCCTCTGCCCTTGTTATAAGCCCTATAGCGAGTGACTTTAGGGAAAACGGCGAACTTGACCCTGGCGCCTCGGAGTCTGTGGTACTCCATGGCGCGGCGTTCGTTCTCGTTCTGAGGTATCTGGATTGGCTGTCCGGCGTGTCTGCTGACCCTGGAACCCGTGACAGCGGCATTGACATGTTCGCGCCATGTTGTGTCCTCTGCGTCGTATAGCTCCTTGGATTCACGGTACAGCTGCATATCGGCCTGCTGTTCCTGCCCGTAGTCCATTCGGGCGCCGGGAGTAGCGGAGAGGAAATGGAAGATAGAAGGCGATATAGCCATGCACACTTGGATCATACCCGCGTAAGAGATGATGGTGTGCAGTTCCTGCAAGAACACCGTTCTCGAGTACCAAGTCCTGGTTGGCGGCGGGAAGACTTCCTTGAATACGTTAAGGAGGGGAAGGAAGATTTTCATGGTCTTGGCCGTTAACTCGTCGACCTTAGGCCAGAAGTCTGCGGGAAGTAGACCTCCTTCTACACCGTATCTCGCAGTAATAGCACGAGCTGTCTTACGGCCATATCCTTTACGATAGCGTGTCAGCAAAGACAGTTTCTCTTAATCGAGGCGATTCAATAGGGGTTTTAATAGCATACCTTCTTTTTCCATCCACTTCAAGTCAAGTCTTTCTAATTCTTCTTCGGTATCTTCGTCCGCTCCGAACAATAGCTCGTTGAAGACTTTCTTCTCCATAACTTGGCCGAGGATGCCGACGACAAGCCATCTGCGCTGCGTCGCATCGTTTAAGATGACGGGCCACCCGCCATTTCCTCGGTCCTCGTGGGCAACTAACCGGGCGTATTCTTTGAATTGCTCGGTCAAGTTGGCAGTCCAGATCTGGCCCGGATGGCTAAAGCTGTCCAAGTTGACGTTTCCGTCAAACCATTTGGCTGCGAACTCTACTGTTTTAGTATATAGATTGGCGTAGTGCTTCTGGTAAAATGCATCGTCGTAATCGCCAGGGTGGCTAATGCGGCCGAGAAGCTCTTCGAAGTCAATCCGCGCAGGACGAACATCATTTCTTAGCTCGTCTGCAATTCTATATCTATGCTGGTTGTTCCTTCGTGCAGACCTGGACCGCCTTCTGTACGGGGTGTCTGATTCATCACCCGAGTCTTCGGGTTCCTCGTTCACGATATCACGGAGTTTCCACTCCCTCCAACGGCCTTCCTTCTTAGCCGCTCTGACGTGCCTAGCGAAAGGGCCCCATTTGTGGTCGGGGTCCCCAAATGCCCAGTAGGCTGCATACTCGAAGACATTCTTGGGGTAGTCCCTCACATCCGTGTCTCGTGGCGTATAGAGCGCTCTGCGTTTCCCTTGCGTAGTAGAGCCACGCCTGTCTCGATTGCCAGTTTTTCCTGACATTTTAAATATGTAAATATGTAAACAATCTTGTGGTTTTATGTTTTGTTACTGTTGATTTTTTTCTTTTTGGTGTGTAATGAATGGTATATAGCTTGGAGTTCAACTCCTATAGGTATAGGTATGATTAGGTATGATAAGTTATGCGACGGTCCAAGCAAGATCTAAGTGGTGACGGCTAGGGGTTTATGAGAGACGGCGATTAAAAAGAACATCCAAAAATAACGGCTTGCACAAAAGCTACCAAACGGACAAAGACGGCTTTCGATATAATGGTCTTAGACAATAATCGGAATCCCTAGGACGTGATTGGATGTTTCCGTATGGCTATTACCGCTTTCAGTTATGAAGATAAAAGAAGACATTCCAGAGATCGCAAGCAGCACTTCCCAAACCACGTTTCTTTAACAACACAAAGTGCAGAGAATTCACAAAGTGAAAGTCAAAGTCAAAAGTCTCTTTTCCGTTTCGGCGTATAATTCATAAATGTCCATTAAAGCTTTCCAAAGCCCAGCCAATTCTAAATATAGTAGTCATTCTCTCTTCCAACATTTCATTCTGCTAAATCAATCCGTCCTTTCAGCATACACAGAATGAAACTATGTGGCGCGCTAGCTACCCCATGAATTATCCCGTAAATAATGGCATTCTGGCTCCATTGACCAGTTTTTTCTAGATGACTAGGCCACAGGATACTGTTGAGTCTGGCCAGGGACCCCTATCTGCTGGGGTTGAACATAAGTACTGCCAGTAGGCTGTGACAAAACTGGAGGAGGTGATTGGGATGGATAGAAACCTTGGAGAGGCGGAGGTTGCCTACCCATAGTGTTTTGTTCTTGATAGACTTGGGTGGTTCGGGGTTGCATTTGGAACTTCTCTCCGCCGGCGGGTAATCCGTCTGCTCCCCCAGCAACCCCTCGGGTGGGCATAGCCTTGAGACCAGCCTTTCGGTGTCGATGTAGCATGACACCATGGATCGAAAGGGAGATGATATAGAGCACGCTAAGACCTAATGTTAATATCGCGTAAATGTCTCAGGAAACATACGTCTCGTAACTTACAATTCAACACCACCCAAGCCCGCCGCAGCAGCTAAGCAACCGCCATACGTGTTAACCGCAGTATCGTAATCGTTCAAGTCGTAGTAGTCGCCATAGAAGCTAGCATAAGAGTGGTAGAGAGCGAACACGGAGGCAACCTGGTCAGCAAGGATTGCAAATGAGACCAGCCAGAAGATGACAAGAAATATATCCAAGCCGAGTATTGCCCAATAGTTGTAGGCCCTCGCGGGACCAAAATGCGCGACGAGACAATAAATGCTAGTGATAAGGGTCGCGATAGACTATTGATTATCTCGTCAGCTTTGTCTTAGCAGTTAAGTTAAACGATAATGGTTTGCGTACGGTGAAAAGCGTCAAGGCATCTCCTGTAAAGACGAGGAACACGATACCGAAGGCACTCAACCCCAAGCATATGATTCCAACCACTAGCTGAATAATACGTATCGCAACAAACCCTTTGGGATAAAGAGGGATGTGCTCTTTCCCGGGAACCCGCTGGTTGGAGTATTTCACCGACGGCTGCTCCATCATGGCATACAAAGGAACTCAAAAACAAAGCGCAAAGGGAGCCGCGTCACTGAAGTGAACAAATGGTAGCGCAATACCTACCGACAGAAATTTAGGAAAAGTAAACGACTTGGAAAGGAAAGCCGTCCCGCTCATATGTACCCCGTTGGACCCTTGCTACTCCTGCGAAAGAAGGGCGATTTACTTCGGCTGCAACTCGTCCGCCTACTAATAAGGCCATCTCCTAAACTACCTCGAAATAGCAGGACTAGGTAGACGCCATATAAGCGTAAAGATGTCTCCGACCGCCAAGAACAAGGGTGCGAGTAGCTGAAAGAGACTATGATAGACTGATCATGCAATAGAGCCCAAAGTCCCTCGATGTACGCCAAGAGATGGGCAGCCGCGAATAGCATCAGTTACACATGAAAGGGGAATCCGCTCAGAATATCTTAGTGCTATCGAAACTGCGTCAAACGAGATGAAGTGTAACGGTAAAGCTTCGTAGCGGCAGTATATCACCACGAAATGTGATAAAGCACTGCCTTTGCGGCTGAAACCAGGGTTATGGATTGGGGGATAAGCATTTTATCCCCTGTCAGCTGATGGTAGGTGAAGATGAATATCCGGTTTCTTTTTCTCTTCTGCAGCAGCACGATACTACAACGTAGGGAGCCAACACTATCCCAACCCCAGTTTCATCCATGATGTTAATATGTTGGAGACATCTAACCGTAAGCTACCTAGGTAGGTAGGCAGCTTTGCAAGACGCCATATGAGGATGAAGTGCCCTGCCTAGTTGAGTACTGCGATTTAAGGCGAATAGGTATGCTATCATTCTTACGGAGCTCATGATTTTTAGTGAAGCATGTGGCTTGCGGCTGAAGTAGCTAATTTTACTATTTTCCGCAAGAGATATTAGTCGGGCGTCAAGCCACACGTAGGATAATTGCAAGAAGGATTCTCATGTAGGGAATGTGAAAGTGTTGTCAGTATTATCAGGCGTACAGACGAAACTAACCTAGGTACCTAAGGTAAAGTTCAAGTGGGCGGAAGCCAAAATTTCAGAGACAAGCGCGTAAAGAAGATATTCTCGGAAATAGTAAGGGGTTGTAACAATCTGGAGTTGTATTCTCTACCGTATCCAAGTATTAGTTCATACTGTATTGCTAGCCCACGATCAGTCAATTCAAGCGAAATAATACTTCATTGGTCTACGAAGGCGTTAGGATTCTTCACTAAGTCTAGCATCGATATATTCAACTCCACCGCTGAGGCTTAGGAAAGTCGAAACTACCTAACCTAACCTAATCTAAGGAATAATTGCAGGCTTTAAAATATGCCTCTTATATCTTAGGGATTGCCTACTCCTTTCCTCCATTCTTTAGGTAAATATCAACATAACAGGTAGGCGTAATCAAACCTCAACATAGACCATAGGTCCGCAGTTCCGGTTCAACATACAACTCACATATAGTTTTTATTAGCTTCTCGTGTAAGTGACTATCTTAAGTACCTAGCAAGATCTATACTAAACTACCTAGTTCATAGTTAATATTTCCAAAATCATATAGTCAGAGTTCCTTGAAGTTGTTTCCATAGGTACCTCTTGTTACCCCACTAGTAAAAGGTTTCAACTATGACGGCACGAAAGAGAATTTGCTATATGCTTGCACGAAGAGTTCAACTTTACCCGAGGTTACGAGATAATTAAACGTTGTCTATTTTACTTGGGCCAGTCCGCCCGTCACAGGCGTTCTTACAATAACTTGAAAGTAGAGTTACTGCAGCATCCTAGGTACCTAGATACTATCTATCTTCAAAAAGGGGTAATTACCGACCCACCTACTTAAGCAACACTTTCCTACTGATGGGTAATATATCCTCCCTATTACTTTCAGGCAGATCAGTGTTAAATTATATCATGGTGTACCTGAGAAGTTAACTTACGTAGGAAGGATAAAAACATCTTACAGAATTAGGCATGAAAGGACATGACGAGTAATGAGTAATGTATCAGTTGCCCCAGCTGTTCTCTGCACTGGAAACCCGCGAGCATGAAGTTAGCTGTTATAATTCCAAAGTACCTGCTGCGAATCAAAGACTCTCTCCATCTGTACCTTGCGATAATGGCCCTAGAGTGGGCGGAATAGGAATTGCGTTTCGACCACCAATTGATCACTTAGGTATCTGACGAGTACACTTGTCAAAGGACCTTGAGAGCTTTTGAAACTACTTTCTGTACTTACTTGGAATTTATTTAGTGGTGGATTTGAAGCTACACCGAGGATCATGTAATAAAGCGCTGCGCGTCACCCCTATCAAAGCACCAACAAGGCAGCTAGATATGAAAGGAACTATTTAATTATGAGCCAGGTACAATAGCCATGTATTCGTTGTATAGGGAATCTTTACATATCTGTACGCAGCTAGGTAGGTTCTCGCCGTGAGAAAACAACACTTGAGAGTCCCTCCGGAGTATACGAAACTTAAAACTCAACAGCCCCTCTAAACCAAATCACACACACTGCCCAAACGACGGGTAGACTCCGGCCGGAAAGCGTGCCAAAATGATATTCGGTGCAAAGGTAAACCTTAAAAAAGAAGGACCTTCCCATTCTCGAACATACTTTGCGGCAGGAGATTTGCAGAGAGGGACTGAGAGTAAAGTATTTAAAGCTTTACGAAGACCCTTTTTCTCAGGTCAGAGCCTCATCTCTTCTTCGACAAACACTCTTCCATCTTCTTCTTGCCATCATCACGCTTACACCCCTTTTCTACCCACAGCAAACTAGTTGAGGAGCTTCGGCGAGAACCATTAACCATACAAGGTGCCCCTGGTAGATTGCTTTGAGTTCTTCCTCGACCGGACTCCCCGTCTTGCTGTCCGGGTTCTTATTGCTTATTCTTTAACGGCTCCTGGTAGATATTGCCGACCGTGCCGTCCCAGTCCGGGTAAGTTCTTGCTGCCTGTCCTTTCCACGGCACACTTCTCATCTTAGCAAGTAGAAATGTCAGCCACGACGCAGAGGGATTCTTCGTCCGGACCGCCGCAGGGTCCTCAGCAGTCGCAGCAACCGCCTCGCTGGTCCGAGATCGAGGACAAGATCCTGAAGGAGGCGGTAGCACGATATGGTGTGAACCACTGGGAAGATGTTGCAAGGACGATATGGACGAGAAAGACGGCCGAGGAGTGCCGGGCACGTTGGGCAGAGCTTGTTCCAGTCCTATACGAAGGCCTGGTACGGCGGGAGTCCACGCGGGAGCAGCGTCGTACGAGGAGCGTAACGGTATCGGCAGTCGCGTCAGGTGCTTCTATGTCTTGTCAAGACGATATGAAGTCCCAAATTCAAGAGCCTGTTCCCTCCTGTCTTGCTCTTGCTCCCGCTCCCGCTCCTATTGCTTTTCCCGCTCAAGAACAACAAGGAGCAGGGGAGAAACTGCCGCCAAACCGGGCGGACGGTAACGCCACTGGGAACACTCCCCTTGCTCCTCTCTCTCCCACAGTAGAAGGTTCTTTGCCGCTTCTCGCCTCGGAGTCGGCACGAACTCGACGGAACACCGAACCGGCACAACCTTTCCACGCTACGCCGGTGTCCCGTGGGAGGGGAGGAGGGGAACGGGAATGGCTCGCGCCACATCCCCTTATGCGAGGGCGACAGCGCAACACGCCGACATCATCGAGGGACAGTTCGACGTTGGGGAAAAAGGGATGAGAAGACTCGATAAAACTTATCCTTTGCCTACGGCTCTAAGCTTCCCATCACTGCCAACACCCAGGCTGTGGCAAGACCCGAGAGTTTCTGGGATGTAAGAGCATTATCGGATGACGGCAGGCCCTCGGTCCGAATGCTCAAAAGATGTCCCATGTCTATATACCCCTTGGCCTTGCATATCTATCCGACCGGAAGTAGATTACCTCCGCCGGTTAAGGATTTCCATCGCTGAAGCCCTGCTGCGCCAATACCGTGAGGCGCGACGTCGGGGATAAACAACGGGTGGAAACGTACCAAAGGTATGGAAGTTGCTCTCGTTTGAAATAGTCTTGTCGAGATTCTAGATGAGACATCTAGAATAAAGGACACATGTAGTACCTAGGTATATCTAGCCATAGACTCTTGTAGCTACCTACCTATCTACATGATTAGGAGGTAGTTGAGAGTTCCTCGCAGAATAACAAGGTTGTGTTTCCATGCAGTTCGATTCCATCTTGTGACATGCCCGCTGAGAATAATTATTGTATCGTACCTTACAATATTTTATTACCCTTCGCTCGCAAAGGCAACTTCTAGTCAAGAGGTCAAGAGCGAAATAAAAGTTTCCATACATAAAGGTCAATTGACTCAATATTCAATCGAGTCCGTTCTAATACTGCTCGATATAGGTACCTATGCTACAATATGCCGGCTCTGTTCTCATCCGTAATCGTCATCTTTTCGCATGGCACTGCAACCAACCACCCCAATGATGGCCTAGCCTCACGCGAGAGAAGCCCCACTTTAGACTCATCAGCAAAAAAGTCTCATAAAGTCATCTTATACGCAAGAGTCGCTACATCTTTCCTCCCCGCCAGTACACTGTTACCTGTCCATTTGTCGCATTACGCGAGAATAATAAATATCCAGCTAAAAAAAATAGAATAAAAATAAAAATACCAAGGGACTCAATTTCCATCCAGCTCTAGTTTCTTTGCTCTTGTTTTGGCGTACCCGCGTACCCGCGTTGACGATGACGAACGAGGTGTATGTAAATAGGAGTCGATTAAATTTACGTGTATTGAGGGGAAATGCAATCGCCGTATGGATTCAAACCACCCATTCAAAAGTTCCATAAGTATAAACAAAACGTCGAGATGAACGCAAACAGCTTCATACGATCCGTAGAAGCAAAAACCGCTTACGGGGTATCCCATCGAGGCCTAGTGAGAACAAAAAGAAGAAGGGGAAAATGGTAATAATAGAGAATAGCCCGATCAATGTAGATTCAAAGATCAGGGGAAATAGACATAACGATGATGACGTTAACCTCATTCGCCTCGGATACATCTAAGAGAAATCGTCTGCCGTTGGGGACATCACTAGACTGTCAATTCGCTCGACAAGTTCTTTTGTCTCGCGTACAATCTCAAAGGCGATAGGCGGTAGCGTCTGGGTCCACATGCGCCAGTCCCGATCGTTCTCTCCAAGTCCGCGAGCTGCAAGCTCTTCGCCTCGCTCGCCGGCCTCGAGCAACCGCTGGCGGCATGAGGCCAAGCGTTCAGTCATATCGCCACCGTTTCCGCTTGCTTCGGTCTCAGCAACTACTTTACCAACGACATCGGTAATCGATGCGATCTCGTCGGATATCTGCTGGATTGGCGCATCGCCACGAATGGAACCGACCAGACCTTGGATCGTCTGGACCATAATCTCTCTCTGATCTTCCAAGTATATCTTCAACTCTTCGTTCTTATTTCGTTGGCCGTTAGAAGGTGATGTCAACTTGTTCATTCCCATGTAAGCCACGCCATTGGCACCGCCATCCCTGGAGCCGTACTGTCCACTAGACTCTCGCGGCGAGCTGATAGGGCTGTATGCCGAAGAGTTGGCGCTATCACGCATTCCGGCGCGAATGCCTTGAAGGGGGGGAGGCGGTGCGAGAGGCAATGTATCTTGATGTGTTGTGGGGGTACGGTTTGAGAAGAATCCAGTTGATTCAGCTGGTTTAACCATGCCGTCATCGTCATCCTCTAACTCGTCGGCGGGCGTGTGACGTATCTTGGTGCTTCGCAATAGTTCGACGAGAGCAGCGACGAGGTGGGAGGCGGCCGCATCAAGTAGGGATACAGGTGAAATCCCCGCTCCCGCTGCGAAATTCTTGGAAGCGGTGATTAAGTTGGTGGCCGTAGCCGCTACTCGGTTCTGGAGCTTCTGCTGCTGCTGCGGGACTTCTCTATCGCCCGGCTGCGACTCGTAGATATCTTTTTTGATGCGTCCGACAGCAACGACAACTGCCTTCATAGAATCGAGTACCTTGTCTGGAGTGTCCATCCTCGCTCTTTGCAATAAGTCGTCAATCGCGATCTGGAATTTGGTAACGTGAACATCTTTGACAAGTCCATTTTCGTCCGTGAAACCTTGTTGTTGCACACGCCCGATGGCATCCTTGTCGATAGTCAGCCCTATTGACGCACGCATGCTCCTAAGCTGTGTCTTTGCGCGCGCGTAGCGGTTCCGCCATTCTCTAACTTCATGCTCTAGCTGCTCAACAGTCTTCTCTAGCTCGGCCTGTCTCTCCCAGGAGGGGCCATGCTGCTCCGAAAGAGCCTTCATTTCCAAGAGGAATTGCCGGGCCTCAAGTCGGACGCTCTCTGTTACTTGCTGCTGCTCGTCAAGAGCCATACGCAATGATTCGTTTTCTCTCATAACATCGGAATCTCCCTCGGCGCTCCCTGTACTATTCTTCTGAGCATCTTCAATCTCCTCCCTCAGTTTCCGTATCTCTACGACGTGATCATCTCTCATCCTATCGAGTTCATCCCGTAACGAGTCATTGAGGGATTGTGCCTCTGTAAGCTTGGCCTCGAGGTCGGCCCGCAGATCTTCCCATTCTTTCTTTTCCAAATTCGAAGCTGATATGCGAGATCGTTCGCCGTCCGTGAATTGAGCCAGCTCGTCGTCTTTCTTTTTAAGCAGATCTTCCATGCTATCTATCTTTTCCCGAAGTTCCCGTACTTGATTTTGATAGTCATCGATTAGCCTCTTATCAACCTAAAGACGAGTTAGCAAGTGTTCTACTCCGAGCTAGAACCTTTCTTCTCCTTCTTCCTCTTCTTCTTGTGTACTTGCCTCGGACGCGCCGCCATTTGTGCCAATGCTTCTTTTGCTTTCTCGGTTTTGCGATCTGAAAGAATCAACCTCCTCGTCGTTTGATTCGACCATATCATCATCTTCCTCAACCATTGTACTTTTGTTGGGTACGATCGTATTGCTTTGGAATTGCTTTGCGAGGGGACGATCAAAACCTCCGTTGGACAAGCCAGGGGAAGGGGGTACTGGATATTCACCAGTGATTCTAGGGGCGGCGGAGCGAATAGAACTTGCATCCGACGGCCTCCGCATACCATTCGGCCCCCTGGGGCCCACGCCATTTATCGGTGTGCCGGCTCGACTCGAAGGAATTCTAGGCGTGCTCATTCGTGGAATATCGCCAGCGATAACTTGGGGAATTCGCCTCTCTAACTCGCAGAAGACATCTGTCGCGAGATCCCTAAATCTCGGCGGACCTAAGGTCGATAACTTCTGACGTGCTTGGTTGCGCTTAGGATGGAACGTGTCTTCGGGTAATAAGTAGTTCGGGGGCCCGACGTTGGGGGGCGCGTTAGGAGGTCTCCGACTATAGGCTTGCCGTCGCATCAACTCGTCAAAGACATCGGTGGATAGCTCGAGAAACTGAACCGAAGATAGGCGTAATAATTTGTCGCGTGCCTTATTAGGTGGCGGACCTGCTCTGCCATCTTTGGACGTCGAAGACAGGTATTTCCTAAGAGCGACATAGTGTTCTGCTAAGACCGCATCGTTGTTTTCTTCACGGATACTCCTTCCACTCTCGCTCCTGGCGTAGGTGCTGGAACGTCCGACCGAAGGCGGCGGCGAGGGACCCCCGACGCTCCTGGGACCGCCAGAGAAGCCATTCATATTCCCGCTGGAGCTGTTGGAATCTGGAGGAGAGACAGGACCTCGATTATTGGGATAAGGACCGTCGCCATCGAGATTTGGGTATTTGGAAATGCCGGACCATTCACTTCCAGCGCCTACAGAGACAGGTGAAAGAGGCGGATTTCGGGTATTCATGGTGAATGATTGGGTATGTAGAATTGGCGGCCGCCGTTACAACATTCAAGGGCGGAAGGAATGAAGAATGGCGCGCGCCACACGAAAAAGGAGTGAACTGAGGTATCGGGAGGTGTCTCAAATCCAGCCCAGTGTTCTGCCCAGTCTAGTCAGATCCGATCCGATCCAATCCAATCCAATCTGGCTAGCTTCCCCCTTGATCTTGATTCTCAGCTCATCAACTTTCTACCCAATCGAAAACACCAGTCTCGAACTTGGGGATTTGCTGTAATACGGTAATCGGTAATTCAGCAATTCTCTATTCCTTATCTCGTTCGGAGATCGGGGACGAATGGGGCTCCTAGAAAGACGGAGAAAGAAAGTCGGGAAGGGAATGAAAGGAAGAAAAAAAAAGAGGGACGGCGTCGTAATGAATATGACAAAGACCGACCACCCCGACAATTTCTGTCTCACTGTGGGGATGAATTGTAAGTACCTAAACCAGGGCCTTAGTTGAATTGAGAAATTGGTCTAAAGCGGAAGGCAATCTTAGGTGCGACGAGGCAACAAGGCGCAATTTAGACCGTGAATCTGATTGTGTAGTCGGGTGTTTGCGGTAAATTCCCTTTCCCTTTCCCTTTTCCATTCCTAGGGTGGTTATAGCTTCATCCCACGTGTTACGCTAATAAGGCCTTGTGAGAGAATCCCTATGAGAATAGAAAAGAAATGGATTGACGCAAGGGAGAGAAGAGCCTCTGGGTAGGTTGCAAGAAATTAAAAAAAGAAAGTCGAAGTAACCCTGGATACCTATCAAGCTAGGCCAATGTTTAATGGGTGGCTCAAGGCGTCCCGAATTCTCTAGTTACGCGGGAAAAAAGAAAAAAAAAAAGATTTATGTTCCAGGGACAACTCCTGCAGGTACAGGCATAAGCACAAAGAATGGGTAATCCGTTTTGTGCAATATTCCAGCGAAGAAAACTAATAAATAGCATTGCAATAGGGTAGTAATGTAGCATACGTACCTACATAGCATACCTCGTAGTGAAACCCCCCAAAACTGCCCTGGCTGCTAGGTGGTTGAAGCAGATGGGGAAGAACAAGGGGTGACAGGGGGCCTAACCAATCGAGAAAGGGGGTGGAGACGTATTTAAGACGTTTAAGGTAGTGGACCGGGGTTTTGCTCACTGGCTTTGGTAAATACTTGGAAAGGACCTTAGCTAAGGCTACCTCATTCATGTACATGTACTAGGGACGTGTAATAATGTAGCGAGATCAGAAATGGTTTACGGATTACACGTACCTACCTTAGGTACCTGTTATTAAATATAAGTGAGTACTAGTAAATTTGCGTAATACGTGTCTACGATTAGAAGACATATAATATAAAGGTATTCCGTAGGCTGAGATAAGCTTTCCCTCAATCTCGCGTACCTGAGGTAGGTACGTATCCCGCTAACAATGCAACGGTGCATGCACAAGCACGTAAAACACAACCCCTAAAACTCAATTCAATCTCAGGGGTTGTGTACAAATAGACATCCGGTCACAATACAGGTCGATAATAGGTACCTACCTACCTAGGTAATCCGCACATTTTTCTTGAAATGAGAAATTCATTCCCTCCAAGCCTCTTTTAATCCTCTGACCGCCCCATTTGCCTTGCATTGCTGGGATAGGATCCACCCGTGAGGATGCTAAGGATTATTATTCACGTTCTAGAAGTCCGTCCGCTTTTTATTCATTTTACTTAACCAGTTCTATTGCTTAACCACCTATGAATAAACAAAGAAAAAAAAAGAAAAAAAAAACCGAAAGAAGATCGAGGCCAGCAAGATGGACCGCTCACCTTCTCCGATGACGATATATCTATTCGTGGGGTTCGTGACGATTTCGTATTTCCCCATGGACCGGGAAGAAAAAGAGGGGATTCGCAACATTTGTGGATTTCTTCATCCATATTCTATTGCCATAACTTGTCCAAATGTAAGGTATATTACAATCCGTAATGCATCTCCAAGTCAGCTCCGGTGCAAGTATTATACTTAGTGTTTACCAGTGTACCCTATTGGTTCTTTACTCGCCGGCGGGCAACTATACCAGGTTCAGATGGCTCAAGTCATATCCCGTCGCGCGCGCTTCGCTGGCCGCCGCATTCGAGATCCTCTGGAGCGGACATATGATTGGTCTGGATTACCGAAACAAGGTATATGGCTCAATAACTCGAGGAATAGCACAGAGCAGAGCCCTATCCTAGGTAGGTACATTATTCTTCATCACCTTTGCATTTGTTACCATTTCAAATAACTATAATGTCTAGGTTGGGTTTTTACTTTATTCTGTAGGCTGCTTCTAGCTAGCATCGGCACGTGTTTAGCAGGTAATTATGTATTGAAGGTATCCTGGCTATATATAGTATAAGCCGTACTGCGTGCATAGATCTGGTGTGGCGAGCTGCTTGTTAACCGTCTATTGGTCACATCAATGCCTCCATCAAAATAAAAATTGTTCACCTAAGGTAATGTGGCGGTCTATCTATACCCTGGCTGCAGATAATTCACAAGAAACCAAAAAAGAAATACTTCAATTGCCTATACTCTTTCCATTATTGAGATTAGACGTCATCTCGACGAAGAACTTAACGATGTCGTTCCTCAACGTCTTGATCCCGGTGGCAACTCTAACCAGCCTCGTGGGGGATATTTGTAAACAAATCGACGCTGGCCGTCTAGAAGTCACAGATGCTCCATCTAACAAGAAACCAACCGCAGAGTTAACCCAGCTCGCCACGCTCCTTGAACAGAAATTGAACGTACGCGCATGATCCCTCGCTATACTTAATGCCTACCTAAGGTACCCTTCAACTAATAGAATTATACCAAGAGGAAATTCAAATCCCACACGCTAATCAAGATGGATTCTCTTGAAGACTTTTACTTAGACGAGGTAGAGGGCGAAAAGTGCATCTTCTGCATAAGAAGAAACGAATCCGGACCAGCAATTTGGACGGATATGGTCAGGGAATGTCGCATCGAAGAGAATAACATCACCCTCATCGAAGAGGGCTATCTTCATGCCGAAGGCGACGACGGCGGAATTTATTTCATACTATGGCCTCTCAAGGAGCCCGAGGAAAGCGATGCGACCCAAGGGCCTCAAGGGCAACGAGCTAAGGGAGAGCTGGTAGCTTCGAAAGCACAATATGACCCTGTAGACAAAGCTTTGGAGACTAACAGGGTAAAGGAAATTACCACGCCAGAAGGCGGTAGGAGGCAATGGAGGCTACCGGCTTCATGGGAGAGAATACGCAGAGAAGCGAAGAGGGGAAAGAAGAGAGGGAGTGACTTGATGGCCGACCCGACACCGGGCAATACCGCTGAAGATTATGCGGATTTCGAAGAAATGGTAGAGGAGCTGGCAGACATCTTTGCGGAAGAAGCTTCGAAGAACACGGGACCAGCAGCAGGGAACTCTATCGTCCAGCCCAATAGGCCCTATGGGACCCGGGAAAAAGCCAGACGACAAGGTATCAACAGCGAGGTGATCCCCGTACGGCAGCAGAGCAACAAGAGGCACAAGATAAGAAAGAGTATGTGAACAGGAAAGAGTATAGGCTTCACCAAAATTAGCTTTATCAACCCGCCTTTATATAGGTACCTCGAAGTATAAGCTTCGTATCCGACGTTCATGTCTGAAACATTCCGGTTGCTGGCTGGAGGTTATAAGCAGCCTGACGTGGATCCATCGTCATCCAAATAACATAGAAAAATGCTATCACCTGATATTTGAGTGTTGTCTTGCAATATAGAAGCTGGATTATTACTGGCAAAGTTGCAGAGAATTAAAGCAACCATGATATATTACTGATTAATACATCGATATTCGCCGTTCCCAAATACCGCGCTTAGCAGACCCTTAAAAACAACCGGATATTCCTCTGCAGAGCTGTTATAGCTGTCCTCATTTAAAAAGAAAAGAAAGAACACTAATCCTGGGGTATCACCGCAAAAAAAGAAAACATCTAGCCTTGCATCCTAAAACCACGCCAACGTCCATGTCGCAGGTAGATTTGGCCACCTCTCCTGCCACTCTCCGATGATGTCTGGTACACGTTCGTCAAAAGAGGCTCTACTGGCTGCACTCGCCATATCAAATGCAGCAGGTCCTACGGCCTCACGCTCCTCCTTCGCTGCATTATTCAACGAGTCGGCAAGGTCGAGAATACCTCGCCCACCGATAGAGGCCTCTTCGTGGTTATCCTTGATATCGACGTTGATAACGTGAACGGGCCTGTTTAGAGGCGACCCTCTATTCAGAAGGTCGTCGATGACGGCATCCCAGCACCTCTCCTCGCAGGTGATTACTACATCTACCACACCGCCTTCGGTCCCTTCGCTTCCTCGATCCGAAGCGTGGTCGGTTCTGGGAATGCCTATCTGCCAATCCTGCCATCGTTCCGGACCCCATTTCACCTGTCTATTCCTGCCCAGCATGTTGAGCAGGCCGTTAGCGGTATATAACCGAGGATCTTTCTCGTGGAGTTCTTTGTACATGGCGTCGTATGACACCTTGTTAAATTGATAGACGTTGGGCTGGGTTATGGAAGGTCCAGGGAGTCGAACTAAAGACCCTGTACCGAAAGAAATGACGGGGTAGTGAGCTTGTGATAACCGAAGATGTGCTTCCATCGATCTTTATGGTGGTCAGTACTTATATATAACATACTGTGATGGGGAGGAATTGTCATACCTGTTCTGGTTGCTGGCGCAGACGGTACAGAACTTCAGTTTGAATCCTCCCGGGTCCTCCCGCTCGCCGTTGGCCGGCGCAGCAGCAGCTACTAATGTTCCATTTGCATCCTCCATCTTGTTTTGGCCGCCAAGGTAGTGTGTGTCAAGCTCAATTCGACGGAATTCGACGAGCTAAGATGATATCGACGGCATTCGCATGCTCGTCGGATATCGGATATCAACCCGAATGGAAGTCTATTATGAGCGCGTCAATTTTATATTCTACTCATAATCAATTACAAGGGAAGGTAGAAAGAGTGATAATTCTCATGTAGTTCAGATAATGTTGCGTAAGGTAATAAATTGAGTGTCACCATGGAAAATTCAGACAGCTCCAATATTAAATTTCATCATAACGAGGGGTGCATGATACCGAGCGGGTTACGGGAGGACGAGTGTGAGAAATTGAACTTACATCAATGGTTCTGCTGAAAAGTTGGTAATTTGAAAGTGATTTAATTATTTGATGTGATGTTGAATTTTTGATGTTCAGTGAAGAAAAGTGCTGGTGACATCAAGTTAGGTAGTTGGTACTAGGTAACCTAACCTAAGCGCATTCTAGGACGGGAACGCGCCGCATAAGGCATCGGTATATTCGTTAATCCGCGCCGCTAAGCAGTGGGCACCTGCATCCATGGACCCACTGGGTTGACAGCCGCAAGCAGCCGCTAGAAGGTTAGGTACCTTAGGTAATGTACATATGTAGCCAACCGCCTGGGTTTATGCATCTGCGCATCGATAATCCAATTTCGTATTTGTCTCTGCAGGTGGTTAGGCCCGGCTTAAGAATTAGATTCTATTGGATTCTTATGCAGGTACCTAAGGTACATACATAATTAGGTAAGGATGCGTATAGAGGTAGGTACCGTAGCTACATGTACCTAATTCGCCTCTGTACCTCTACTGGCGTGGGTTGGACAACGCAGACGCAGAAAATATGAAACAAACGACAGAATGACCTTTGCAATAGCGGTGGGGAAGCTATCATCCAATCAAATAGCACACTAGTCTGACTAGTGTAGGGTCGGCGCCCCGATATTGCAGTTCGAGCAGGTCGAATGCTTTGTTCGAAAGGGTTGTTGCCAGAAATAGAAACATCATCTCCAATTCTCCCTCCCGTTCGATGCACCATCCGATCCAACCAGGAGAAAGTCCGGATCGGCTTACACGCTCGACGTACTATACCTAGTACTTCGTAGTTGCCTATCATTCTTGCCTTGGCATAGAATGACATTACAACTTTTATGCTGTTGTTCGGTTGTCCATTCTACTTTTATGTATTGTATAATGTATACTATAGTATTATGTATACCTACCTAGGTAGCTAGTCCTGAACCTAGACCTACACCTGAAGCTACCTAACCTAACCTAAGTGGTAACATCATTTTGTTTGCTGGGATACCCTGCGTGTAACTTGATTTACAAGTTCCCAAGTACGGATTTACGGATTTACCACCGCGTTCGGCTTCAGTTCTAGTTTTGTTTTTATTTTTTATTCTTCTCTTTGTCTCCTTTCTGACTGACATTGCATTGTATCCCTCGACCGAAACAGGTCACAATTCTTCATATCAGACCGCTTTTTCGTATTCCTAAAAGCTCGATATGCACGCTGCGAGTACAGACCTACATATCCAAGCAAGTAGGTGACGACGGATTGAGGCATCGGTTAAGGGTCACGTGTGCGGCACGAATCAACCATGCCGCCTTTTGTTTCACCATCGACTAGATGCATGGTTCTTCGGGCTGCTCATCGCATTCGACAACCATGTCCGCAGAGGAGTACATGGTAGATGCGGTGTTGCTGCAAGGCGTGAGCGCTAGGGAAGCATGACGAAGCAAGACGAAGCAACTTGTATGTACGTAGCAATTCTGAGATGACTCCAGCTTGGTTGGACGTGCAGCTGTGTAAAGCGTATATTCTTTCCTGTTCTAGTTACATAACTCGTTAGAAAGGGAGTATAAAATCCAAGACAGTAGTCTCGTGGGAAGAACTATGGCAGCAAGCTACCTGGGTAGTTAGATAGTTACCTGTTAATATTAATCTAATATGCCTCACTTATTATATAAGTAAGCTAAGGAAGGACTCGAGATATCAGGCTGTATCAAGGGGTTAGTTAGTCTCTGGGGTTGATCTCTGGGCCGCGGGGCCGTGCCTAACAGGTAAGTAGATGGAAGTGTTATTGGGCTGCAAGAGACCACAGCGAATGCAACTTCATTGCATTCGAACGGAGTTGATGTGACCGCCCTTATGCGGAACATTATAATCAGCAACGCCGCGGAACGCACTATGAATACTCTTTTCTATTTCCTCGTGGACATTGAAATCGAAGGTAAGCTAATTCTTATTTATATTAAGTACCTACGAATATAACTGATCTATAACCATAGGTACTTAGGTAGGCTTCTGTACTTAATATTACCTAGGTAGTTCTAATATAGACTCACTTATACATGGATATTTGAGATATGTTAGCTACAAAGAGCTGTAGAAGCACGTTTGATTTTCAGCTGTTTACTCTTATGGAGTACGAATTGGAGCCTTGTTCATTTACCACTATTGTTGGTGTGTCTGTCTTAAAAAGAGCCGTTATGGTTCTTTGCGCATGCCGGTCGAGTCCTCAAGGCGCATATCACTCCTCTTATAACTCTGATACTATGTACATCGGAACGGACAAGTATGAAACAAAGAGGGTAAAATAAACATTGACCGAATCAAAACGTAGAGGTTTGCATATTACTCGAATTAGGAATCTTGATTTATTTTGAGGTATTTCACTTTGCTTCATTTCACGTATTATAGGGGTTCACGTTATAGGGGTACATAGTAGGTAAGTAAGCGACTCGGTCGCTCGGGTTCGATGTTGCTCGGTCGGCAAGCAACCGCCGGCGCTATTTCAAGGGATGCGTCGCCCATTCGTTAGACCCCGCTGAGTGGTTACCAAAGGGAAAGAGCCGCTAAAGTACAGGACTCTCAGCCAGTAGGATCTTTGTACCACGCGCTTAATCGAGACCAATTCCAGCGTACCTATCGCTAGACCCTCCTGTAATTGTAAGTTTGCACCTCCGAAGAAAACAAGGTCTTTGCTTTTTTCTTTTTTCTTCTTTGTCCTGTCGTAAAGCTTTGCCGGTGTTGCCTTTGTTTTTAAGGGAGAACCTTAGATCAATATGCTACCAGGTAGTAGGGTACAGTACAGCGGGTGGTGTACCTAGTGCTAAGTTACATACGATTTACAGCAAGGTTAGGTACAATCAATTACCTGGTAGGTTAGGTAGTGTAAGAGGTACTTTCAGCTAAAGCAGGCAGCCACTCCTAGCGTAGACTACATGTATTCCACTATTCCACCTGGATAGGTTAGAGGTAGGCGTATTCTACCCTGCCACTGTGGTCCTGTTACTTCCAACTCTCAATTGAACTTTGGGATCCTCCCGCTGCTGTGGTACTCTTTTTTACGTCTCCACCCGCAACCTTTTCACACCCTACCTCTACTTCGTCTGGTTCGTACACCACCCAAAAGTAACCGAAAAGCAACCAAAAAATCTCCACAGTTCCGTTCCTACAATACCAGAATATACCCTTCCCATAACCCCATAACCTTGAGCCTTATCCTATTATGAATAATTTCCTACCTTTTCTACCTTCTTGTTAACCCCTAGTAATCTTTGCAGGGCTTCTAGGGCTCCAATCTCGCATTCGAATTCGAGACCTCCAGTCTACTTTCTAACACCAACTTCGCTTTGCGCCAGCGCCCGCAGTTCTCTTCGCAACACCACCTTCTTCTTCTTTTTTTTCTTCTTTACCACCTCACTCCCTTCTCTACAGACATTGGTTCTGCAAACCTTAGTTAATCCGACGACGAGACGTGATATAGTATTCACGACAAGCTGCCGATACCAGCTACCTCATCGTTCCTCGTATCTTGGTCTTTCTTTGGACGTATAACTGCCGTTTTGACGAGGTGGCCGAAAACTCATACGACTTTGTTGTCGCCCCGACGTGAAGAAGATATTTCGGCCTCGGATTGGGATATCATATAATATCTGACCATTACTAATAAAACCGTCCTCCCCGGGTTATCTGATTTTCGCCCATTGAGGATCTCCACGAGATCGCGGGACAGCTTGCAGGTCAACTTGCGGGTCAAGTTTGTTAGGCGGCATTCGCACCGTGTGTGAATGTATACACCTGTGTAGTCTGGTTGCTGTGCAGTCCAGCTGTTCGAGACGCCGGCACACATTGCAGACGTCGTAGACGTGATACACGATATACGTGTCGTACTTCGACATAAATATATATTCTCTTTCTGGGTACGCATATGAAGACTGTCTCGGTCTCCCTTCCTCGATGACCGCAATCATGTCCTCATCGTACTCATCCCCAGCCGTTTCGCCTCCAGCAGCTCCTCCGCAACAGTATACTACGAACCCGAATCACCCGGCCTTAACGCCATTAATAACTTCCCCGCCCGCGCGCCGATCAACCGTACCGCGACCGATGTCCCACGCTTCCAAGAACCGACTGTCGCAGTACTCGACGGGCTCTGTCCCGTCGCGGTCACGACCCCCCTCTTTCCTCTTTCCCATTTTCCACCCCAGCCTGTCCTATACCATCGTTCGAGACTTCGCGTACCCGCCCACACATCCGATGCACTATGGCCCCCCGCCCGAGCCCTCGAGACCCCCCTCCGGTATGACCACACCCGCGAGCGAGACGAGACGACTTTCGGACCCTCCCGCTTCGTGGGAAAGCAAGATTGGTTGGGATTGGACATCGGACGGTGGACTTGGAAAGGGTGGTGAGCTTGCTCCAATTCATTTTGGTGATGGCCCTCCCTGGAGCGAGGACGAAGACTTGCAGAGCCCCGTCGTGAGTTCGCGACACCGGAAGCACAAGTCGACCTCTGCTGTCACGGGGCATCATAAGAGCCGAAGTTCGAGAGATGGCGGTCCTTCCTCTATACTCAGCGCGGGAGGTCTAGACTCTAACAGGGGTTACTATGGCGACACAGCTGAAAGATATTACGTAGACCAGGGAGGCGAGGCCAACGGACCGGGCGGAGAATATGTCACGTATCCCTTAGATGGAGACCGGCATTCTATTGATTCTTACCAGCAATCGTCGGATCAGCAACCGCGAAATTACGCTGATAATGATGCCGGATATGGGTCTGAATCAGACGCTTCAAGTACTGGTTCATCTCCAGGCTATCACCATCCGTATGACGAGTCTAGGTATTCGAGAGATTATCAATTCACCATCACCTCGCCAGATGAGGAGATGCACGGCAAGGCCGTTGCTTTGTTCGACTTCGAGAGGGAAAACGAAAACGAACTACCTCTAGTTGAAGGCCAGGTGATTTGGGTGTCGTATAGGCATGGCCAAGGCTGGCTTGTTGCCGAGGACCCCAAGACCCAGGAAAGCGGATTAGTGCCGGAAGAGTATGTTCGCCTCCTCAAAGACATCGAGGGCGGTATGACGAGCCTGACCGGACAAGCCGACCCCGGTCCAGGAACCCCTTACGACACCGGCACCCCAACGCAAGTCGAGCACAACGGACAAGCACCATTGACCCTGAATACAAATACTACGCAGTCGGGACTTATTTCGGCAGGGAACAACTCGGCAAACGGATATCACCAACCGGTGGTCTCGACTTTCTCTACTTCCAGCAAGGACCTAGATCCATACCCCCAGCATCTCCTCGGCCAGCATGGGCAGCCCCCACCGCAAGTTGTACATTATCACGGCCAACGTGGAGGCAGTCAAGCCAACACGCCTACGGCCCAGAATTACGTTGGCGATTCACCGCTGGGGCGTAGCAGTCAGGATACGAAACGTAATAGTTCCAACTCTAGAAAGTCACAGTCGCTCGATATTCTACCCCACTCAAAAATGAAGTCACCCGATTACGAATCTGATTCCGGAGAGTACCAGCAGAAGACCGAAAAGAAGTGATAGAGTTGCTTCGAACATGGGCCAGAGAGCAGGACCCATGCCGAAATACCGATTATATCGAATCGAAAATCGATTCATCTGGGGAAATTTGATTCCTCTAGATAGTCGCAATATAGCATCCAGCTTCATTGCGATAGTTAGCGACGCGGTCCCCATCGTCCAAAATGATGGTTTCAAATATCTCGCGTCACTTGTAAAGAACTAGTAATTATAACGACCACACCAGTCGTCTGCAATGGCCTGTTGACTTTTAAGGGCTTACACGCCGGAGCCGCATACGGATGGATATGATAGGATTCTAATAAGCCTGCATTGGTGTATTTTATTCGCGGCGGTGTACCTATTACCACATCGCATCGCGGAAAGGGGAAGATGCAGAATTAGAGACACGTGATCACATGATCATCCGTCAAGAAGATAGTTGAATGAGAGAAATGACGATCAAAGTATGCGCTTAGGTATTTGATCGTGACTAATGAGAATTATTTTGAGTCGGTGATGCTTGATCTGCTGTAATCCTCATGTCGGGTGTATTGATTATAGAAGTGCTTCATTGTTTACAGTTTGTACTTGAGTCCTTACTCGAACTTGCCTACCTACCCAGGTTAGGTACCTTAGGTACTTAATATAGAGAGATGTAAGGATTAGGTATATTTTCAGGTCCAGTGAACCTCCTAGCTATCATCATGAGTCTATCACTAACTTAGAAATCATGAATTTGTTTTGTCTGTTAGATCCCTGGGGATCCCCTAGTGTATAAGAAAGATGATTGACCTCAGCGATGTAAATAGGGTTAGGAAAAGGGGGGTAAACGCGGCGCAGGTCAGACCAATCCCCAGATCATATGAAAATTACCTACATACCACCTCGAATAGTCGTTCTGGTTAGTGAAAGTGGCTGTTATAAGAAATGATTTGATGTTTACAACATTTTGAGACCACTCGATGGCCCTACTATATAGTTACCTTAGGAGGTACCTATACTATATTCTATATAACTACTCCAAGTCCCCAGGACAAGGACAGCGGCTTCCCACCACTCCCCATCTCATTTCCCAAGTTACCCTAGGCATATATTTCACTGCAGCCCAGCTACGTAGTAGTTGTAGTTGCAGAACCCGTTCGCAGGATCGTTGGTCACGTCCACCGCGCCGCTAGCCGACGCGATGACCCGCCCGCCGCCGTCGACCAGCTCGATCTTCTGCGCGCCCGTCGCCATGCCCGCGACCGAGTTGTAGTTCAGTCCGCCGCGCACCGGCTGCGTGGCGAGGACCCGCCCGCCGCTGGACACGCGCACGCGGAGGCCGGTGCTGCCCGCCGGGAGGACGACGGCGTAGTTGACGGCGTCGACGGCGGCGCCGGAGCCGCGCGGCTTGGCCCCGGTGCAGCTCGTCAGGACGCCGCGGTACCACATGGCGCCCGCGAAATTTGCGCCGCGCGGCTTCATGGCGCCGACGTCCGTGGCGCCGGCCTTGAAGGCGTCGACGAAGGAGGCGATGAGCGGCTGCCAGCCGGCGTGCGGCGTCGTGGCCGAGTTGCCGTACTGCAGGATCTCCTCGGTTAAGCCCTCGGGCCAGCACGGGCCGATGTAGTGGCTTTCACCGGCGTCGTTCTATTTGTAGATTTATGTATAGGTTAGCTGGATTGACCTCAGATACGCAATAGATAGGGTAGGTAGGTAGGTAGGTAGGTAGGACGCAATTGGAAGTGTTCCATACCCAAGTAATCACCTCGGTGAATTCGGGAGAGACGGATAGGATCTGCTCCATACGCTCGGGCAAGTTAGTCTCGCCGCCGCGGTACCAGGAATCTCCGCAGCAGTGTTTATATTGAAGAGAAGATAGACCTGCGTTATTTTAATTTTTTTTTCTTTTGTTAATTCGATCCGACAGAAATTCCGCTTAGGTAGACGGGCGTCTTACCCATCACATAAGCCTTGCCAGCAGCGTCTGCGGCCGACTTGACCGCCGAATCCCTCTCCGAAGACACATTGGCCGGCTTTTCCGAAGTCTCGGGCCAGGCCGTCTCCCAGCTGAACACGCCGTCGACAGCGTCGCCCCAGCTCTGAAAGAAAGCCGAGGGGTTGTTGTAGTAGTTCCCATCAGCCTCCGGGTTCGGGATGAGATAGACGTTGTTGGTGTTTTTGAAATTCCTCCACGCGTCGGGGCCGATGTTTCCTCCGCTGTAAGAGGAGACGACGGGTAGGTCGTTATACCTGAGGTGAGCGGGGTGGTCCTTGAATTGGCTAAAGAGAGCTTGGTGCCGGTTGATGTCTCCGTTGCCGTAGAAATCGAAGCTAAAGAAGAGCTTGAACGGCTTGTCCCCCGCGTAGTCGAATAACTGCTGTATGGTGTTCTTTGCCCAGTCCGCATCGGGACTTCCCACGTTCAGGGCGAAGGCGTCGAAGCCGACGTTAATAGCACCGTCGATATCTTGCTGCGCGTGGGTAGTTTGCGAATCCACAGACCCGACCTGCATAACGGTTAGAAGCTCGCTCAAGAAACATATTTCAGACCAAAGCGAATTTACCATATAATGAGCAAATACGAGCTTACTTTCCACAACGGATCGAGTTATAAAGGCTGAACCGGCAAGCAGCAACGCCAGCACTGAGTTGATCTTTCCGTACATGGCTACCAATGCAAATGATTGGTAAATGATAGAGAGAAGAGAAGTTAAAGTGGTTGAGGCTTGGGATGAGCTACGTTCTAAGAGATCGGAGAAGAGGCGCTCCTGGTCAATTATATATCCGTGGAACTTTCTCCTATTAGCTCCCTACCTACCTATATACCTAAGCTTAGGTAGGTATTCCCGAAATAAACTATGGTAGCACGATGTTTCTGCATGTTTGACAAAACCACAGCTCGGCATATCCCATATGTAAGCTCGTCTGCGATATATTGCTGGAGACTCAGCGCTCCCAAGCGACGCAGCCCCAAGCAAAGGTCCATAAGACGGTTCCTACGCAGTAGACAAGGCTCCAAGGTAGGGGCTTCTTCTGTTCCATCGATGGAATGCTGTTCGGGCCTTTCCGTGTACCCGAACACGATTCACCCATATAGGAAACCCTCCAAAGTGCCGCCAGGATGTGATTATGTACCATCGCATGTAACAACTTGAATCATCCTTTGGCCTCATTCTCCGTACTAGGTACTAATCGGCCCCCGCCCATCGTTCTTGGCAACGTGATTCGCATCCGTAAAAGCATTAGGAAGGATGCGATCGATTAGAGGTCTACCTTAATTTTGGAGCGTAAGGCTGGATCCTTTTCGGTTCTCGGGGGTAGGTTTTCACGAGCTTGGAATAGCTATAAAGCTAGAGAAGGAATCAAGTGTGGCCAAGCATGGGATATTATTCTATGCTTGATAGACTGTAAGAAGGGGAAGAAGACCCTACCTGTTTTTCGGGACTTCACCCTATTTGGCAGGACAGAATCAAAATGACAGAAAAACTTCAAGGACTTGGAAGACCGGGATCGATTGTCATTGTGTGTAAGATCCCACGTGGTGAAGGAATTAGTTAATACATTTTCCATCAACTCTCTCATTCAAGACGATGGATGGTTGCGTCTTGGGGTCTTTAAACTTCTGACGCAGTGTATTGATTGTATTGTGTTGTACTGTAGGTAGGTAGGTTATTATTAGTAAATCTTATACCCCACCAAGTCTACAATTAGCCCTTGCATTAGTTCGTCTTCGAGGTGAGATCGAATTTTAAGCTTAGAGTGACAACGACTCACAACGTTCACGAGCCAAGCATCGTAGCAATTACTCCGAATACCTTAGTCAACGTAACGTGTCATCATATATTTCTCATGCGAGAATACCTGAGTTATACCTATCAATTATAATTGTCGATTCAAGAAACATTATAACTCGATAGTAGGTATGCACCGCTACGATAAACGCATACTATATAGCTCTCACATGGCGGTCATTGCGATATCCCCTATATCAGGTATCTGCCAGGTTGCTGATCGGGGTGGTTAATGCTTGATAATAAGGAGTTGGTTATTCTTCAAATATTTACGATGAGTGGCATTCTTACAGGAGACAACTTCCAAATAGAATAACTAAATTTTCTACATTCTAGAAACATGATAATTCAAACTTGTGTAAATAGGTACCTAACCTAACCCTTTCCGAACATCAGGTATATGTAGGTAGGCACCTAACACTACAACTCCCCACCGCTCGCCTCAGCAAACCTCTCAGCACGCCACCCGTACGTTCCAGCCAGTCGCCTACTATACATCCTCGCCACGAGAGACGTTATATCCGCCCCGGGGCCCGGCTCGTGGAACTGTATAGCCCGCGCGTGTTCGTGGCCTTGGTCTGGAAGTAAGTGCCCAGGGCTGAAATGCCAATTCGACCCGCCGAGTTCTTCGATTTCAAATCCGACGCGGTGCATGGCGTAGAGGAAGTCCTTCCACGGAATCTTGGGAGACCCGGGCCCGGCGGCGGAGGGTTCGTGGAAGAGCGCGGCGAAAGTCTTTCGTGCGCGCTCGTCAGGTTTATACGGTGGCGGCTCGTTCTTTTGTTCTTGCTCTTGTGTATTCAGCGGGGTGTGGCCGCCAATATCGTCGGCCGGACTGCCAAGTACTTGTTGTATTCGTTTGGGAATATTTCCTACGGTATTGCCGGATGGGGTGGTATTAGACGACCCTCCCCATGAACCTGTCCGCTTGGGAGTCTTGCCGAGGACATTTCTCACGCGTCCATTCCAGAGCCCAGCTTTCCGGAGTTGGCCTATTACCTCGTCCCAGAAGATATCCAGAGTTTTCTCGGCGGCTTGCATAGCCTCGACGTTAGTCTTATTAAGAGGTTCGTCGACGGGATATTTCATCCGCGTCAGCTCAGCACCGAGCTTTCCAGCATTACCGGGCAGTTCGAGCTTACACAGGGGACCTAAGACCTCAGCAGTACGCTTGAACTCTTCGGATATTTGCTTCCGCGCTTTCTTATCCTCTATCCGGGTCTCGAAAGCGGCTGCCCACGGTTGGAAGAGTCCTATTTGACGTACACACTCCGCCATGACGAAAATGCCAGAAAATTGTTCTGCGACAAAGGAAGTAAAGAACTTCCGACCTTCCGGCTCGTGGGCGATACGCTCTATCTCTTGGATGCACGAGTTGATCCCAATATTTTTCAGGTTGTGGGGGTCGGCCATCATGTACAGCACCCAGAGATAAACCGCTTCTAGGGGGTTCGGCGGCGTATTACCAGTTGTGACGGTCATCTTCGCGTCGGGAGTTTCTGGCACATTCGGTCGGTAGAGAGGCTGGATGGGCGGTGACCACCGTGCCCACCTATTGACTGCGGGGAGGTGTTCATCGAGAAAATGGTCGAGATGGTGTCGCAACGAGCGGAATGCTACTTCTAGGTCAAGAGGTAGGTCATCTTCTGGTCTTTCGTCGGCCCTAACTCTATCAAAGAGCCCTTCTTTCAAAGAGGCGAGGCGATTAACCAGTTCGTATACGGAGCCCCAGGTTTCGACGATGGGCACGTAGTAACTCAACATAGAGCGGACAGTGGAGATCAGTACTTCCTCACGGCCATGTTCGGTCGCTACGGATGGATAGACATTGCCGTTGACGTCGAGCATATGCTCGGGACGATGCGAATACAGTTCCAAGAGGCTATGGGCGAAAAACCCAGGATCTTCTCGTAGTGCCCACAAGGTATCTTCCGCTTGAGATAACTTGGCACTAACTATGCTCTGAAGTCGTTTAATATCAAATTCCTCGGGTACGTGATAGATCGACTTGTACCGAGAGAATAACCGAGAAGTAGCGATGTCTCCTTTGTACTTATCGATAGAGATAGGGGGCTTCGGCTCGGGCCGACCCTGCTTGTCTTGCAATTCAAAGTCGTGGAGAATAGCCTTGCAAGTCTCAAGCAAGAATTTATACAGGCGGTCCTGTATTTCGAGGATCCAGAGTCCTTCACCAGGGCTCACATCACGACAGCGAAGTAGCCGGTGATGCGCATCAGGATCATCTTCCCAAGAGACCAGCTCTCCGTAGCTACCGGGACTATCCTTACCCAAGAATCGCATGTTCCATCCATCTAAGAAAGGAGGCACGCGCAAAGAACCGGACCTGATGCCAAATACGAGTGGTTCGAGCTCGGCGAAGGCGAAAGTCGACGGCGGATTCCTGCCGCGGGCGTTGAGCAAGAATATAAGTGGCTCTGTCTTGCAGAGATCCTCCAGGTTGATATTAGGCCACAAGAAATGGGGTCGTTTCGATACGTTCGTGTTATTGCTTTCGTTGCATACAAGCCCAGTGCACTGATGTTTGAAATGCGTCAAGTCAGGCCGGTGCTCAGGGGCCATCGGCGGCGATAAACCCCAAGCTCTATTTAATACATCTCGTCTCTCTTCTTCGGACTTCGCCTCCCACCGCTCCTGAATATGCGCTTCATAGCGTTCGACAAGATGCTGGAGCTCATAGAAGTTATTCCAGATGTGGGCAACCATCGGCTCTGCATACTTCCGCACTTCATCCACGCTGATTTTCCGAGGGGCCTGGTAAGCGAGCATAGATTCGCGAAATATGCCATGAGAATACGTCGAATTGTGTATAAGGCCTTGGTCTTTCTTATTTTGTATCGCTTGTGATATTAAATCATGAGCTAGAGTGGCGTTATCGCCAACCATGTCCACGATGCGCTGCATTTCGTCATTCATTCCATCGTAAAGATCAAAGTCGATGTTACCCTCAAGCTCGTCCTCCCATTCTGGGGAATAATCATATCTAGCCATCTCGTGTCCCTCGCCCTGAAGACAGTCTCCTGGGATGTATAGCCAGCCTATCTGTAGTAACAAGCCCCATGTGTTGCTAGTATTATATCGCCGAATGAGTGGTGAAGAGAAGACAACGCTATAAAGAAGAACTATGTGTAGTAAACGGTGTGGATTAGTGTCCATGTGATGCAGTTTAGGAAAGGTTCATAAGAGTAGCGATAAATTCTATATTCGAAGTTGGCTTGGGGTATCATCAGTCTGAGTTGCTTCACCGTCAGCGTTGGTCCCTAAATTCTCCTTCTTATACAGTCACGTGATAGGCTATGAAGTCGAACAATAGAGACAAGACATACGTTCGAGAAAATTAGCTCTTCTTCCCGTGGTTGATATATGAAAAGCTTATGGAAAAGAGCGGAAGGGGAAATATATGTATAGATGATAGTATTGACTTGTGATGATTATTACACCGGCCACTTCTAGGCAGCAATCGGGGTTTCCATAATACCGTTTTTCAGGGGCTTCTATTTTGCCAGGGACCAGCATACTTTGGGGATGAAAACTTCTAGTAAATGGAGTAATAAGCATAAATGCAAGATTCCGATGGCAGGGGGAACAAGCTATAAAATTATATATAACACGGTATACTGCCTTTCTAGTTTATCGTCACACAAAGCCGATTAAAAGCCCTCAGGTTGTCCTCCCAGCGCTGCGTTCCTCCATGTCCCATAGAAACCCACTTTCAACGTCACCTTATCCTTGAGGCCTGACAAGTCGACACTCTCTATCGGGGAGGGGTCTTTGGTTAAGAATTGCTGAATGCGTTTCGCAGTCCAGGCTGGGTTCTCGTCGGCTGTAGCGATATTAGTCGGCTGCTTACTCGTTGACTCAAGTCATCACGAATAAAAAACACAAACTTACTGATCCAATGTCCCGCCTTCGGAACAACATCAAACTCTAGGTCCGTTGTAATAGGTCCGAAGCTCTGTCGCAAAAGCGGCTCCACGCCGATGCTCGCCTCTCCGCCCGTCACGAACACCGGCATACTCAGAGGGTTTTGCCCCACGGTCCTATTAAAGAATTCCGCATCCGCCAAGATAGACGCCGCCGCGAACGTCCCGAACATCGCGCGCAAGAAGCCGGGCTTCTGGATGCTGTCGGCGTAGCGTGATATCGTGTCTTCCGAGAAGGACGCCGGGCCCGAGTAGCTCCCGTGGTAGAAGTACCACAACACGAACCGGCGCTCGCGTCCGGCTATCAGGAACTCGGCGAAGTCCGGGATCGAAAAGAGGGCGTTCTGCGGGTTCTGGTATAAGTCCCAGTACGGCGCGGGCGCTGCGACAGCTTCGTATCCGAAACCAGGGAGCACGTATTCTGCCAGGCCGAGCCTCTTCACCAGGCCCGGGTACTGCGCAGCGAGCGCGACGGCCATGCCGACACCCTTGTCATGCGCGAAAACGTACGTAGAGGTGATGTTTAAGAAATCCAGGACGCCCTTGAGGTCGGCGGCAGACACGGCAGAGCTGTAGTTGCCGTCGGGAGGGATGCTGGAATCTCCGGTGCCGCGGTTGTCCGGAGCGATCACCGTGTAGTTCTGCGCTAGTATGGGACCGATATGCTGCCATGCTAAACTGAACTGCGGCGTACCGTGAACAAGCAGTAACGGCGGCCCCGAGCCAGCATAGCGGAAGTGGATGCTGACATCTTCCAAGGCAACTCTGCCGTGCTCCCAGTCATCCCACTTTATTAGATCAGCTGCCGTCTGGGAAGCGGTAGCTAAGAGAGGAAGGACTAATCTCGAGAGAAGCATAACGTGCGGATTGTTCTAATTCCGGCGGTGTTGCTATGCTGAAGCTATTGAAAGACCCGAGAGTGTGAGTAAGAAGAGAGCCTTGCTTCTATAGCTACAAGCCCTTTGCTTCGGATGTGACGTTCGGGGCTTCTGATGCTCATAGCTACCTAACCTAACCTACCTATCCATCATGGAAGAAACTAAACCTTTTATAAGTGGTAAAATTCAAACTTAATGACTGTCTGCCCGTTGACACTCATCTCAGGGACATGGAATTTCCATATTGATTTATCATCAACCCAAGCCTATCAATCTTAGTCGGTATAATGTGAATGTACAGTACGAGATGGACTCTACTGTAGGCGTGATTAATAAGATAAAATATGAGAAGAGCGGTCCGACGGTATTCCCGGGCCGCCACATCGCTTACGGTGCGAACTTGGTGGTAAAAGGTTGACATAGCATTGGTGTACGGGATCGGGGACACATGCCTCCCCTGTCCCTAAGAACGGCTATACGTTTGCTCCGAACATGCAGGGCGTTGGATTTAAGAATTAATAATGAACTGGTGCTAACGCCGAGACCAAAGATACGAAGACGGCACATTACACAGGCAGGTATTAATTTCGGTATTTAGGTTAGATGTTGAGCGAGGGAGGGCTCGGAGACTTATTTGGTTTTCATATTCGTGCTCATCTAAGCAACAACGTAGTAATCTCATAGACGGTCGTCCACCTTTCGGTGTCTGGTATCCGAACTTTTGACAGTACAATAATAACGTACTGGGGGTGAAAAAGCTCAGATATTTTTCTTCCTAGACAGGTATTTTGGCTGCATACCATAATCTCAGTATCAGACACCTTCCTTTTTCCTTACTTCTCGGCGTTAATTAGAAGGTAGGTTAGGTAGGTATTCATACGTTTCGTTTGTGTATATGCTGAAGGCTTAGCATAGTCAGGACCACTGTCTATCAGCCTTTCAAGTTGGAGTTTTTCCTCGTCGTTTTGTGAGGTATACCCATTTTCATTTTTCTCTCTCTATCACGCCGTCATCTTCATGACGCCTTTCCTACGACGATTCGCGGAAAAGGACCTGGTCATTCTATCCCACAACCCTTCTTCACGTAGCGATAAAAGCCTTCATAGCGAGAACTGCGTCACCGTCGTGCGCTTTAAGCAGCTCGGTAGCCTTTGCTTTGGAAAGGTCTAGCTCATCGACCTTGAATCGCACCGCGATCTATCAGTATGGGATCTGTAACACTATTATGCTCCTAAGCTATGTAGTGGATGGGGACGTACTAGCAACGCAACGTCGGCAGCGTCAACCTTGACTTTCTTGATATCCTTAGCGGCACCCGCAGAGGAAGAACCACTCCCAAGACTCTTCATGGCCTTGCTTACGGCTTCCTGGTCGACAGCATTCGACGACGTGGCATCGTCTCCGCGGGTATCGAGGCTTGCCATAGCAGCCGCAGCTTTTCGATCTTCGGCCGACTTGGCGGTAGCTTGGACTTCATCTTCGACATCACCGGATGCGCCCTCTTGTAAGTTTTTCGGTTGCGGCTCTGCCATCTTGATGTGGTTCTTTTCGTGTTGTAATTAATATATGAGGGAGGATAGGAGGTACTCGGTGGTATTGTATTTGCGTATGGAATTTTGTAAATGGAGATTTTGAAAAAATGCGGGGGAGCTTTAAAGCTTCGGATCCCACCAACGGATGTATCTTGGTACAATACCTAAATTGGTTTGAGGTATGCAATAGGGCGAATTGTTACCTATGAGGTAAACACAAACGAGCTACTGCAGGTGCATGTGCAAGGATCCCTTGGCACGTCTATGAGACTGAAGTACTTAGTACCTGGGTACCTATAGTAACAAGTGTTTAGTGGCTTCTTGCTTTTTTAGTCTTATTTAGGTACCTGTTATAGGTACCTACTTTTACACCTCGGACCTTTTGACTCATTCATCTTCCATTCCTCATTACAACAAACAACAACAACAAACAAACCGGATAATAACAATTATACAGGGAGGGGTCTCTTTTTTATTTTATTTTATTTTATTTTTATTTTCAATTGACAGAAAATGTCCCCCTCAGCCGAGTCCGCAAACGGAGAATGGACGCCGTCCTCCTGGCGGTCCAAGCCGATCAAGCAGCAGGCCGTGTACCCCGACCCGGCGGCCGTGCGCCGCGCAACCTCGGAGCTCAGCCGGCTGCCGCCCGTGGTCCATCCTCGGGAGATCGCGCGGCTCAAGGCCAGCTTGCGGGACGTCGCGCGGGGCGAGGCCTTTCTGCTGCAAGGCGGCGACTGCGCCGAGCTGTTCGACTACTGCCGCGCCGACGCCATCGAGTCCAAGATCAAGCTCCTGCTGCAGATGAGCCTGGTGCTCATATGGGGCGCCGACAAGCGCGTCGTTCGCATAGGACGCATGGCCGGCCAGTATGCGAAGCCCAGGTCGAGCCCGACCGAGAAGGTCGTTGACGAGAACGGCGAGGCCAAAGAAGTCCCCTCGTTCCGTGGCGACATCCTCAACGGCTACCACCTCGACGAACGCGATCTAGATCCCCAGAGGCTTGTAAAGTATAGTTTATGCCCTGAACCCCTTTCTGTCACGCACGTAAGCTTACATTGATGTTTCTTTTTTTCCTTTTTCTTTTACTTCAGGGCTTACCATCACTCGGCTGCTACTCTAAACTATGTGCGAGCTGCCATCGCCGCAGGCATCGCAGACTTACACCGTCCCCTGAACTGGACCCTGGGCCACGTCAAGGACCCGCAGCTCAAGGCCAAGTACACCGAGGCCGTGCACTTCCTGCAGGACATGCTGCGCTTCATGCACACCATCGGCGCCGACCGCAGCCCCAAGCTCGACACCGTCGACCTGTACACCAGCCACGAGGGTCTCCTGCTCGAGTACGAGGAGAGCCTCACCCGGCTGATGGAAAAGCCCATCCTGCCCGGCGACGAAGAGGCCGCCCCTGAATCGGCGACGGCGGCGGCGACGGGGGAGCCCAAGATGGAATACTACGACACCTCGGCGCATTTCCTCTGGATCGGCGACCGCACGCGGCAGATCGACGGCGCGCACGTCGAGTTTTTCCGCGGCATCGCCAACCCCATCGGCATCAAAGTAGGTCCCACGACGCCTACGTCGGACCTGCTCGCGCTGCTGCGGACGCTGAACCCCTCGCGCGAGGTCGGCAAGATCACGCTGATCACGCGGTACGGGGCGGCGAGGGTGCGGGAGCTGCTCCCGGGCCACATCCGCGCGGTCGAGGGGTCCGAGTACCGGGGCGCGTGCATCTGGCAGTGCGACCCGATGCACGGCAACACGCGGTCGACGGCGACGGGCGTCAAGACGCGGCGCTTCGGCGACATCTTCGACGAGCTGCGCGAGACGCTAAGCGTCCACCGCGAGGAGGGCAGCTACCTCGGCGGCGTGCATCTGGAGCTGACGGGCGACGCCGTGACCGAGTGCGTGGGCGGCAGCGAGGGGCTCGACGAGGACGACCTGTCCACCAACTACACCAGTTTCTGCGACCCTCGGCTGAACGAGAAACAGGCTCTCGAACTCGCCTTCTTGGTGGCCGATTCGTACCGCCAGGAGAGGAAGGATCTCCTTCGGCATTAGAGAGAGGATGGGGGTGGAAGAGTTATGTATGTATGTAGCTCAATAAAAAAAGAAGATGGAATTGAATACATGAACAAGCATGGAGTGGCATGGCATGGCATGGCATAAGAAAAGGACCCTTAGTGGACCATGGGAAATGATGATGGGATGGGTTTTATTTATGAAAGCAAGCTAAAAAGGCAGTTACCTGGTATAGAAAAGTCCGTCATTTTGCAACAGAGATCTAAATTATCATGCCGCGGCGACGTATGATAGCTTAGCAGAGTACGTATTGCCAATTACGAAGCGAGGCTATCGTGAATTATTACTATATTCTAGGTATTTACTCTACAAGAGGTAGCTAGCTGTATAGAGCAAAGCGCCGTGCCGTGCCGTATCATACCTTCGTAGTCGACACGAATCCTCCCGACCTTTCCTCCCTTTTAATATGCAAATACTAGTGCGAACAGCACGGGCACCTCTAACAATGTCCTAGCTAGGTACATGTAGACATTAAGCTCCATGTTCAACCACCCCCCAAATGCATAAAAGCCCGTTGAAGCAACCATCATGCAAGCCCCTATTTTACCTACCGTAGGATCTGTCCGTATCCGCTAACGCCTGTCCAAGCCGGTGGGAGTATATATTCCTCCGAAGCGAAATGTGTCATTGCCGCCCCGTGCCGACTCCGATTCCTAGCTTTATCAAGTCCGATTCCGTTCCTCATTCAACGCCGGCTGTAGAAAGGATACCGGGGAGTACCCAGAGTCGTATATCGATGAGCTCCCCGGCAAAATCACCAAAAAAACCCTAGCTCTTATCGTGTGTGTGAGTGGAAATGTAGCAAAGTTGACCTGCTTATTTCATTGCGGTTTTGACGTCTTTTCAATATCGTATATCTCCCTAACAGGTGAACCCCTCGCGCCCACCTGTTCGAGTTTTTGCACGTTCTCTTCCGTCAAAGAATCGCCCTCGGGGAATGAGTGGGCAATGGGCGGAGCTCCAGTAGTATTCTTGCCGTTGCTACCATCCGCGGCGTCGATGAGCTTATCATCTCGCAGCTGCATAGCCAGCTCGTCGCTGTCCAGTTGCCTAGATGGCTTAGAGATTCCAAAAGGGAACGTGTTCACTTCGTGTGAGCCCACCCGTGCGTTAATCGGTCTTGGTGTAAGTAGATTCGTACGATCGTCTTCCCCGGTGGCGTCCTGATCGCTTTCTCCTGGAAGCTCCTCCGGTGTTTGAGGATTATAATCAGAGAAGCCGTAAGTAGCCAGAGTAGGTATGTCGGCGCTGATACAGTGGCCTGCTGATTCCGAACAGTCCGAAGCGGACGGGTCGGCGGAGGAAGATTGCGTCGACTCTACCTTTCGACCTGATTTACTCCACCTAACCAGCATCCTTTCCAGTATATTGCTTTTAACTGGTTTCGAAAGGTAGTCATCCATACCAGCCTTTGTACACTTCTCCCTATCTCCTTGTATTGCCGAAGCCGTCATGGCCACGATGGGCACATCGTTGGTGTAGCTCTTGTATGGTACGTGATGTCGCAGTATGTGCGTACATTTATATCCGTCGATTACGGGCATCTGCACGTCCATCAAAATTATGTCTGGCTTGGGGCGTCTTCCCTCCCTGCAAGCCTCGAGATGATCTAGCGCCTCCTTACCGTTCCAGGCCGCACAAACGCTGAAACCGAGCTTCTTGATGGTCTTGGTTGCGATCTGTTGATTAACCGCGCTAGATAAAAGCCAATTAGAAAACAAAACGAACCAGTCAGCTAATCTTTCACCTTAGAACTTACTTATCCTCGACGACAAGTACTTGCACCTTGGCGCGTTCGCCCCTGGGAAGGTCGTCACTTTCAAACGCGAACGGTGCCATCAAATTGGTAGGTCTCTTTCGATGTCGCCTGGGTTTATCCAACGTGCCCTGCAATAAATCCGGTTGTGGTGATCCCAAGAAAAACTCGTGTTCCGAACTATTACACGAGACGCTCATCTCGGACTGTAGTCGCTCAGGTAGCCGACCAATATCGACGAGCGCGTCTCTCTCGGGAGTCTGCGGTTTGTTGAAAGGTATCCAAAAAGTCGCCGTCGTGCCGTTGCCTACAGTTGATTCCAGTGTAATCCTTCCACGCATTAGATCGACCAGGTTCTTCGAGATCGTCAATCCTAGCCCTGTCCCTCCAAACTTCCTAGCCGTGGAGGGATCACCTTGGCTAAATGGTTGGAATAAGCGCTTGAGAACATCTTCCTCAATTCCGATACCGGTATCCTCGATCACGAATTTTATCTCGATCGTATCATTTGATTCCTTTTCCTTCCATACCGAGAATTTAACGTAGCCGCCGTTGGTGAACTTGATGCTATTAGTGAGTAAATTCGTAATAATCTGCCGAACGCGTCCGGGGTCACCAAGAACCACGAGGTCATTTTCGATATCGCTTGATATATCAGAGCGGAAGTCCAAGCTCTTCCTCCCAGCCGCGAAGCTCAGCATCTTGGAGACATCTTGCACTATCACTGAAAGAGAGAATTGAACCTCTTCGATATCAAGACGACCAGACTCAACCTTGGAGAAGTCCAGAATGTCGTTGATGACGGTTAGTAAGGCATTCGCAGACCGACCCAGGTTCTCCGCGTACTCCCGCTGTTCCTCGTCCAAAGGCGAGTCGAGAAGAAGCTCAGCCATTCCTATCACGCCGGTAATTGGTGTTCGGATTTCGTGGGACATCTAAAAAGTCGCACGTCAGTACTTCGGAGATCGCCGAGAACGCACGAGACTACAACCACGACCACCTACGTTTGCTAAGAATTGGCTCTTTAGACGGCTTGCTTCTTTAGCTGCCGCTTCGTTGGCTTTAAGCTGCCTCTTCTCTTTGACCTGCTCTTCTAGATCCTGCTCTCGCTTTTTCAGTTCGGTAACGTCCATAATAACGCCAATAGCGCCCTTGATATCCGTTTTGCTAGTCACACCATCCTGCGAGGATTTCTCGATGTGGGGCAGAAACCGAGTACGATAGAAGCAACCGTCTAGATGCTTATTAGTAAAATTCGTTTACGCACCACACGCGAAGCGCCCTACCCAATCTGTGCTCGTGAACAGTTTCTGTCGTCTGCTGGCCAGCCAATATACGTTTCACGGGTTCGAGGAATGCAGAAACTTCGCTAGGAAGCGACTTCGGGTTTAGCCCCGTAAACACTTCCTCTATGCCTTTTCCAACGAATGTCGGCAGATCAGGCCTCTCGGTATCATTGCTCGTCGAATCGAGCTTCCCTGAGAGCCAAGTCACTGCGCCTTCTAACATAGTGAGCTTGAGATCTCGATCTACAGCGAATATTGTAGTCTGCGCATGCGTAAGGACGCTGAGAAGCTGCGCCCTAGTTTGTTTCGCAGCCATCTTTGCCTCCAGGGCCTCGTGGACATCCGTAGAGGTTCCGAACCACTTCTCGATCCGCCCCGTGCGCTTATTTCTTAGCGGTAATGCACGTCCTAGCATCCACCTCCATTCGCCGTCCTTGCTGCGACATCGATATTCGGTAGTAAAGGCTTCTCCCGTAGCTAGGCTACGCTCCCAGCGTTTGGATGTCATGGGCATATCATCGGGATGGAACGGACTCTTCCAACCGTGGCCCAAGGACTCTTCCACCGACAAGCCAGTATAATCGTACCAGCGGCTGTTAAAGAAATCATACACCCCATTAGGTTTGGTCGTCCAAACCATCTGAGGCATGGTGTCGCAGATCAGTTTGAATCTCTCCTCGTCAGCGATTTTAATATCCGCGATCTCTTGAGTCAGGCGAGTTACGTCTCGGAAGGTGACAATACCCGCGATAACTTCCCCGGTCTCGTCACTGGTGATCAGCTCTCCCAGCGCGTCGTATACAATTCTGGTTTCCTTAGTTTTGCTTTCCATACCAATTCTCCAGGAAGAGAATGGCTTTCGATCCCGAAGAAGTACGGAAATGGGAGATTCAGACTGCTCGTACTTTCTCGTAAAGTCGCCGTCCCAAAGCTCCCATCGGGCAAGCAGGTCGTATCCGTCGGTGCACTCCTCACCCTTCATAGTCGTGAAGAGGTCTCGAGCCGCTCTATTCATGACTGGGACACTACCATCGACCCACATGGAAAATATAGGCGTCTCGGTCTTATCAAGAAGAGCATCCTTGATGATAGTCATCTTTTGTAGGAACGATGGGGTGCTAGACTGAGGCAGTCGGGACGGGGGACCCATGGGCGGGAACAGGCTTGCCGAGACCGAGACGGAGCCGGGACTATTTGTGAAAGAAGGGGAACTAGAAGAATGACCCGAGCCGAGGGAAGGGGGGTTAGAATTCAGGATAGATTTACGCTCCGCAGCCTCGAGCGTAGAAGGTCGGGCGATACGGACCCGCCTACTCGGGAACGACGAGGGTCCTAAGCCGTTATTGGTAAATGTTAGAGTATAGTAGGTCTGATTATTTTCAATCTCCCATATTGTAATTATCATCTTGGCGTATATCTGAAGCTCGGCTCGTTTTGATCTGGGCATTTCAGATTGATTCACAATCTTAGGCAGCACGACAACGTCAACGGCAGAATCCGTTGCTGGCTTGCTCAGGAGGCCACCGGGTGATTCTACTTTTGCACCCTCTGCCGTACTCGTAGCCTCACCGTTAGTCTCGCCGTTGCAATTGATATCATTGGCTTGCGACATCGAGCTTTCCTTCGCGTGCTTCGCGCCCATCTCGAGCACTAATTCATCTAGGAAGTACTCCCACGAAACCCAAACCGGTCTACCGTCCTGCACCATATCGATACCGATCTGCGAGAGGGTCTGTCCCCGGAGGGACTCGCAAATTACGGCCGGGTCGTCCATTGGCAGAAGCGAGTCCGGTACCATACCTAACATCTTTCCCATAGCTTCGTTTGCCAGGACGACGGTCTTCAGGTTGTTTAAAACCAGCACAGGGACGGGTAGGAACTGCATTGCGGAGAATGCGAGCTGGGCAGGGGAAATAAAAGGCATTGTTAATCTTAGAGGGCTAGCGGGAGCGGATCGCCTTTCCCTCATGGACGATATGGGCGGCATGGGCGGCATGGGCGGCATGGGCGACATAGCGGACGTGTCTCGCAACACGCGATTGGTGTTGATAGAGAGAGGCTCTCCATCCCAAGGACGATAAGACTGCTCAATCGAGCAGGCAGGCGGCTGGTAATTCTCGTCCGGGTTCCGGTTCGATAACCGGAGGATCTCTGGAGGAGAGGAGGATTCCGGTATCATAGATATCGGCATGGGACGACTCGGGGCGGTGCTGAAGGCATTTAGAGGCGTCATGTCGCCGGAGCAGAGGGCACGGGTAGAAGAAGGCCCATGAGCTACAATATACGGTCGTGTCGGTTGCTAACGGATAGAGAGGACGAATCCGGCGGGTGAGTTATTAAGGTTTTACTAGTCGGTGGCCATGAATCGAGCTGTAACATTCGCGAAGGCCTTACGCAATAGGTGAAGTGAATTAGGTACCCTCTAAGAAGTACCTCGCCTTCTTCTTCTTCCTTTTTTTTCTCCGTTTTTTTTTTTAAAAAAAAAAAAAGAGAAGAGCCGTCGTAGGAACCAGTGGACGTCGGCCAGCACACCAGCACACACCCCAAGAATACCAACCAGGAGGGGGTAGGTACACTATGAAAGTGATTTACGGCGGTCTCGGACGTTCGGTAGTACTGAAGAAGAGTTACCTTTGTTCTTTTTTTTTTCGAGGGAGAGAGATAATAATTGTAAAAAATCCAAAGGTTAGAATACCAAAAACCGCTAACCTTCACAGGTCGTATTTAGATGTACGGTATTAGAGACTTTGAAAATAGATATGAGGCGTAGGTAGTGGTAGTGCAAGCGAAAAAAACGAGGCAAGTGAGCGAGGCCGCACCTCGGTCTGTCTAACTTAGGTTAGGGTAGCCCGAAATACTATGTAGAGAGGGGGAGGTTATCATATTAACTGATATTATGTATCTATTGTAAAGAGGAGATTTATTTGGGGCGAATACTTCAGAGCAAAAAGAGACTAGACAGGGTTAGAATGCAGAATTGCGGAATGCAGAATGGGCGGGAATGTGTGAAATTCAATTAGGTTAGGTTTTAGCTGAAGTCCCTGTTGAACATGCAAAGCCGGAAAAAAAAGAATGGGCCATTGTCGGTGTGTGTTGTGTGTGTGTGGCATTGGGCAACACATTTTAGAGCGGACGCATGCGCATCAGATCACAAGCTAGGTAAGATACCGATGTGATGCGATAGATGCGATAAGATACGATACGATACGATATGATACCATGCATTTTAAGATACCTATTAAGGTTTATGTATTGTATTGTATATTATGCTCTTTTACAATACCTGGTATGTACAATACATTATTAATATAGTGAGTGTATTATTCAAATTGTCCACAGGAAATCACGGGCGAATGCTTATACGGAAGTGCTAGGTTTTATACTGTTATAAGTTAGCACCTTTTAAGCTTTCTGCCGTATTGGATTATACAAAGGCCAACCGACCGGTAATCTTAGAGGTGATTACCGAATGCGATCTCGATAAAGATGTTCAAAGTTGATTGTATGGTTAAGCTCCTCTCTCTTGTTCGAAGCTTTAAAAAAACGCAGCGGACCCCGATCCATGGCAAATGTCAATCAATTAAGGGTCCTTGCCTTAGCTGATCAAATAGTCGACGATCATTAAGCTAATTAGGAATCGGGAGTGGACCCCGTTCAAGGATCTTAGGGTAAGGCGCTATAACCGTGCGGTACCGAGTACCAGCTTAGGTACGCGCACAGATACTACCTTAGGCTTGTAGGTACCTTACCTAGTGTATCCACATGGATATGAGGTGTACACCTGATGTGGTAGTTCTTATACCAGTTGCGTTTCGCACTGTGATTGGATACAGGTAGGAACTAAGTATGCTGTGTTATGCATCAGAGAGGCCCTTTGGGTAACCTTAACAGCTTGGAATGGTAGAGTGGCTATTACCTAGTAACAATTGTAACAATAAGATCTTTTCTCCGAAAGATTAACCAAAAACCACCACACCCTTACCTTTTGAGTGATGTTATTTCAATAGTAGTGGTACTTTAATAGTAGTCCAATTCTAGGACCGCCTCTCTCACCGCCTGCCCAAAGGGTTTATTACTTAGAAATTCCCTATCCGCACTCATGTACAACACGGCAACCATTATATCGTATTGAATCTAACGATGTAATATATGGAAACTGCATAGTTGGTTCTACTTTGATTAGGGCTTTCTAATGATATAAGCTTCCATTAGATGCATGTAGTATTTTAAAAGCTATTAATGGTTGATGTGTACCTAGTATGTAATTGAATAAGGCTCTGCGGGAGGCGCTTTAGCGGTAGCGCGCCTATTAAATATATCTTCGAATAGCTTTTGAAATACTACATGCATCTAATGGAAGCTTATATCATTAGAAAGCCCTAATCAAAGTAGAACCAACTATGCAGTTTCCATATATTACATCGTTAGATTCAATACGATATAATGGTTGATGTAGTGATGTAATTGAATTAATTGAAAATAGGTAGTAGAATAGATAAAGGGGAATCTCTATTTTCTGCCGCTTTTTTCAAAAAGTGGGGCGGAAATTGACTACTATTGAAGTACCACTACTATTGAAATAACATCACTCTACTTTTTACTCGTCTTCCCCTACCCTCCTTGCTTTGTTGTAGTTACATCGAGATGACCATCATGAATTTCTATAGGGATGATGCAAGGATTCGGATTATATCAAGGAAAGAAAAGACGAAAAAGAAAAAAAAAAAAAACTCTCATCTTGGCGTACGAAGTAGATCGATAAGCGATTTACAACGGCTGCCAACGCCACGCGGGACCAAGACCCCAGAATGACGTCGTGGGACGATAATGTCCCGATCAAGTGCTTCACACCATCAGCTCTTGGTGGTTTTCCCCGCCTAGTGTGTATCCCATTTGATACCGAACGGGCATGCGGCTGTTGGGGTCGTCGGGGTCGTCGGGGTCGTCCAGCCTTATATCGTATCAGCTCTTGTGCCTTGATCTGAATAAGAAACCCCAAATAATAAGAAAAGGTAACAATATTTACCTAAGGTAGGTAGTATTTTACACTGCATCGTGTTATTATGTCATTGTGGCTTATGTGAGAGGAAAACGAATTACTGTGAACTTGTCAGAATTACATAAGGACCGTAACGTACATGATGTTGGCTATACTCGAGAATTAATTAAGGAAGAAAAAAGAAAAGAAAATGAACCGACTGCTGAGCCATCATGACGACGATGGCAATGATATCATAGCTTCACATATTGTAATTAAAATCACCGCCAACGTACTATGTAAAGACTCTAGTTAGCTCCACTTCTACATCCGATGGCCTAACTGCATTAAGTTTATTAGATGAAGATGAATATTCTAAAACTTGGCGAAGAAAACATAATGCCGGCATACCATCTGACGTTTAATTAATTGCAACAGGTAGTTCAATAGTCTACTAGGGTAAGCCTTTAAAAAGTTTACCTGGGAAACCCTTACAAGCTACCTGGTATTTATTACAAACCTCTACTCTGGCCGAGTCTGGAAGACATGTGAAATATGAAAAATGTGCTACACCAAACACCTACGTACCTAGGCACAAGACTTATCCAGTTTGTGATGTCATTTCTTCAGAGGAGCTATACTCCTGGGCAATTCCATTCTGGAGCAAAACACAGCTAGCTATCTTTGAAAGCCAAATGGTATCAGAAAATCCCACAAACCCCATAATCCCTTACAGCGTGTTATATCACGACGTTTGCTTAACAGTCCCACACATGTCACACGACCACCACTGTCGCTCCCTAACTCGTCCGCAGAACGAGCACGTCCACGTAGCTAGTTTTGCAGGAGTTGCGGATTGGGATGATGGTACCGCCGATCTCGCGGTCGGCCTTGACCCTGGTTTGGGCGGTTGCGTATTCCGATTTTTCGGTGGGGGAGATCCCGTAAGATCGATAACCGTTCGTTGTTGGTTTGGTGATTTTTGTGTGAGGCCCTGAGTGATCTTCTCGTCCCGTTCCGTACCGCAGGCGTCGCAACACAGGTAATCAACCGGGTTTTCCAGAGTACAAATATTACACGCCCAGGTAAGCTTTCCGGACCCTTTCCCTACGTTGCGATCGGCTTGTCGAGGAGCTCTCGAAGCCTCGGAAACATCGCCATGGGTCCAAGTAGCTTGTCTACTGGAACTAGGTGGGATATAACTATCGCCTTTCTGAGCCCTCTCCTCCTCCTCCACAAGTTCCCACAATGCTTGAGCTATTGCGGCTTCGTTTGCGGCATCTTCTTCGGCTTGCGTCCTAAAGCCGTTCCTAGCAGCCGTGTCCGCGATCCTCCGAATCTCGTCTTGCGTTTGGTTATCATTCGCGCAGCCTCGGAGCGTGTTGTTACGACGTTCGATCGCATCTACGATAACTCTTCTGATATCCTGCCCTGGTCGGGGACCAGCACCGCCCAACTTCTGTCCGGGTCCCGATCCCGCAGTGAGGTTACGGCGGTTTTCAGCAGCTACTCGAGCTAATCTACGAGCTTCTTCTGGTGGTATTCTCCTTCCACCGAGTCGACGACCCGCAGATAGGAATCCTTCACCGGTATATCCTTTCATTAGAAGCGCCTCGTGTTCATCCCGTAGCTGATTCCATAGCGCATGGAATTTGGCATCATGCGGGCCGTGAACATTATGCGCAAGTTCGTGAAGCATGGTATCCACTACTTGTTCGATGGGGAGAAACTGGTTGCGATCGCTGGCATATCGGAGTCGAAGGCAAATCCTCTGCCCACCACCCACATTCAAGCCTAGAAGTCATGATGTTAGCAAACGACTGATATAGGAGTGACTATCCTGTTTCAGCCTACCCAGTAGGTTATGTTCATCGGGATAGAATTCGGTTAGTTGGCCAACTTTCCATCTCCTTGCTCTCATAATAGGCTTGACCAAGGAGGCTACTTTCTTTAGAGTATGTAAAGCATCCTTCTGTCGAGGGAAATCTTTCAAATGCGAATATGAAAGAACCAAAGGATCTATTTCTGCCATTTTGTACAATGAATGTTGTTGGGGAAACGCGGGAGAGTCGGGAAGATTGAAGATCAAAGATCAAAGTGAAGGCGCAATATAATTTAAAAGGTGAGGAAGTGAAAGAGGGAAATCAAGCTCATCCATTTCCAAGAATTCGAAACCACGAAGCCATAACGTAAGCCATTCAACGACCTTCTAGAAATCACGGTTCGTATCGTTGCTGCTGACAAAACGCGCCACCACAATCACTGGACGCGAAGTTGGAGTTGCTGCCTGATAAAAGGTAACAAAAAGGTAACAAAAGGTGAGTCGCCATTGCCCCGCAGTCAAGCTTCATTACGTGCATATCTATCTGTAGGGGAGGGGGTATTAAGGAGAAACGTACATAGTAATATTGTTCCTTGTGAGTCTAATATATCCCGTGTCTCATCTATCATCCAAAAAGCCAATTATTTCAGGAATAGCTTAGAAGATACAGCAAATAAGGTTTACCTACTTAAGGTTACTCTGCCTTATTAATCGGCATATCAAAAGTATAAAAATGCCAATACAAGCAACTGACACTAGTCAAAAGAACAGCTCATCAACAACTCAAGACAGGATGACTGGATCTTCTTCGTCTCGGGGGTTTTATTGGTTGTTACATGGGCCACGTCAAAAGCATAGAAGTGTAAGATTATAACTGTCCGTAAAGAGACAACGCTGTTGAATCACAGGGAGCAAGACTCAAGACTAAGCTGGCTTACTGGATTACCGTCAGTGCCCAAATAGTCGTCTAGAGGCAGGTATGCTTTGTTTATTATTCCTCACCTCGGCATAACACGATTTAAATAATGGAAACTTATCTACCTAGGTGCCCAAGGTAGCTACATGACTTCCAATTTTCATAGTCCAAGTGAATAATAACACAGCTATAAGAATACACAACAAGCTCATTGGGTTGGTTATCATCAAGTATGGTTCTACGAGGTTTGACCGGCGAAAGGAAACCGATGAACTACTAACTGGCTTTGTCTCCAAGGCAATGTTAGAACAGGACTTCCGTCCACAATATCAAACATTAATACGTCGGTACCTACCTACCTATTTACGTAGAGGTGTGACTACAACACCAAATCGTCATTGCAGTAGAACTTCAATTTGCAAAAATAGAGACTGTTGCTTTCTATTCTCAGCATAGCTACCTACCTAGCCTAAGGTAGATATAGAACAAGAGGCGAAGCCAAAGCCAAAGCCCAAGCCAAAGCCATGCCTAAGCTATTTTACCCCTTAACGATTGACAAGTTCCGCAGCGGCTTAGACAGACACCTGCAGTTTTCCAGGTAGAAATATTAAAAAGCCCCCTTAGAAGGGCCGAGAACATAGCATCAAAAAGCTTTTCAAACCGAGTGTCTCAAGCCGAACAGGAGAAAATGCACATCTAACATCCGAGGGATGCCGGGACACTGACCGGACAGCTATATTACAATTACAACAGTTTTTACTAGGTATTCATCCGTAGTGCTCAGCAGCTTCTTTATTCGCCTTTAATCACAATGGCCACTCCCTTTATTACATTTATCTCGCGCTCACATATCACTCTCCTCTACGACATACAGTCTCGTCACGTCACTTCACTTCACTTCGACCAGGCACATCAATCATCCCTAGACAGGAACCGTCTGATTCAGATGCTAATAGATGAAAAAGATACTCTGCAGCTTTACTGCCACGAGTATACGAACGACTGCGAAGAAGCTCGCTCAAACATAAAAACCGGGAAAGCCTCCCATCTACATACAATAAGGTACGCACGCCGTCCAACTCCCAGCCCCATGAATATGATTTGTGTGCTTTGCTTGCTTGCGTGCTTGCTTGCTCTTGCCCAGTAGAGAGGAGTGGAAATGTGTGATATAGTAAGGCTTGAGGTTATGAAATCCTCAGGCATCAAGTTCCTCACGGCGTCGTATGTCTTCCAAATTGGTGAGGCTGGCTATCAACTACACCTGACGCGGGGCCGTTCTCTTGCTCCCCTCTCCGTCTTTCCTAGTGTTCCGCGATTCGTCTCATGTCTCGACGGGTAGAATATTAGATTATTTTCCGAAAGCTTTGCATCTCTCGTATTACAAAGTAGGTAAACGTAGGATATAGGCGTGGGCGAAAAAACAAGGTATCATCAGCATTCCAAAAATTTTAGAAGCAATTTGGATGTCGTCTGTGCCCACCGGTGCACTTTCAAAAAGTTTGTCTGTTCAAGTCGACAATAGGCTTCTCTTAGTATGACTAGCCGTAACCTTTTGAAAAAAAAAGAAAAAAAAAAGCCCCAAAATCTCTTTAAGATTCGCCTCCTCGTGCTCGGCCCCGCCTTCTGAAGAAGTCCATCACTCTCTTTGCCGCACCGCTGCTACCGGCGTGGTCGTGAGGTCTTCCGTACTCCTCACCGTCGTAGGCGTCCACAAATCTCCTGTTCTTCTGAAGGACGCCGCCTCTTCCACTTCCACGGCCGCTCTGGCGTGCGTTGTAGGGGTCCGAGTCGTAGCCGACCTGGTAAGGAGAAGTGTTTTGGGGTTTTCGCTGTGGATTCTCAATTGATGATTCGGATTCTGAGTTTAGAACAGCACCCTGCTGTAGATAAGAAGGAATTGCCGTGGGCCTTGTATTAGATGGGACCCGTGATTGAGAAGGGGTGGAATTCTGATCTCCTCGAACCGACTCTGTCCTCGGCGAGTGCAGAGATTCGTACGTCCCATCTCCATATCGTTGTCCAGTGCTGGTGTAGCTGTGCTGCGATTCAACGTACTGGTTGTACTCATTAACCTCAGGAGGTTCTTGAATAGGTAGATCTTGCTGAGAGTCCTCGAGAGGTGGCGTTGCAGGTTCCTTGCTCAGACCTATCGCCCTCATGAAAGAGAAACGGTGATTTTGAGGTTTCTCGAGTGAAGCTTGAGACCCGGCGATGCTACCGCTTCGCTTCCTACCAAGTCCTAGAGAGAAGGACCTCCTAGAAGCACGGGATTCCATAGAAGTCCTCGAGTCACCAGGCACAACATTCGACATACTGACCGGGGGATATTTTCTGGACGACTTGTCTCCCTGATCAGGGCGCTGCTTCTTGCGGCTTCCAAAGATCGATCCACTGCGACCGAAGATCTTACCTCCGATTTCGCCGATAGTGTTAGATCTGCGGTGGCCTTTAGCTTCGCCCTGCTGCTGTTGCTGCTGTCCTTGAGTAAAGCCCGAAACCTGGGCGAATTTCGAAGGCACGCTGATGCTGGGTCGACCGAAATCCATATCGGGCGACTCTTGAGGGATCGGGTTCGAGATAACGTAGTTCTTCGAACCTTTAGGTTGTTGGATGCTTCCATGAGCGTTAGTACCGGCAACGGCTGGGGGTAATGGTTGACCGTACGATCCTCGTGTAGATGAAGCTAACCTAGAAGCTGTCGATTGCATCGAGCCTCCAGTAGTAGGCCTCGTAGCCGACGTGCCGGCAACCGCATTGCTCACATAAGCATTATCGGACGCTGTACGGGGTATATTCGATCTAGGGGGTGGTGCGTCTCGTCGATGCGTGCTCGGTTGCTTTCGAGGGTCTCGAGACGGGGTGGCATAGTCGTCCTTTGAGACCGGCGGATCTCTCGGGAGGGGTTTCTCGGCGGTCGAAGAATGTACCTCAACCGGGCCTTGGCTAGAAGACCGGGCCCGAGTCTTTCCGCGCGGCGACGAATGGACGTCTGACGGTTCACCTCTCTGTGTCTGAGTTACAGGAGCAACATACTCCACCTGCACGGTCCGTCGTTTATTATCCTTCTGCTTGCCATACGTTGGCTCTTCTGCGTCAGCTTTGCCCTGCTTCCGCGCCGGATCGCTTGGAGCTGCGTTAGACTGCTTCGTCTTCGACGCTTCTCTAACGGACGCGCTCCTTGCCAAATTCCCAACATCCGCATCCTCCTCACTCGGCACTGTCGTATTCTGTATCTCGTTGCTTGTAGTCGTGCTACTAGTGATGAATTCAACAACATGCGCATATTCGCTCAGCCAACTATGCCGAGCCACCTCAAATAGGTCCGCGCGTTTTCGCGGGCTGGGAACAAGTATCCGGCGCAACAAGTCTCGCGCGTGAGGAGTAACATATTCCGGGAAGGTAAGCGGAGTATTCACGATATACTTATAGAGAAGATTAATGTTGTCGCCCTCGGGGTTGGCGGGATCATCATCAAACGGTAGATATCCTGCAAGCATAGCATACTATAAAAAACATGGTAAGCAAATCTAAAGACGGGTAAAGTCATATACGAAGCCGTCTTCTAACTTACCAAGATAACTCCGCAGCTCCATACGTCGACTTTCCGACCTGTATAGAGCGAGTCGCTAACAACTAATTCGGGTGCTGCATAACACGGACTTCCACAACTTGTTTGCATCAGATCACCTCTGCGCATCCCGTTCGGTTTGGTCTTATCTAGACCGATGCGCTTAACAAAATCACGGTCAGATAGATTCAACTCTTCCTCTTCCGTCAGTTCGTCATTTGGGTCGAACGTGTTGGCAAACCCAAAATCGGTGATGATAATATTCCGGTTACGGTCGAGAAGCAAATTCTCGAGCTTCAGATCTCGATGAACAATTCCTTTCTTGTGAAGATACCCCACTCCCGAGATAAGTTGGGCGAAGAGTCTTCGGGCAGGGCCATCCTTCAAAAATCGGTGGTTGAGAATATAGTCGAAAAGTTCGCCGCCAGAAGCGTACTCAAGAACTATTCCGATATGACGTTCCGTCTCGGACATCTCATGTAGCCTAACAATATTAGGATGTGAGATCCCACGTAAAATGGCCACTTCTCTGTAGATCTTGGCTAATCGGGACGGATTGTTTCCCACACTATCTCGTCGGATGAGCTTAATTGCGACCTAAAGATGGCTGTTAGTGCATGCGACAAAGGAAAAAAAATTAGAGTCTAAGCTTACTTGGACACCTCCGTCTTGCTTCCAGCCTAATTTGACTTTGCCAAATTCACCCTCTCCGATTACATTTCCTAGATAATAATCTCCAAACTTGGATCCCTTTTCGCGCTTAGAATGATCGTGGCGACTTCGACCCCCGCGGCGTGTTTCTTCGGGTAAGTCGTTCGCAGGAATAATAGCTTGGCTATCATCATCGGTAACTCGACGTGCGGAGTGGGCTTGTGCCTCATTCAGGCGCTCTTGTTCCCTCTCAATATCATCCTCAGGTTGAGATACGATGACGCGATTAAGTACTTCGCTTGCTTCCCGAGACGGCTGTTTCGCTGAAGCATTCGTGGCGGATCTGACAGGCATCGTAGTTGTCACAGTCTGTCTGTGATCTCTATTACTACTTGGCCTCTGAACAGGTTCCTGGGCGAGATGTTGAGATGCCGGTCTTCTACTTCGGGAGCTCGGGTCGTCGTATGTTGCTCGTGCCGGGTCCGCCTGTCCATTTGCACCTGACCTACTGCTGCCATCTCCCGTTCGCCTCGGAGAGTTCGCAGCCCGCTCCTCAGCACGGGCGGCTCTTCGGGGGTTTGCTACGCCAGATGATGTTTGTTGCGTAGAAGATGTTCGCGGGGGAGCGACCGGAGGTTCATTTCTTCGCCTGTTCGAAGATGACCGTTCATATTCGGCTGGACTGCCTGCTACGGGCACCGGCGAAGCTAACGCCGTTCTGGACGTCATCGAAGATGATTGTGCTTGTTGGTCTGGATAGGTCGGTATTGGGCTGGTCGCGCTCGCGCCGTTTCCGCTCGGTCGTCTGGACGGGAGTTTCGAAGATGAAGGGGGAGAATTCGCGTTCTCGCGGCTAGCATATCGATCGTCACGGCTAGGAGACTGGCCCGGAGTATATTGGTGGTTGGAAGAGCCGGCAGCTGGCGAAGGCGTATTAAGAGTAGAGATGGCGGCTGGCTGATGAGCTGACTGCAATGCAGCAGAAGACATCTTCTACGCGACAACGCGTAGGTTAGCCGTCAGCTGTCAGCTGCTAGGGTTGCAGTTTGTGGATGAAGAATGCCTAAAACAAAGAATTGAAAAATGATTAAACTTCAGTCCTCTTTTATTTCGGATGGATTCAATTTGTCGGTGAAGGTGAAGGTATCGCCGATAAGGGAGGGGGGTAAGAAAGAAAAAAAAAAAAAAGAGGCTATGGGGAAATACAGAAAACACCTGCACGCGCTTGGAAATTTGAAGGGAGGGAAAAAAAAAATCCAAAGGGCCTGCTGGTTCGTTTGATCCTCCAATAAGCCAGTTCAGATTGACATTGTGCGTTGCAGTGAGGTGCAGTGAGGTGCTATTTCATTTGAATAACGTTCCGCGTGGATAAAGCAGCTGATCGGCGATATGGGATTTTCCTTACCAGTTTCTTATCAAACGAGCAGGTCAGGTATACCGCTGTAGCTCTGTATTGCTGTCAGGATAGCAGGCCGGCGTTATGTTAGGGGTGCCACGATCTGGGTATGTCGTAAGGTAAAACCAGTTCTCAGCTGAGATATAGCTTTGTGAGCCTTGTCAATGCAACTACTATCCGTTCGAATGGCCAGGTGGTAGGTTATTGTGGTGGTGGTGGTGTTGGTGGTAGTAATTCTTTTGTTCTGTCCTTGCACCGACGAAATTAAAAAAAAAGGGGGGGGGCTTAGATGCACATGCAGATGCAGGTTGCAGCTCTGAACACCAGTAATCTTCTTCAACTTCTTTCTTTCTCCAAGCCTTGTCTGCAGTGATATTTCTCCCTTTTTCTTTGGAGTAATTTGACGCTCACTATTAAGGGAGAAGAAAAACAACTGCGGAAATACCACTACTCTGCCGACGCGAAAACCAAAGCAGTCTGGTATGTTGCTATTTACTTAACCACGAGAGGGTAAATAAATAAATAAAAAGAAGGTTAATTGACGCTACCCTTCGGCAGAGTCCACCCGCAAGGAAAATTCAATTTCAAAGCCTGGTTATTGTTATTGGGTAGTCGCGAGTGAATAAACAGCTGGACTAGCTAAGAACGGAATCCGACGATGTTGAGGCTGTAACTAAAAACGAAAGTATGGGACGATTTCGCCTTTGGTGTGTAGTTGGGAGAGATGGTCGACAATTCGACAACTCGACAACAGTAGGTTTCAATTAAGTTGAGGATGATTGTTGTAATCCACAAAAAGGTAGGTTATTAGACGAGGCTAAGCCTACCGTGCTTGGTCTTCCTGCGCCGGTCCCTAGGTCTGGTCGTCAATTGAGTTTGTAGGACTTGTTGGCTAATGCACCGTCTAACGGGAATCGGCGGACGCGTGCGATTAGGGGAGGGGGGGGAAGTGGGAGCTTAATGATCGGAGGAATAAGACAAAATTAGGATGATAGAAAAAGGAAAAGGGTAATGTTCAGACAAAAATAATGATTTTTTTTTGGAAAGTGGAGGGGGGTGGGTTAAGGGAAAAATAAAGATAAAGGTAGAGAGAGTAGAGGCAAGTTTAACGATAGTGTAGATTAGAGAGCTTGAGGTGCGCTATTCAATAGCACCGTCTCCCAATTTGTTTATTTGCCTTCAGTTGGAATCGCGCGATGAATTCGAAAAGCCTCACCTGGATAAAGGCAGGCCAGATGGACGACGTGATGGGCGACCGTGAAAGGGAGGTAAAGCAAATTCAGACCACGACTTGAACCAAACCATAACTTTTCAAAGAGAGTCGAGCATCAAATTGGGGATTTGCTAGGGACTTTGGCTAGGGACTTGGTTAGGGACCTGCTAGGGATTGCGAGTAGGGATGTCCTTGACAACCTTTGGAAGGGAAATTAGAAGATGGTCGGATGGAGACGCCCAGCAAGGGGGTGGTTCCTGTCACACTGGACTTACCTACCTAATCATAGTATCTTCAGGTACTGCATACCTGGGTACATATATGATAATACATATGATAGCACTGCGTGGTACCGCATGATACCGCATGGTACCGGAAGGTACCGCATAAAACCAACTGCTGCGCTAACCGGTTCTAATAAGCTCTAACTAGGGGGGTCGCGTTCTGTTTTTGGGCGTGTTTCTGCCCCAGCCAAGGAAACAACCCGCTCTATTAGGATGGTAGGCTAGTCCGATATTGGCGCTAAGTGGGCGAGTTAGCAATGCGATACGGGAACTTGGTGCTACAAACCTTTAAGGGTGCTAACCCCATCAGGCAGCGAACACGACAGGATAGGCAACCGCATGTGCACCTGGGAAGTCTCTGATGCTTGAATGTAATGATGGGTAATTCACTATTTTTCATGCAGGTACAATATGGTTTTTAGGTAGGTACATAAGTCAAGGTTATCTTATCATGTAGCAAGCCATTAGCTACGGCTACATTCACCGAAAGACTGGACGAGCAGCCAGTAATTTTTAAAAGACATTATTTAATATACTAAGTATTCCCTTTAACCAAGTGTAATGTATGACGCCGGTAGTCATTCGACATCAAGAGATCAGATAAAGATCAAGTAAGTCTTTTGTTATTATTACCGTTTGACATTAATGAACCATTCAACTAATGGCTAAACATATTTCCATCTTTTTCAATGCTATAACACGTATAATGATCAATCAATGATCAAATCATCTTCTCAAGTTCCGATCTGTACTAGGGGTACCTAGGTAAGTTTAAGCTGTATCTTATTTCTATGTGGTTGGGATTGGTGAGCATGAACATCTTATGAACTTGCCTATCATCACTACAGCAAGTGCAGGAGGAATGCAGAAGGGCCTGTTCCTCTGACGTCTATTGGACATATAAGAATCGAGACAAGACATCTAAACACGATCTGACCGAGATCTGACATGAGAACAAACGTCGAATAATAAGATATCCTCTAGCAGGCAAACTTGAAGGTGAGAAGGATAAAAGATATAAATAAGATATCTAGCAAGGTAGTCCTAGGCGATGTGTCCGGTATCACTAATTAAAAAAAAAAAATTAAATAAATAAAATAAAATCTTCAACGATACATATGGATGACCACAAATCTCTACCTAGGTATTATGGGGAAGCAAGGAATAAGTAACAGCAGGTAACCTTAAACCCATTGCCAACATCACGAGCATCTCGGCTTCCATCATAGTGCAACCAACATACGAATCATGCAAGTCATTACCTAGGTAGTTCCGCTTCCGCCAGAAGTAAAAAGATGGCTTCGTCTCGGAACACCTGTGTTAGGTATTTATCGATTCTACCTACCTACCTACTTACAAGAATTTACGCCTCATCCTACCAAGGTAGTACCTATCAACACCCGCTCTCTTAGCGATGAGACAACCCCGTCGCGTGGCGCTTTTTCGAGTCGCAAATCTAACAAGCTGATAGCCAGTCCAACGTCATCCGAGTCCTGGCTAACTAAGACAAGGCCGATCATTTTTACGGGCTAGAAACGCGACGGACAATCTGAAACGACAGGGATGCCGGGGTTAGAATAAGAAGACAGACGGCTTTATTTTATTTTTATTTTGTTCTTATTTTTCTCTCCTACCCAAAGCCACGTCCAAAACCATGATATGGTGCCTATGGATTCGACATCGATAGATATAGACAACAGTAAGGTAACGTTCAAACTCATCATATATCATGGGGTACAAAATATAGCTTTCCGTCAGCTGAGGTCTAAGGTTCTCTCATCTTCTTTGTCCTTTACCTTAGGTTACAAGTACGTTTAACCGGCGGAGGCTAGGATCTCGTACCATGTCAATTGTATCTTGACCTTGACCGTTGTATTTGATAATGGTCCTAATTTCGGGCAGTATCAAGCATTATGCATGACGAGAATCTTTTCTGCTTTATATACTACGTGTACTCTTTGTAGTTTGGTCATGTATTCCGTAGTGTATTGACAACATCCATTTATTAGAGTACCTAGTAGTATGTAGGAAATTTCTGCGACGCGGTCGCGATATCAATGGCCAGCTTCGATTCGAACAGCTCATTGTTTGTTACGGTCGTGAACGCTGCGGCCACACAGCAAACGGAGACTTTTTCGACAGAAAATCCTCCACTCTGGAGCCGACAAGAGGCACCTCTTTTAACCTTAGCCCCTAGGTACATAGTAGTAAGGCTGAGATTTTTAATCCAATAAAGCTGAATACTACCTATGTAGAAGACACAACATCTTATGACAAAGTTCCTTAAGCGACGTTAGCGGGAAACTAGTTCGGCATATCATCAAATAGCCATCTTTTCGAATCCCCTTCATCAACCACCCACCCCACGTAGACATGGAAATACACAGGTTCTTTATTTCCCAGCTTCTCAGCTACGGTAGATGATGGGGCTCCACTCCGATTGACAGGCTGAGAAGATCAGATCTTCTTGCATTAACATCGGAGATGACCTTTCATGGGTGGGAGGCAGGGGCCAGAGGAATAATTGAGAGTCTATTAACTTTCAAATCATGGTTGACCAGGCGGTTAGCCGACAAGTTGCTCGGTTGGTCCGGCTCTCTCAAAAGAGCTCGGACTTCTTTCGTAACAATACAATAACTACATTTCTTACCCTTTCGAAAGATCGTCGTCATCGACCCAGACTCATTCGACTTTCTCCACCGTCGTTCAAATATACGGGGAGCAGTTAAAGTCAAAACCCACTGCGAGTGTTTACCGAGGCTGTCGTCTAACGCGTGAAACATTTCAGGAACACAAAGCCTTAGTTCTTCGTACAGAGAACAAAGCAGATGATCCGACCTCGAGCACGTACCTGGAAGTTGAAAACTTGTCTTTTTTTTTCCCTTCCCTCGGATCGAACTGGTGTAAAAAAGAAACCAATCCCTATTAATTACAAAAATCAGCCAATGAAAAAGAGGATGTAAGAAAAAAAATCACATTCATGCAAACGTCGATCTTTTTAGCATTACCTACGGGTAGTTAAGTCTCAAGTGAACTTCAATATCTACTACTTCCCTTGTACGTGCATATTCCGGGAAATTCAACCGAACCGATACGGCACGGACCCGGAATTGAGGTTTCGGGTTCGAACGAAGCTGTTTAAGAGCATGTTATCTTACGAACCCAGCACGTAATATAAAAAAATTTCAGGAACCCGTTTCTTAAGAATCCTTAATTAGCGGAAACAATTCATAAACATAAATTGAGGTGGGAAATGTCGAGCCTTACCTTAGGTGCCTAACTAATCTGGTTGGGCTACACGATCATCCGGGGACGTGGATCATACACAGATTGATATCATCGTCACTGCACCAAGACGTGACGATCACCCGTGATCCGATCTTGTCTTTGCCTCTTGCTAATTGCCGCCAATTAGGCAATCAATGTGTAGCAGAACCAGCGGGGACTAATGCAGATGATTCGCCGGTGGAAACAGCTTGCGAGGACCACGCTGTCATCTTGCGATACCACCTGCATCATGTACCCGAAGCTATTAGGTTAATGACATTAGCTAGGTATCCTCACGGTGATTTGGTAAATCACGCAGATTTATCACTTGCGAATCCTTACGAAAGGGAGTTGAATAGTAATGGAGGCAGGACTACGAGTAAGTATTCAGGAACGTATTCTCTACGATAATTAACATAACGAGAGAGATGCGCCAGCGAAACGACTTGTTGTTATTATTATTACTTCCTGACACAATAAATCAGCTTATTCAGCCCACGAACCTTTTGGTAGAAGTTGAGGTACCACAACAACAGGCGGTATATTGACATTCTTTACTTCCGAGCCTTTAAGCTTTAAAGGCTCTCGTGGGATTATTTAGGTATTCATGTGAGGATGAACATCAGAGGGGGAGAGCTGTGTGACGAACTCGATACCCCTTTTAAAGGAAAGCAAAATAAACCCCTTGGTAATAGACACCTGACTCAAACCGACTTGTCTCTTTATTCTTTTCTTCATAGCCCTAGAATTGTCTTACATTAGATCCTTTATATATACTCGAGGTGAATGCCTAGGTACTACCGTGTCATAAAGGCCAAGGCAAATTAATTGTATGCGAACTTGACATCATTCATTATATTTGAAAGTATCCGTTCGCCATGTGAATATACTACGGTGCTCATAGCTTAATGGAGATATTCCAAGCGTCAAGCGCAACTGCAACTGTCGTCAGGACCGCTGCATACCCTACTAATATACCCATAGTGACACTCGGCCCAACGTCCAAAGTAGGCACTGTCATATTAACCAATCCTGTTAGTAGATTCGCGACCAAGAAGATTGCCAACCCATTCCTATTATACGCTCGTAGCACCCTACTCGTAGCTGTCTCGTATGCCTCCTTCTCCGTCTTGGCGTCAGTGGCATTGTAGAATGACGGGAAGAAAACGCTTTCTATAGCGCAGCACGCTAATAGCTGAGACGAATTAAACGCTGTGATCCATAAGATATAGGGTAGATTAGCTAATCGTCGAGACACATCCAATCCCGCGCCATAGTTGAAACTCGTTGTGAAGAAATACAAGACGGTCCAGATAGACGTCCACGCGGCCATAGTCAGGAGGAGCGTAGTTCGTTGGGTGCTGTTACTCGTTCCGCTGCATGGGACGATACTCCTCGGCAGGACATACATGCCGGTAGCTTGACCGGCCAAAAAGATTGCAAGATACCCGAAGAAACTACATATACCTTCTTTATTCATGGAGATTATATCTGTCCGCGGTGCGATAAGGACGAACGCTTTTAGATTGGTGGTCTCTAGCACGGCCTGATAGATGACCCCGAGTAAGATAGCGAGGGCCGAATAGGACGGGATTATCGTTAATGCCGACTGGAAAAGGGCAACAAACGGAGGGAGAAAGCCTAGGGTGAAGAAGAAGTTCCAATGTACACCATATTCGGTCACATGTTCAGCGTAGTCGAGGCCCTTGACGCTTATGAGACGAATGACGCCGAGAAATAGGAGAGGAAAGGAATGTCTCATGGCGTATCGAAGCCTCTGGAGCAAAGGCGTTGCCTTACCCTCGGCTCTCTCTTTGAGGACCGGGCGCGCGGCAACAATGCCCGCCGAGAAGACAAAGGAGCCTACACCAACATCCATTAACGAGGTACCCCACGTCTCGACCTTTGCGAATCTTCGAGGAAATATCCTGAAATCTACCGCTAGAATAGCTAGGCAGGTAATGATCATCATAGATCCACGGTAGGTAGTTAAGAACGGTTTGACGGAGAGGGCGCTTAATGCACCCTGCGATTTCTGCGTTTGCGCATTCGGAGGTAGTTTAGGCTTCTTTTTCGACACGGCGGGATTCGGGGGCAGCGCGTAAACGAATATCGCGGGGACAAGGAGCAAACCGGATAGGAGCAACGGTTTATCCGCGTAGAGCGTTATGGCCAGCAGTATAGCCACTACGTTCAGGAGGAAATCGACTACGAAGCTCAAAGGCTTGTAGGGCTTAAAGAAAGACTGGCGAGACTGTAGGATGGACCACAAGACAAAGGCGATCTAATTAGAAAGCTCAGGTTAGCTAGAAGCTCTCTAAGAACCAATTCCTTAGTCGCATACGTACAGGTGCTATCATAGTTACGTAGTTTATCTCAGTAACTGAGCCGCCCGATAGGCCGGACACGAAGTCCTCCTTCATCTGCTTATAGCTGGTCGCATTTTTAGAGGTCATATTGTCCGTTCTCGCGCGGATGACGATAAGAAATAAAATGCAATAAAATGATTGTGTAGCGCTACCGAGGGTCGAATGGCATTGTGGCGATATTAAAAGGGGCTGTGGCCTTTTGAACAGATTTCAGCTTGAAATCGTTGTGTTGTTCTTTTCTTGTAGGATAGCTTCAAAGTTGACAGTTGGGAAATGGGAAATGGATAAATTTAGTTGTACGATACAGTGGGTCACTACCCGCGGTTTGCATTATGAGATCACAGCTCTAGAGCTACTTGAAACTTTTGAATTATGTAATCAGAGAATAAGTCAGGTACCAATACCTAATAATTAGGTATTAAAGAAACGAGGTGTATATATGCATATACACAAGGTACCTAAGTACATTTATCCCTTTCAACACCAAACGTCAAGAGACCCAACACTGAAGATAGCAAAACCTACTTGTCATGCGAACTGTGGCAACATAGATCTCTTTGTCGTGAGGCTCAGTCTAAGAATAAAATAAAACTCCCGAACTCCTTGAGTCCTTCTCCCCCACACCGGGCTGTTATATCCGGGTTCTTCAACGCGAAACTCGCTCAAGCAAAAACGACAACAGGGCCTCCGGCCAATTCCTTTATTCTTTTTATGTGTCATGCCCGTATTTATGGCTCACTTGCCTAGGTACTCAGCCGGACTTCTGTTTCTTTCTTTCTTTCTTTCTTTGCCACAAAGTTGGAATCTCCTTCGGGAGTCGAATTGTTCTATAACACGGCGCAACGCAACAATTACTATATGCTGTAGCTTCTTCCTTTGATTCTTGCGTTTGCCCCCCTTCACCACCACCCCCTCCCATATCATGCAGAAAGAAAAAGCCCACAAAAAGAGGGCTTTGTCCTTTATCTACCTAGGTATCTATTCATAGAAATATATATCTTAAATTTCGATCCTTGAGATGGACCAGGGGGAGAGAGAGAGAAAGTCCCATCATGTCCTTATTATATTACTCGTAGATTTCGATTTTCCCTGATATTGAGTAACTCTTCCAAAGACACACCCTAGCTTAGCGAGCTATTACTACCTGAACTTGATCCAGCGTTCGGTACCCAATGACAAGCGATGTGAATATCTCGAGGCGCCCCGGTCTCGAGCCTATATGGACTCCTAGCTACCACTACGTTAGCGACATGCCTAAGACGATCGTTCGGCCAACTCCCATCAGCGCGGGCTTGTCTCCGTCGCCGATATCCCCCAAGGCCTTCCCAAGCTTACCCAGTCCCAACCCAGTCCATCCCGCCTCGTATGACGGATCGATGAGAAGGCAAGATCGGGCGCTAGTCAACAGCCTCGACCAGAGAGCAGTGCCGTCCCTAAACTCGGCGCTTCTGACCCCTGTCGAGGAGTATTCCCCCTCGCCTTTAGTCGCACGGCTCGAAAAGATCAGCATCCTCCCGCCGATGAGCATCGCGAATAACCCATTAGCACCAGCTCCGCCAGAAGCGCCGCTTCGGCGAAGAAGTCTGATGTCTCTGGACGGGCCAGCATCGATGCGGGCACAGCACCAGGTTAGAAATCACAGCTACTCCAGCATGGAATACCTCACGTCCCCGAATTCCCCGCGATGGGACGCCACAATGCGACTCCGAAACCAACTTCGGAACTGGGGCCATGTCTACTTGGGTAACTCCAAGATGGCCGATGCCTTCATAATCGCAAGGTCTCTGCGCCAACACAACTGCCACTCCCCAACGAGCCCACCATTCGCAAAGTTGCCACCACTACCACCACCAACAGCAGCAGCAGCAGGAGGAGGCGCACCACCAAACAAACGCCTCACGGTTCGCGCCATAATCCGTCCCCAGTCCCAAGACAGGCCGGCGTTCCTAATCCAGCGGAACTTCGACATCGAGGAGCTGCGGGCCACGATCCCGGACCCGCCGCCCGCGCACGCCCCAGCAATGAAAGGCGTCTCGGACGGCCCGCGCTCCCCCGCGGGATTCATGTCTCGGAAGAACGGCGTCCCCGCCTCGACCGCACCACCACCCTCGTTGTTGTTGTTGTCGTTGTCGTCGTCGCAGTCGCGGCCCAGACGATCGAGCGTAGCAGGACGCTCGGACGCGAGCGCGCTGGACCTCGAGAGCTTGATCCGGGACGGGAAGGCTATTCCCATGCGTAAGTAGATGGGGGGGGGGGGGGGCGGGGGGGGGGGGGGGGGGGGGGGGGGGGGGGGGGGGGGGGGGGGGGGGGGTGT